TAGCTTAGTATAAGAATCTATCTAGTTAATATCTATATATATAAATTATAATTATAAACTATAATTCTAGAATTAATTAAAACTTAATAGATCTAATATACTAGCTATTATACTTATAAAAGAAATATTATACTTACTATATATAGAAATAAAAATAGAATTTAAATTTATTTAATAAAGAATAAAAAAATATTATAATAAGACTAGATTAGAAGAACTAATCTTAGAGAAGGGAGATAAGATTTATCTACTTTATAAAAATATTATAATAATAAGACTAAGTAATAAATTAGACTATAAAAAACTTAGATTATTTAAAATTCTTAAGAAAAAATCAGATATTAATTATAAACTTTTATTACTAGATATAATATATATTTATCTAGTTTTTTATATCTTATTACTTAAAAAAGTACTAGATAATATACTAGACTAAGAATATCTAATTAAAGTCTATAAAGAAGAATTTAAACTAAAAGAGATTCTAAAAAAGAAAGTTAGAAATAAATAAATATTCTATCTAGTTAAATAGAAAGGATATACTAATAATAATAATATATAGAAACTAGTTAAATATCTAAAGAAGTACTAATACTTAATTTACTAGTTCTACTAGAAGGGAAAAAAGGAACTAAATTAGAAAAATCCTCTTTAAAACCTAATAAATTTAAATCTATTTTAAGGGTAATCCCTAAGAACTAGATTTTCTCTAAAGTATATTATTTAGAAGTCTTAAGAAAGTTAAGAGCCTGATCTAAGAATAATTACTCTTCCTTATTAAGCTCTTAGAGGCTATACTAAATTTCCTATTATATCTTACTCTTAATATATCTATATACCTTATAAATATACTAAATATACTCTAGAGTAGTAGATAGATTACTTTAGAGTTAAGTTATTTATTAATATAAAAGAAGAATCTTCTTATCTATATTAGATTCTTCTTTAGCTAGTTTTTTTTACTATATTATTAATTTTTCTATTAAAATAGAAATTAGAAGGATATAGCTAGAATATATAAAGGAATATATATAGTTAGATATAATTAGTACCCTATTATAATAATAATTATTTTATATATACTTATTATATTAAGATAATTTTCTATTTAGAAAGATAAAATACTCTTTTTTTACTTTAAAATATAGAGTATATAATATATTAGCTAGAAAACTAAATATCTAGATAGTAATAGTAAGAAGGACTTATTTATAAGTCTTAGGATATACTAGCTTATAGATATAGTTAGATATAATAAATATTATAATATAGTTATTATATATATAGAAGGGAAGAACTTACTAAGATTATATAGAATCTTAGGGATAAAACTAATAGAGAGAGAGTATTATATTATAAATAAAGATCTCTATAATAGGTTATATAGTTATATATATCCTACTATCTAAAGAATAGGAGTAATAAGAGTATTATACTCCTATTATAGGATAAAGATAGATTACTAGGAGTAGTATATTCTTTATACTCTATAACTATTATATATATATATTTATTTCTTAGATAGAAATATTTCTTTAAATAGTTATTAATATAATTATCTATATATCTATTATTACTAGCTCTATAATATCTATATATTAATAGTAACTTATATTATATAGCCTAAGATAACCTGATTATACTACTTAGAATAATACTCTGATTAGTTTAACTCTGACCTACTCTAGACCCTGTTCAGTATAAGTTATCTAACTATTATAAGTTATATATACTCTATTATTTAAAAATAGAAATAATAAAAATATTATATTTCTATTATAGAAATATTATTAGATTACTAGAAGTAGTATACTTCTTATACTCTATTATTAATATATATATATATTTATTCTATTAAATATTTACTTATACTTTTTATAAAATAAAATATACTTTATTAGAAATTCTTTATAATAAGATAAATAGCTTTATTCTTATTATAATAAGCTAAAAAGCTAATTTATATATTAATATTATTAATTTTCTAATTAAAAATAATAAAATTATTTATTTAATTTATTAATTATTTTTATTCTTTTAATAAAAACTATATAAAATTAGAATTTTATTATATAATTATAAATTAAAAACTTTTAACTAAATTAATTTATAGTTATATTCTTAATAAGATATTTAAACTATTTATATTAGATATATTATTTAAATAATAATATTAAAATATATTTATATTATTCTAAAAGATAAATTTAAATATTTATATTAATAAATAATCTCTATTTATAATTTATTAAATAAAAACTTTTAATAGAATATATATATTATATTTATAATTTTAATAAAACTCTTTTAATATATATTATAAAATTAAAAGCTAGTAGAGAAGTTTATTTAAATACTCTAGTTAGATATTAAAATATTCTAATTATATAGAGATTTAGATTTAAAGAATAAACTATTTAATATCTATTTAGAGAATACTAGTTTTATTTTAATATTTTAATCTAATTTAAGAATTCTATATAATTAATTATTTAATTACTTAATAATAAATATTTTATTAATAATTTTATAATTAGTAAATATTCTAATTAAAATATAATTTCTAAGAAAATAAAATATTAATTATATAAAAAATTATAATAATTTATTATTAGATAATTAAAAAATTTTAAATAATAAATACTTAGATTTATAAATAATAAGTAAATATTAATATAAATATTTTAAATATATATTAGTTTTTATTTTTTCTTTTATAAAAGTTTCTAATAAATTTAATATAAAATTCTAATTTTTTATTAGTTTTTATAATATATTATTCTAAATTTTAAAACTAAAATTAATTAATATAGATTTTTCTTTTTTAAAGAAAATATTATTCTATATATAGTTATAATAACTTTTTATTTTTTAATAGATATAAATAACTATATATTAAAAAAATTTATATTATTAATTCTTATTTCTTTATATATATAGTTATAGAAATTATCTATCTAATAAAATATCTATATAATTATATAATTCTTTATTATAAAAAACTTTTTTAGTTTTTCTATTTATTTATCTTAAGAAAAATTATACTTTTTAATTATTTTATTTTTAATATATTAAAACTAATAAAAAGTAATAATATTATATAGAGAAATTAATTTATATATTAAAATTATAAATTTTTTAAATAATTTAAAAATAAATATATAATATTAATATTTCTATTACTCTATAAACTTTTATAATTTTATTTTTATAATATTAAAATAGAATTTTTCTATTTTCTTTTTTATAATATTATCTTTATATAGCTTACTAATTATAATAAAAATTAGATATTTTCTAAATATTTTTAAATATTAGAGATTAAAAGATATTATCTTAAGATATATATTTTTAAATCTAGATTATTTAATATATAGAGTATTATTTTCTAAAATTATTATTTTTACTCTTTTTAATATTTATATTCTCTTTTATATTATTTTTTTAATATTTTTTTTTAATTATAATAAACTAGATATAGATTAATTTATAAAGAATAAAGAACTATACTAAGTTATAATATTTCTTTATATAACTTTAAATTAGAAAATATTTTACTCTTTATTATTATTACTAAATAGAAAGTATTATAAAAAATAAGCTGAGAATTATAAATAAATAAATAAAATTAAAGAGAGATAGAGATAACTTATATATTTAGCTGGAATAGTTAATAGAGTAGGATAAAATAAGTATATATAAAAGAACTAAGTAGATAGAACTATTTCTAAAACTCAAATATCTAAATATTTAAGTCCTGAGTAAACCTAAGTATATCTGAGATATATTAAACTAGCGCCTGAGTTCTTCCTGCTTAGGGCAGCGATGAAAAAAATCAAGATTCGACAACTGTTACACCGATGGCTAATAGGCATTTCTCCAAAAACCGAGGTCCCCGGCTCGTTCCCCCGCACAAGCCACAGTCCGGGGTAAATACAATGAGACTCCTTCCAAGATCTCCGACTGTTTGACGATATCGAACACACTCCAGATCAAAATATTTATAAAAAACAATGGCGGCTAATCAAGAAATCCAAGTGACAAAGCTCTTCGCCGAGTTCGTGTCCAAAGCAGACGTCTCGCTACTCACCCCGACCGTCGTCGCCCACGTCAAGGAGTACCTCCTCGACTACCTGGGCGTCACCGTCGCCGCCGCGCACAGCTGGGAGTCAACGGAGCAGATCCTCAAGGCCGTCATGGCTCTCGGGGCACGCACGGGAGCGTCCACGGTGGTCCTCAAGGGAAATAACTTCCTGCCGCAGTACGCGGGACTCATGAACGCGGCGCTGGGCCACACCATGGACTTTGACGACACTTATACGCCCGGCTCCCTGCACGCGGGCGTGTGCGCCATCCCCGCCGCGCTCACGCAGGCGGAGCTCCTGGGGCCCGAGGACGCCACGGCCGAGCGCTTCATGCTGGCTGCGGCGGTGGGATACGAGGTCATATGCCGCCTGGGGGCCAAGCTGGGCAACGAGGCGTACGCGAGGGGATTCCACAACACGGCGACCTGTGGCATCTTCGGCGCCGTCGCCGCCATCTCGGTGCTCAAGCGGCTGCCGGCCTCGACCGTGGAGGACGCCTTCGGGCTGGCGCTGTCCAAGGCGGCCGGGTCGATGCAGTACCTGGAGAACGGGAGCTGGAACAAGCGGCTGCACCCTGGGTTCGCGGTCCACGACGCCTTCGTGGCCGTCTCGCTGGCGGAGGCTGGGGTTCTGGGTGCTGCGAGGCCGTTTGAGGGGAGCTACGGGTTGCTGCACGCCTACACTCCACGTACGGAGCATGACCTGCCCTCGCTCGTTGCGGACCTCGGGAGCCGCTGGGACTTTATTGAGACTGCTCTGAAGCCGTACCCAGCTTGTCGTATGACCCATGGGCTGATTGAGGTCGGCGGGAGACTTGGGCAGGAGGCCAAGGGGCGGGAGGTCGAGAAGCTCACGGTGTCGCTGAGCTCGCCGAACCACATCGTCGTGGGCTCTCGGATCCCCAACAAGCTGCATCCTGCGAACATCGTGGATGCGCAGTTTTCTGCCTACTTTCAGCTGGCGCATGCGTGGTTATACGGGTCAGATACCGGTATTGAGTTTTCTAAGCGGCTTGGTGATGAGGCCATCCACAAGCTGTCGGACAAGATCGAGTGTGTCAAGGACGACTCCGTCAAAGGCTTCGGGAGCAAACTAAGGGTTCAGTATTCAGATGGGGAGACAAAGGATGTAGACATTCCGTTTCCTCTGGGCGAGCCGGAGCATCCGTTCAGTAGGGACCGAGTCGAGGCCAAGTATTTCAGTCTGGTGACTCCAGTTCTTGGGGAAGCCAAGGCGAAGGATCTCAAGAATCTGGTTGAGAATTTGGAAAGTCACTCTGTATCTGAACTTCTGCAGCTTATATCATAGAAGCTATAAAAAACTGAGCATGTGACCGCTGTTACTGAAGTTCAACAGGGGGAGATCTAAAGAGGCTTCAAGGCAACAGTACTAAATTCTGTTCAAATTGATCTTAACTGCTACTTGATTCAAATACTCGCCAAATCCGACGGTACAAAGAACGTCGCGCCAAGCACGGCCTTTGAATAATCGAGGATACGATCATGCATCCCCGGCGGCTCGCCAACGAACATGCGCTGCAGCATCTTCTCCGTGACCCAGAGATTCTTCGAGTAGCCGATAAAGTAGGTCCCGAACTCAGACTTGCCCGGCGATCCAAACGGCATATTGTCTCGCACGATGGCACGCTCGTCGCCTTCTGCCTCGATCGTGGCGAGGGACTTGTGCGACTGCTGAGACTGTGGAGGTGCGTCGTCGAGCTCGATGTTGTCCAGCTTCGTCCGCCCGATGATGGCTTCCTGCGTTTCGGTCCGCAGGGCCTGCCACCCTTCCATATCGTGGAGGTACTTCTGGACGACGACGTAGCTGCCTCCCGCCGAGTCTGGCTCATCCTCTTGAGTCACGAAGGCTGCTTCCGTGGCCTCGGTACCGACGGGATTTGCTGTGCCATCGACGAAGCCCAACAGGTCGCGGGCGTCGAAGTATCGGAATCCGACAGTCTCGTCATCCACCGTCACGGCACTGCCCAGACGCTGCATGAGCTGCCTCTCGAATTCAAAACACAAGTCCCTCCTATCGGCCCGGATGTGGAAGAGTATGTCACCTGGCGTAGACACGGCCGTGTGTTTTGCACCGCGGATCTCCTGGAACGGGTGCAACTCCTTCGGCTGCGGCAGGCTGGTCAAGCGGCTCCAGATGGAACTGCCAATGCCAACAGTGCAGCTCAGTCTGCCATCTGGGTGGCGGATGGAGATATTCTTGGTGATGTCGCCAATGCTGGATAGAGTTGCAAGGATCGTCGGGATGGCTGTTGGCTGGGACACTGCAGACACAATGAGGAACGTCGCTGCACGCGTCAAAGGAGCTGTCACGGCCTGTGAGACCATGGCTGAAGACTTGCTCTGGAGCCCACGAATTTGATATTTGTGTGACAACAGCGAAAGAATGTGTCGATTTCGAGGCGTCAAACATTCGGCCGATCTTACTTTGTCACGTGCATTATCCTCATGTTGATTGGAGGAATAGTCTTTCTATTTCCGGCGATTTACGTATGATGATATCATGCCGTGTCCTCCCCCTCACCTGGATTTCTATGTGTGAACAAGCGCCAACGTCCCCTTCACCTGGAACTAACATTTGACCGGCTTCCCTTTTTTGGTTGGCGTTTGACTAAGTGAAAGTTGCTGATACAAGTAGACCAGCTACGCTAACCTAACAAATACATGTTGAGGATGGTTCTGATCTCACGATGTGATACAAGTTATCAGCTTCAAAGCACGATACCAGCGCCTTTGTAACTATATTCGGCAGGTTATTAACAATATCCCTTAATCGGTTCCTATCTATTCGCCCAATATCTCACTCCATAATCCAGATCGTATCTCGTCTTCCTCCTGTCTCCTCGACTGGCTGATCTCCTGCGCTACACTCCGTATCTGCTCCTTGGCTGCCCTAGCAGATTCCCAGACTTGTGACAGTCTATTCAGCGCTCCTATATTAAGACTGATCTGCTGTCGTAAAAACACATCGTCCTCTTCAGAGTGCATGTACGATCCCCACCTATTGATGTGGACGATGGACGCGTTGCTCACCACACACACAAAGAAGGGCGTGTGGCAGAGGAGGTCCGACGGGGTGATGAGCTTGCTTATCTCGTTGGCGGCGCTGATGACGTGCCTGGTGTGGGAGTTGTAGGTGAAGCCGGGCGTGACGGGCTGGCTCGGGGCGCAGGAGTCGATGCGCTTGGTCGCGGAGGGGTTGAGCTGGGAGTGAGGGTAGTGGACGAGGATCGAGGTGGCGTTGATCATCATATGGGCCTGGAACATCATCTCATCTATTGTACCGTCGATGGCAACGGGATCTTTCTTGGAGTTGGGGAGATTCAGTCTCCAGTGAGTGAGTAATGCTTCCATCCTGGATAGATTCAGATCGTCAGGTCCTACTATCGGCCCACACCTGAAGAACTTGCCGAGGTTTCGCGAGCAAAGGATTCGGTATGAGAAGGAGGAGAATCCATCGAGATCACTGTCGGAAAAGTCGTAGGATTCCAAGTCCGCGAGTGATTTAGGCGCTGGTATTACCTAGTTCACGACTCAGTCAGTCTCATAGTCGTAGGGACACCACTGCAAATCTCAGAATATCATACCCCTGATTGGTATTCCCATTCCTCACATGGTAACTGGACATCCGCCTGGACGTCAAAGAGCGCAAAGTTGGTTGCGCGGTGGACACCCGCGATCATCCCATCGACAACATACAGATCCCACCACGTCCTCCGCCAACTCTCCTGCACAACGGGATTGTCCCTGCCATGCGCGATCGCAAACTGGTGCGAGTTCAGCCCAATCTTGACGGCGAGGGCACCGGCATCAGCAAGCAGCTTCTTGGCGGCCTCGAGCTGGCGTGTCCCGTCAAGTCCCACTATCAACACCAACATGGCCTGGACGAGGAGCCCATCTTGCGGGGTGTTTGGATCGTTGATTTTCCGATAGGCTTCTTCTAGTAGTTGGCCTCGCGAGAATACCCTGTCGACATAAAGCGATCCTACCCAGCGGATGGCGCAAAGGAGCGGCTCCAGTGCCGCGAAGTTTGTAAATTGGAACAGATACTTTTTCGGTAGTGTGAAGGGGTGAGAGGCATGGAAATTTTGATAATAAGAGTTCACATATCGATCTGAAAGGGCTGAAGACTCGTTGGTGAGTTTGAAGCCCATATCATTAACCCTGACCAGCTGTGCCGGATGAGGTGACAGGCCTTGATCGAGTGGTGTCGGGGCAGACAAAACCAGGTTTGGAGAAGCGAGATCCATCCCCATGGCTCCTCCAATACTGCAGACGGCTGAGGATGCGGCTCCGCTGCTGCTGCTTGCTGAAGAGAAAGCGCCATTGAGAGGTGTTGCAGCCTGGGCGGCCAGAAGGGATGTCAACACATTCTCTTCGAGATGCGGCGGGGGTGTCCGACTTCGTGCTCGTTTGTAGCCGCGGCGGGAAGCAACGTAGGAGCACTCTTCCCCTGATGCTGTACAGCGGATACAAGGATGCAGACGATCACATTTGAGATGCTTTGCCCGCTATAACCAAGCAACCGAGGGACTCCAGTCAGCAACGACTGCAGCGAGATGACGGTAGGAGGTAGGCCTTACACATGATAGGCAGGCGGTTGAGAAGAGTCTCCCAGGACTTGAATGGCTCCTCTCTCCATCCGGAGCCTCGTTCGAGGGTGTTAATGACATTGTATCGCAGGTTGTGAGTGATGAAGGATGGAGAAATGACCCTGCCGAGTCCCGACTGCCGAGATGCCACTAGCCTTTAACGAGGAGGATTGGATAAGCACAGCTCCTAGCACCTTTCCAATATAGTAATCCGCGAGATGGGCTCGAGGTCGCCGCTGATTGGGGACAACGGGCCAATGACGGGCAGAGTTTGCAATTCGGACTGAGTGATTCTGGATGTCGGCGACCAGAATGACCAGAATGACCAGAATGCGGGGCCGCTGAAAACGTCGCCGATCACTGTGGATCTCTTCGCTGATGTCCGTTCAATAGTCTGACATTGCATTGTCGTAGGGCTTCTAGTCAGCCTGCATCAAATCTCCATCTGTCGGCAGATGAGGCTGAGTCCGTGTCAGATTCTCGGATCTGAGTGATGTAATTAAAATGAAAAATCTTCCTCGTCCTGTGTGGATAGAGTTCCGCTAGGGGTTATAACTGTTGAGACGCCGATGAGATTGATCACTTAAACACGCCTTCATCCAACCTTGCATTCAGTCAATCAATACATTCGCATCCATCATTCCATCTTCAGATTCACTTTTCTATTTACCTTTCACACACTGACAAAAACATGCCGAGAGAAAAAGACATCGAGTCCAACTCGGACTCGACTCACCACCTCATCAACGACATCGTCCAGTCCTTCTCATGGAGCGACATGCAAGTCGTTGTCAAGGATCGAGCCTCGGGAGAACCCCTGAATATCCTAGCCGAGTCCTTTGGCCTGGTCCATGCTGGCCAGATGCTTGCCATCATGGGGCCCAGCGGTTCGGGCAAGACCACACTACTGAACACTCTCGCCCACCGTGTTGCTGCCGCTGGTGCCACAACTACCGGCCGGGTCATGGTCAATGGCCAGGCCAGCGACCGTTCCATGGTCCGCAACTTGTCCGCCTACGTTGAGCAGGAGGATGCTTTGATTGGGAGCATCACAGTCCGTGAGACCATGGCCTTTGCCGCTCGGTTATCTCTGCCCAGGTTCGATTGATACTATTTCCTCAATTAGCTGAAATTGTGTTCTAACGGAGTTATAGTACCGTCTCAAAGAAAGAGGCTCTCTCCCGCGTTGACGACCTCATCGCCAGCTTTGGTCTGCAGGCTCAGTCAGACTCCATCGTCGGAACCCCCATCAAGAAGGGCCTCAGCGGTGGACAGAAGAAGCGTCTGGGTGTGGCAAGTCGGCTGGTAACAAATCCCAAGATTCTCTTCCTCGACGAGCCTACCAGTGGCCTTGACTCTGCTCTGAGTGCAGAAATCATCAGATACATCAAGGAAATTGCCATCAAGAATAATGTTAGTGCTAATAGAGCGATCCCAGTTACAGATAGAATTTGACCTCGCTGATATCTGCACAGCTTGTCATCATCGCCTCGATTCACCAGCCTTCAACCACTACATACCGCCTCTTTGACAAACTAGCACTGCTCTCTCTCGGAAAAACTTGCTATTTCGGCCCCGTCAGCGAGGCGGACGACTACTTCCGTCGAATCGGATACCCAATGCCGCCAGCAATGAACCCCGCCGAGTTCTTCCTTGACCTCATCAACATCGATCTCGACAGAAACGGTGAGGTGAAGAAGAGGGCCCAAGACATCATTCAGAAGTGGTCATTGTCTGCAGAACGCAAACACCTGGAGAATGAATTGAACAATGAAGCTACCACCACATCAAGGACAGACTTGTCCTCCGTTAAGCTGGCAAAACCCAACCCTTGGACCGTCCTACTAACCCTGCTCCAGCGCTCATGGATCAAAGCATACCGAGATGTCGTGGCCTATGAGATCCGCATCGCCATGTACCTCGGCCTCGCCATCCTCATGGGCACCGTCTTCCTTCGCTTCCAATCCTCCCAGGAATATATCCAACCATATATCAACGCCATCTTCTTCGGGGGCGCATTTCTGTCCTTCATGGCCGTCGCATACGTCCCTGCCTTCCTCGAGGATCTGCACACGTTCGAAAACGAGAGGGCAAACGGCCTAGTCGGTCCATTCTCCTTCATGATGGCCAACTTCCTCATCGGCCTCCCCTTCCTCTTCCTCATCGCCGTGCTCTTCTCCGTGGTCGAGTACTGGCTGACCAACTTCCGCGCCGACGGCTCGGCCTTCATGATGTGGGTGCTTTGGCTCTTCCTCGACCTGCTGGCCGCCGAGTCCCTCGTCGTCGTCGTCTCGAGCGTCGCCCCCATCTTCGTCGTCGCCCTTGCCGTCACGGCCTTCGCCAACGGGCTGTGGATGGTCGTCGACGGCTTCCTCGTCCCCATGACGATCCTCAACCCGTTCTGGAAGTACGTGTTCCACTACATCGACTACCAGGCGTACGTGTTCCAGGGGATGATGGTCAACGAGTTCAAGGGGAGGGACTACACCTGCGCGAGGGCTGCTGATGGGCAGTATCAGTGCATGTACCCCAGCGACCTGAACTCGGAGGGGATGATTCGCGGTACGGATGTGTTGAAGGTGTTCAAGATTGACACCGGGCTCGAGGGAACGTGGATTGGTATCATCATTGGCATTATTGCGGGGTACCGGTTGCTTGGGTATCTTGCTTTGTATTTTCTCAGGAAGTGATATGATTGAGGATCATGGTGTTTGGTATTTATTCTCAAGTAAGATTGGGAAGGGAGGGGAAAGAGGGGGAATGGGGGAGTGTAACTAAGGTTATAGACAAAACTAATTAAGAACATAGACAGCATCAATCAAGATCAATCTTGGCGTATTCTTGGTCGTTTTATTCGGGGATATTAAACACTGAATCCATTTGCCTCGCGCCATCACTTCTCAAGTCCAGAGCGGTGATCGGGTAGCATTGCATCGTGCGGGGTGAAGGCCAGGTGCGAGACCTCACCTTACCTCACTCTCTTTCCAACTTCTCTCCAGCAACGACTTTGTTGTTTCTTTACCAAGTGGTAAGCGTCAAGATTAAGACTCAAACATCAGCGAACTTGTTTCTAGTCAGGCAAAATGATGACAAGGTAATCAGAGTCAACAGCATCAACCCCCAAGCACTTGTGATAACGTCATTGCAGCCGGTACGTGACCTCCAGGATCCTACGAGGGTCGAAATGCCTTGCTTCCATTATTACTCCAATTCGCTACCAGAGGCTAGCATTTCATGCATCGCCCTCTCTCCCTTCTAAAGATGGGGCAAGCGCCAGGCCGGACCAAGAAGCTTCGGCGCGCGCAGCACTGGGATCGAAGATGGCCGAGGAGTTCTTTGGCGAGGAGATTCTGGCCGATATTCGGGGCCAATCAGTAATGACCCCGTCTCCCAAACTCAACATCCTTAGAACCACATGGGGATGCAAGCTAACTGCAGCGTCATTCCCCCAGCGCGAAGACTTGCCGAGCAAAATCGCAGCAGAGTATGTCAACGAGACGTGTTTCGCAAGTTACGCCCGGCCGCACCTCGAGTTCCGCGAACGGTCACTGCTGAACATCGCCATGCTCATCGCGCTCAACCGATCGAACGAGCTGAGACTCCATATCCGCGCTGCGCTCTACAACGGCCTGTCCAGGGAGCAGATCTGCGAGGCGTGTCGCCACGCAATGGTGTACTGTGGCGTTCCCGCGGGGAGAACCGCGCTGCTTGTTGCGAGTAACGTGTTCACTGAGCTGGATGCTAAGAAACCATCCTAGTTTAGAGACTCTTAGCAAGGTCGAGTCTTGTAGTCCGTCCATCTCCTCTTCTTGCTGTATACGAGCAGGACAGGGGATGGATTGGAGAGCAGAGGGGAGCTGAAGCAAACGCGCCGAATATCGTTTCGCGACTGAATTTTGTTGTGAAACCTAGTTGTTAGCTTCAATCTCATTTAAGCATCGTTCTCCTGCTACGTGTCAACTTAAAGTTCAAGTTGCACAGGGAGTTTGTACGAATTCGACATTCTACATCATCATCTCTCCACTCTTTGCAGCCGCCTATACTAGAAATAACCGTGAGAGGGAGTCTTTCCCTATAATGGCAAACCGTTTTACAATTATTTCGATTTGTGCCGAGGCTTACACGATATCAGTCTGTCCATCTATCCATCCACCGAGTACCACGACGAAGGACAAACTCAATTTGGGACACCCAACCCTCCAACATGCATCACGACACGAGTCGATAGCTCAGATGCTAAAGACTGCAGCAGTAACATGACTGAATCTACTGTTCAACGTGTCCTTTAAATTCCCCCTTCCCCTTGGTCCCTCATCCCAGTACCTTTCTTCCTCCTCAAAGTCTTCCTCCTCGAAGTCTTTCTCCTCGAAGTCTTCCTCCTCGAATTCTTCCCCCTTCCTTGACTTCTTTCCCCTCCTCGAAGTCTACCCCTTCCTCGGAGCATCACATACGGCCCTCGACCGTCAACACCTTCAACCCATCACTTGCATTTGCATGCATGTCTTTGTCACTTGCCCGCCCATATTGAAACCCAAACACCTTCATTACCAACTTCAAACATTCACTAAACTCGCATATCCAAATCATAACACCGAGCTGGTGGCGGATTGCACACCATGGACAACCCCAACGCCCAAACCCCGATCCTCCAGCTGCCATCCGATGCCTTCCACGCCCTCGCCAAGGAGCTCCCCGACCACGCCAAGGTCCTCTTGTCCCAAACATGCCGCGGCATCAGGCACATGCTCCAGAAGGAGAAGATTGTGCGAGCGCTCTCAGGCCCCGAGCACGTCAGGCTCCTCGTCCAACTCTCCCGCGGCAATCCCAGGGTCTGGGCATGCGCAGAATGCAAGAGGAGGCATCGTGTCACCGAGGGGGATCTCTCGGGAAACAGTCGGTTCTCATCTTGCCCCAATCGCAATCGGAAGTTCTCACAGCGTCGCGAGGGAGTGTTCACGGTCAGCTACGCCCGGGTCCAGCTGGCATTGAAGTACTCCCGGTTCGCAATTGCCAATGAGAGGATCAGCTCCGACCTCGAGAAGCTCATGAGGCGCGAGAGCAGCATCCAGAAAATCAAGCACAGGCGTCGCCACGCGGAATTCGCCTTGTACTCGCGCCCGAGGGTGATTGACGGGAGGTTCCTGGTGAAGTACACCTGGAGATATAAACTGGGCACCCTCTCGTACATGCCCTCAAATATGCCGTCCATAATAGTGTGCGATCACCAGCGGCTCGCACCACCGGCCGAGGGCGTCGTCTGCGAGGAGAGGACGCAGCTCGTCCGGGCCGTGCAGGAAGCGCTGTTTGGTGACCGAAAAGGCGTTGAGTACTGCGGCAGCTGCCCCTTTTGCCCGACCGACTTTGCTGTCCGGGATTTTGACCATTGCATGCGCATTGACGCCTGGAAAGACTTTGGGCCCGAAGACGGTCCCAGTAATCCCACCTGGATGTCTCATCACCTCTCTCAAGCTCAGCGGACTCCCAGTGATCGGGGAAGGGTTCGCCGGCTATATTATGAGATTGATTAAATGGAGATCTCTGTCATAGTCAGGATTTTTTTAACCCTGGAATAAATGGACTATATTTCGGTTATTTATCGTGGTGGAACACAATGAACAAGATCTGATCAGTGTTGCGAAACCAACGAAGAGGACGTTTGTTTGTGTGTGTTTTTTTTGTTTTTGTTTTTTTTTAAATAACTGAAAATATAGTCCTTATTTTTCCCCCCCCCCGTTTTCTTTCTAGTTTCAAGTTTAGTTTAATCAAACGATCGACAGTCAGATCATCGTCAATTGCGCTAATGTGACATCTCACGGCCACTCACCTGTTTTAAGTGCGTCATCGTGAATATTTCACAACCCCCGCATTTGATTCAGAGACATAGCCTTGGATAGTCTTGTTTTCTATCCTAACCATTTCTTATTTATCCTTCTCTTATTACCATCAGAATAGAAAACATGGCTGGCAATAGCGAACCCTCGATGGACATCATCGCCCAATGCCTCTGCAAGGCGCATACTTTCACGGCCTCCGTCCCACCATCTTCTCTACCTCTGGAAGCATCATACTGCCACTGCAACTCGTGCAGACACGTCACCGGCGCCATGTACAGCTGCGACGCGCCGTGGCCCGGCCCCCAGGAGACCGTCCTCAACTCAACTCTGGCCCAGTACCGCTTCACGCAGAACGTCACCGTCATGTTCTGCGCCACATGCTCGAGCCCCATGTTCTTCCACGAGCATCACAAAGACAGACCCGAATCACTCGGCGTCTTCATCGGCGTCCTCGCCAACCACCCCGTCGACAACTTTGTCAGGGTCGCGGACCACATCTTTGTAGAGGACACCATCGACGGCGGCGCCACTCCATGGCTTATGGATATCAATGCCGACGGCACCCCGCCGAAATTATGGAAAGGACGTATGAATACTACTGAGGAGCTCGAGGCGCCCTGGCCTAGTGTTGAGACTCTCATGAAAGCCGGGGACAAGACAGGGCCGGACTTGATCCCCCTCCAATGTCATTGCAAGGGCGTGAAACTAGCTGTGCGACGCATGGACAGCGAGTTCCTCAAAATGAAGGTCTCGGGCAAGGACCTCCCCTGGTTCGTCGATCCCGAAAAGCTCAAGCACATGTGCGGCTTCGATCCATGCGACTCCTGCCGGCCCATGTTCGGCGTCGACATGGTCCACTGGACCTTTGTCCTCGCTCAGCAGGTAGAGTTTGCCGAGAACACAGGGAAGCCCTTCCCTACCGACACGCTCCAGCTCAAGGAGGCCATCTCGGTCACTACCGACAGAGATCCGCGGCTGGGCACCTTGTCCCTGTACGCGAGCTCGCCGGACGTGCAGCGGTACTTTTGCTCGCGCTGCTCGGCCTCGGTGTTCTACGCCGTCGACGACCGTCCGGAGCTGTTGGATGTGGCGGTTGGCTTGCTCTGGGCGCCGGAGGGTGCGAGGGCAGAGAGCCTACTTGTCTGGGAGCTTGGATCTGCGATTGGTAATGTTGGCGATGTGCAAGGGGGCTGGAGAGAGAAGTATGTCAAGGCGGTGCGACGAGGTGCAGAGAAGTGGAGGATCCAGAGAGGGTATCCCAAGTCCTGGAGGAGAATCAAGGCGGAAAAGCAGAAGCCCGAGCTGCTTGAAGATTTCAAAGATCTACAGGTATAATATTAGTTTGAAAATAGATGATATGCTTGTCGGCAATCAGCTTTAGGCGTCATATACTCTCATCTATATCCATCATGAATTGTGCAGAGTTCGCCCAAACTATTCTAATGGCGTCGTTTCTTATAATGGGACTATTAAATAATTATATAGTCATCTTCAGGGCAGCCACGCTTGACATCACATTTGATTTATACATGCATACAGCACGGATTTTGCTGTCTGGTCAGTCGGTTCCTTTTCTCAACTTATCAATGGGAAGCCATCATGAGTCTCTAGCACGTATTTGAAAGCACCCCTCAGCGATACTTCACCTCCTTGCCTGGGTATATTCTTCAGGCTAAAGGTCCCTTTAGTAAATTCCTCCAATCAACAGCCCTGTCCACCCAATGGCTTCAACATTTAGAGCTGTGCGATACACGTGTCGCCTTCCTATTCAGACTTGCCTCTTTGAATCTAGCGAGCGGAGCCCGGAAAGCAATCCTATTCAGGATTCCACAGGCCAGATGCCAAGATAGTAATGCCATAGGCTTGCCATCTAACAAACTCTCTATGATTTCCACTTCATTAGTGGGACGGTTCTCTGGTGAGTATAAAGAAGAGCATAGTCAAGGTCCATGGGCCGACCTGCTACCTAGATAATGCTATGGAACCGTCCCCAATCTCCAGTTTAGGCTCGCCCCGGGCCGTACTTAGGTAGATACTAGGCCTAGTGGCCGTTCAACCACGAACTAGATGGACCCCAGATGCCATGTGCTGTATTTCTGGGGCGTTTCCGAGTTTCCTACGGGCCACTATCGTTGAAACGGATCCAGTCTCGCCCATTATAGTGACGATATAGTGATGATATACCGAACCGAGAAGATCGGGAGAACATGGGTGTCAGCCCCAGCAGCATCCCAGCAGCTTCTCTGACCTCCCTCCCACAACCAAGAAATATCCCAACTGAGTACCTCGACTGCTGACCAGGGAGAGATCAGTCCATCGAATCATTCTGTGGGGCGATGCCTCCAGAAACTTGCGGTGGCCCTAATGCACCACCTTCATGCCGAGTAGATCTTTTGGGAACACATCGCGGCCGTGAGAAAATACCGCTCCTCAATCTGCGGGGAAAAGCCAGTGAAGAAAGACGTAGCTCTCGTAGTTCTGGTCATCGCCGTCCGCGCAGTTAAAGACCATACATCCCAGGAAATGGCCGAGGAAACCAAGGCCGAGGCGCAAGAGCTTCGTGCCAAATCCTCGTCGCCCACCCAACAACCCTCAGCAGCAGGGCCTCTCTCCTCCAAATCATCATCCAAGTCGCCTCAGGGAGCTACCCTACCGCCCGAATCCACCGGCCACCTCGAGGCCGAGGAGGAGGGCGCCATCAGCGACGAGGGCTCTGACCTGGGCGCCGGCGACGTGCAGAGCTCGACGGCCTCGCTCAGCAGCACCATCTACAAGTTCCGCGAGGAGAACGGCCGGACGTACCACGCCCACAAGGACGGCGCCTACATCGCGCCCAACGACCAGCTCGAGCAGGAGCGCCTCGACTTCCAGCACGCCCTCTGCCTCCTCACCTTTGACAACCGGCTGTACTTTGCGCCCCTCGACCAGCAGCCCCTCCGCCGCGTCCTCGACGTCGGCACGGGCACGGGCTGCTGGGCCATCGACTTCGCTGATGACCACCCCTCGGCCACTGTCGTCGGCATCGACCTGAGCCCCATCCAGCCCAGCCTCGTGCCCCCCAACGTCGAGTTCCAGGTCGACGACCTCGAGGACGACTGGACCTTTAGCGAGCCCTTCGACTACATCTACACGCGCTTCATGACCGTCTCCTTCGCCAACTGGCCGCGCTTCTTCGAGCAGAGCATGCAGCACCTGACGCCCGGTGGGTGGCTCGAGGTCGTCGACATCCTGCCCCCCATCTCCGACGACGGCACCATGTCCCCCGACACGGCGCTGTACAAGTGGTCCAACTACCTGCTCGAGAGCACCGAGAAGATCGGCCGGCCCTTTGGGGGGACAGCCAAGTACAAGGAGCAGATGCAGGAGGCGGGATACCAGAACGTCGTGCAGCACGTCTACAAGTGGCCGCAGAACAGGTGGCCCAAGGATCCCAAGTACAAGGAGCTAGGCAAGTGCAACGACATGACATCAGCGTCAACCAAACACAGAGAGACTAATCGCCGCGACTGCAGGTACCTGGACTCTTGAGAACATCTCCAGCGGTCTTGAAGCCATCAGCAACGCTCTCTTCACACGTGTTTTAGGCTGGACCAAGCCAGAACTTGACGTCTTTCTTGTTCAGGTTCGAAAAGACATCAAGAATCCGGCAATCCATGCTTACTGGCCCATGTGAGTCTCCTCATAATTCCAAATCTTTGGCGTTTCACGAATTGACATCGGGCGCAGCTACGTCATTTACGGGCAGAAACCCAAATAGACACCACGATTTGTAGCTAATGCGCACGGAGTCTGGGAGAGAATTATTTGTCTTTCCATGCTTCCTTGTTTTTTTCCAAGGATGTTCACAAGCGAATTGAGCAAGTCCAGCATGTTCTTTCGTCAATTGGGCGGAGAAAGAGATGTCCCCATCTCCTCGTCTCAAAGCGTCGTGGTTTTTTTGCGGGAAAGGCATTCTCTAGTTTTTTAAGTTCGGGCAAGGTTCGAACATGCCATTCAACGACCTCTAATGAGTAATGATGTTTAGTAGCTATCCATAATGCATGAGAATTGACAGTTATTCATCGAAAGTTGGCCTGGGAAGAATCACTGTTTCTGGGGCTGATTACCACCCTAGATCAGCTCACTTTCCATTCACTAGATGTTGCAGTCATGTTGACCCAGGCTCTGGCACGGATATCGTAATCAGTCGTCGGAGCGCATCTTCACAACAATTTACAAACACTTGGACCAGAGGCAATTATAATAATGATGTTGAATAATGGAATTACACACTAAGGAAAGTTCGTTTCATCATCGTGGGTCACCTCAGTCAAACCCCTCCTCTTCAGGCCGCCGTTTCGCCGTAAGCATTTCTGGTGATGGCGAGATCGTACTCGCTCCCAGAAATCATCCCAAACAGTCCCCGTACAACGTCTCTTTCCCGGCCATGTTGGTCCTCATACTGAAAACCTATGTGAAAGAAAGAAAAAAGAAAACTCGTACAGTTTGTTCAAAGCAAAGACAACCCCTAAGTAAACCAAATAGCCGAAAACCAGAGAGCAATTCCAATGACACAAGATTCAAACCGAATCAGGTGTCCAAATTGTGCTGTGTAACCAGACCATCCTTTGAAACCAAAGAAACTAGAACAAGCTCCCAAGATAATAACCATTAATAAGGTCCGAGAAGTTCATATCGCCCAGGGATCAATAAAGTGGCCATGGAGAGTAAAGCCAAGAAGACATAAATTAGGTAAGGCTGAGCCATCTGGCATGGCTTCGGATGAAGATGTATTGCGGGAAAGGCGGTGGGAGGATCAGCGGGTTACCGCGTGGCCTTAAGGAGTTGTTGGAAAATCCATTAGATACTAGACATGAAGGAAATGAAGGCGAGTGCGTCATATCATCGTGACACAGCTCTGGCATCGCAGAAGGATGAGCGTGCAGATATCATGATTGTCGTAAGAAAAAGCAGAAAAATTAGTGAGTGCGGTCCTCAGTAGTGTCGAGGAACTGTGGGATTAGGGAGTTAGATCTCCCATTTTGTTTAAATGACACCTCATCTGCCAACCCACGCTGAGGATAGAAGAAACTAGGCTCGTGAGCGCAACGTCGAGGTTTGGGCAGTGGTCGTAGAGGGTCCTGGGTGCGAGTGCGTGTGAGCACCCGACTTCTTAGTCCTGCGGTGCAGTGTGCCAACGTCGTGCTTGCCTAAGGAGGAATTAGTATACCATGAAATAGTAGGGGATAGGATTCTAAAGCTTACCATCGCAGCAAGCTCTGACGTTCTCTAAACGGTCAGATTCCCTATCTTGTCGCTCGATCATCTCTCTAAGATCCTCGGCACTATCGTGAACCTCGCTAGCCTCGTATATGCTCACATTCTGAGCGCTAGATCCACGCCCACGCATGCTAGAGAACCTGGAATTTCCAGGCCTGAAGTACCCGCTGAACTTGCTAAGCGTGCCAGCCGAGGGGCGCTGGTTGTTCTTGGGTGTCAGCGTGGGAATGGCCATTGACGAAGGATCGATCGTGGGGGACTGGGACCGGGTTGCCCTGGAGTTGTACGACGACAGCGAGGGAGGAGGGCGTCTGCGGGTACCACTCTCCGGCTGCTGCCCAGGCTGAGGGTTGAATTCATCCACATCGCTGCGGGTAATGTTGCCCACCATCTCCTCAGCGTCATTGTGACCGTCGCCATTAGTGCGCAACAGCAGGTAGGATAATGCGTTGAACCAGGTCTCGTGCCTCTGGCCTGTAGTGCAGGTAAACTTGATGGTGCGGCCGGGGGAGATAATGACAATACTCTTGCGATGAAGTCCGGGTGGCATTGGGTTATCGTCAGTGACAACTCTCACTGCTTCAATTGGCACACTCTTGGCTCGGTGCTCCTGACGACCTGAACTTGATGGGTCATGATCACTCCAATACAAAGTTCGTGTGTATGGGTGAACCCAAAAGTAGCGTCGGTGGCGCTTCTCCGACATTTCGCCACGGCCCGTCTTCCTTGTGTATTTCCAGAGATATTCACCAATCATTGTCTGGGTAATGGCCTGAATCATGCGTGGATCCGTGTTGGGTCCGAGGCCGGTAGGGTCCAGCTCGCCATGGCGAATATTGAAACGAGTGTCCATTTCTGAGGCAAAAGACGAGACAGACGAGTGTCCAGATCGAGACAGAGTCCTAATTGGAGTATGGACATCACTCTTCCTCTGTGTCTGAGAGGCACGAATCGTTCGCGGTGAACCTCCAACGAGAACAGAGTGGGATGACTCAGGCCTGTGCAGGCTAGGGGTTTGCGGTCGTTGTTTTGTCGCAGATGCGGGCCACAGAGGAGGTCCCATGCTGCCTTGAGAGGCAATCGATCCGTTCCTAACAGCCTCGATGACCTCGCGATGATTTTCTGGCAGGGGGGGAGCATCAAACACAGACCCTCGTCCACTTGTGGCACTTCCAGGTCGGCGGGTAGAAAGAGATTCCAAGAATGAGTCGTCGAACTTGCGTCCTCGGGCGGCGATTGGGCTGCCGGTGTAGTCGTCTGATCGAGTGATTCTTACTGTACCCGTGGTGTCTGGTGTACCAACGCTGGGGATGGACAGATTCTTGACGTGGTTGCGACGGGGATTTGATTGGAAGAGTTGATCGATAGCATCAGCGGTAAGCGAGGTTTGAGCGCCATTATCGCTGGTGGACATGGCCGGTTTCTTGTTTGCTGAGATCTCTTCTAGAGGAGGCCGAGCAGCGTTGGCATTGTTGGTGAGTCCGGCCGTCTCGAGCGACTGACTTGTCTCGTCCTCGGCAATAATTACTGGTACATCCTTCGATTTCCCAGTGCTCAAAGAGTTGAGAGCTCGGTCATCAGACGCCTTGAGTGAAGAGTGTGTCTTGCCAAATGCCCCCGCAGCAACAGGGAGAACGAGAGAGCGCCATGCAGAATGATCAGCGCTCTCGTCCACTGGGGTAGGAGGTTCAATGGCCTCCGAACCGATAGACGAGAAAACGAGCGCAGGAACAGGTTCGTTGATTGGAGAGATATTCTCGGCGGAAATTGAGGACAGCTTCCATTCTGGAACAGGGACTTCTGGTTCGGAAACGGGTTCGACGTCTTCCATAGTGACATTTGAGAGAGTGAGAGATGGCACTTCCTTGGGCTCTTCAATCAAAGGCTCAACATGCTCTGTTGAGATAGATGACATTATAAGAGAGGGCCGAGGTACAATCACTTCAGGCTCGGCAATTGGCTCAATGTTCTGTGTAGAAATGGAGGTCATGATGAGGCTTGGTGGAGGGACGGGAGGTTCGATGACGGGCTCCACGTGCTCAGTAGAGATTGAAGAGATGATCAGGGATGGTTGAGGAACAATGACAGGTTCCACATCTTCGGTTGAGATAGAGGACATGATCAACGATGGCGGAGGAATAACGACGGGTGGCTCAATCACGGGTTCCACATTCTCCGTTGCGATGGAGGAGATGACCAATGATGGTGTGGGAACAACCACAGGGGGTTCGATGACGGGCTCAACATTCTCCGTGGCGATAGAGGACATGATCAGTGACGGAGGAAGAGCAATAACCGGGGGCTCAACAATAGGCTCCAAGTTCTCTGAGATGAGTGAGGACATGCTCAGTTGAGGAGGTGGGGGGACGATAAATTCCACCCTAGGCGCCGCTTCGACTGGCGAGATGGGTTGAGTAAACTCGGAGGCGATGCTCGACAGGGCAAGCACCGGCACTGGAGCCACGACCTCGACGGGACTGATAGGCTCAACGACTTCCCGTGAAATTGCCGTCATAGACAGAGCCGGAGGAGCAGGCTCTGGTACTTCTCTGGGAGGCGAATGCTCGCGGGAAATACTGGACATTGACAGCACTGGGACCTCGGGCTCAGGTCCTGGCTCTGAATGTTCTGTTGAGATGGAGGACAGAGACAACGCCAGAGGCGCCGGCTCGGGCTCTGCAATTGGCTCTAGATGCTCAGCAGAAATTGTAGACAGCGCCAAGGCCAAAGGCTCGGGCTCGGGCTCGGCGATGGGCGCCAAGTGCTCCGCAGATATTGAGGACAAAGCCAGGGCAAGAGGCTTTGGTTCAGGCTCTGCAATTGGTTCCAGGTTCTCGGCACCAATCGATGACAGTGTCAAGGTAGGTGGAATCTCCATGACAGGTTCCACATGCTCCGACTCGACGGAGGACCATGAGAGGACAGGTGGTGCCTCGGGCACAGGATCCAGCTGCTCTGCCCCAATTGAAGACAGAGACAATGATGGAGGAAGCTCTGCGACAGGTTCCAGGTTTTGCGTGCTGATAGCGGTCCAAGAAAGAGCTGGGGGAAGCTCTGGAACGGGCTCCAAGTGTTCCGCCCCAATGGAAGAGATCGACAGCGAAGGTAGCGTCACAACTTCCTCGACTGGCTCCAGTGCTTCGACAGTGATCGAAGTCAGGCCCAAGGAAGGAATGACGATGGGTTCCTCTACCGGCTCGACGCTCTCTGAGTGAACAGAAGATAGAGCTAGTTCAGGTGCTAGCACAATCACACTCGGAGGGGCCGGGAATTGAGATAGCCTAGGGTCAATATCGGCTTCACTATGTTGGCTGAACGAACCCGAAGAGACAGGCCTTAGCGAGTGGGCATCAAAGTCTCGAGACGACACCTGAGAGAGGCGGCGGTTGCCCAGTGGTGCATGGAAGGCCGAAACCACGGACATAGGACGGTCCGAGTGTTGATCAAACGGCAAAGGAGCAGGCGACAGCTCCTTGAGATCGATAGGATCTGTCATAACTCCGCTATCAACCATGACCGGCTTGGGCACAACAGGAGCTGCAGGAGCCAGTGATTCTTGAAGACGAATTGAGCCAGGAGTGAAGGCACGGACATTCCTACTGGGCGTACCATTAATAGAATCCTCGTCACTTCCGGCGAAATCTTGCAACTCAGCGAACAAGCTTTGATGAATGCCTTGAGGGGTTGCTGAGCTGCTGCCAGTGAAGCTTGCAGCAGGGCTGCTCTTAAAGGAAGGCTCTTCGCTACCCTGGCGCGAGCTCCGGCCTAGGCCACGGCTAAGTCTAAATCGTCCTCTAGGCGGGAGAGGCTCAGTCGGCGTCCTGACTTGGGGAAGCTCGTCACCCGATGTCGACGCTGTACTGTCGAAAGGATCGGGGCCAGCATGCCTCGAGAGACCTGCTGGCAGAGGGGGAGGTCGTTTCATTCTACCAAAGCCTCGGGATGTTGTTTCCGTCTCGGTATCGTCAGCGTCGCTTCCGGAGAAGGCTTCATTACCGGTTTGGAAGTCGTCAGTCTCGGTGCCAGCACGCTCGTTTGCGGTCTCAAATGCTGATTCGCTGGCTTCGTTGGCAGTATCGAACTCCTCGGAGACGTTGCCCAACCCAGTACCCTGTCTATGAGCAAGGGGAGAAGAGCCACCAGTGACAGTCGAAGATGCCTGTGGCGAATGATCGTCGTGGTCTTCCCAATCGGGCTCTTCTTCGCTAAGAATGATCTCTTTCTGACTGGAGCGGTGGCTTCCGAGCAGGCGGGAGTACCTCTTAGAATCTCTAGGGTCGAGTTTGCGGCTCTTCCGGTGTTGCGACGTTGAAGATCCAGAGTCTGTTCTAACTCGCTCCAGATCGTCTCGAAGGTCCTGAATGATGCGTCGAAGCTCAACCTTCTCTGTCTTTTCGCGGTGGATCTGGCTGCGCTGACTCTGGATAGTCCTGTGCGCATGGTGCAGAGAAGACTTGAGGGTCTCAGTCTCGAGCATTGAGTGACGAGGAGTGCCTTTGATGGGGGAAGCAGGAGGAGAATGCTCAGGTGTGAGGTTGTCTGCAGCAGATTCGAAGTCATCTTCACTCGGCCCAGAGAGCGAGTCTCGCTCAGCAATCTTGCCACGCTGTACGGAAAAGGCCTTGGCGAGTTCTTGGTTCTGATGCATCAGATCATCAATCTTGCGCTGCATGGTTGTCCTCTCGCTGTCGGCCATGACCATGTTCCTCTTTACTGTGCCGAGCTCGATGTCGTGGTGCTTGACAGATGCAGTGTGCTCCTCGAGAAGCTTGGCATGCGACAGCCTAGCCTCATCCAACTCCTTTTGTGCGGCGACCTTCTCTGTGTTGGATGCGCTGAGGCTCTGCTGCAGCTTCTTCTCTCGGTCGGACGCATCACGTTGCTGCGACGACATCTCCTGGAGCCTGGTCTCGAGGTTCCAGTTCTCTTCTTTGTATCGGTGCTCACTTTCGTCGAGCGTCTTGAGACGCTGGTGAAGGCTCTCGGATTCGATCTCAAGGGCGGACTTGTCGGTCTTCAAATCTCGAACCTCTTCATCGCGTTCGGCCAAGAGAGCTTGCAGGTTTCGCACCTGTCCGATCAACGACGTGCTGATTTCGGCAGCAAATTCGATGTCGTGTACCCGGTTCGCTGGTTGGTTCCTGATTTTTCTATTCGGGACGCTCAACTTGGTTGGAGACCCGGTGGCCTGACTTTCGAATTTCGACGGACTGACAGACCGCTAGTTGCACGTGTTAATTCCTGAATTGATACCAAAAAGCCCCTTGCGAGGAGAGAGCGAAAGCAGGAATACACTTACCCTACCGTTCCTGGCCCCAGGGAAGGGAGATCCAGGGTTGGCCTCGTTACTCGGTACTCTCTGCTTGGGCAGGAAGGCCCGGGCAGACTCGCGTGCCAAATCATTGTACTCCTTCTCGATTTCCACCAACTTCTGGCGCAGTTCTGGGTTGAGTTCTCCCTCTGCTTCGAGCTTCTCTACTTCCTGCAACTGCTCGGCGAGAGCTTTTCGCTGCGACACCAGGGCGGTGCCCAATTTACCAGCTTCGTCAAGGCGTCGATCCGTCTCGGCCAGGTGCGCCTCCAAAGCTCGCTTGGCCTGTCGCGGGGAAGACCCGGGACTGGAAGCAAAGAGTCCATTGTCGAAATTGTTGGAGTAGCGATGATGCGCGGTCGTGGAATTTCCTGTCGTGAAAGGATCGTACTCGTTGGAGCCCTCTGGCGCAGGGAGATTCGGCCGGTTGTCGGGGGCGAATGAGGTAGCCATGCTGGGCATCTAGATGAAAGAAAAAATTAAACAGTGCAAGACAGGCGGCCTGTCCAACGAGAACCACGCGCGACCATCAAAAAGAACAGGTGTTGAGGTGTAACGGGTAATTTCCGTTGGAGTTGCAACCACGTGTTGGGGGTTGCACAGTGACAGGAGCTGGAAAGAGTCGCGATGCAGCTAATGAAGCCCAGCACGATCCTAGCGGGAGTCCGTAGCACGGGAATGAACAGAGCGCTCAATCCCAAGGCCGGAGCTCGAATTCAGAGACGCCGCCTACGGTGGTGGTGTCGAGACAGCTGAAAACGAGACGGCGATGCTGGAAGAAGGAGAAGAAACCGTGCGCACAAGCGGCGATTGCAGCGAGCGAGGGCAGGGGTGTGCAGATGAGCAGAGCAGGCTAAAAGCTGCAGCCAAGGTAGAGAGCGACAGTAGGTAGATGAGCAGGACCAGCTGCCACGGGTCGATGGGACCACAGCGAGGGAGAGATAGCGCAGAATGCAGAATTCACAGGAGCACAAAGATTGAAGAGCTGCCTGGACGACCTGGACAAGAGAAAATTGGACGAGTGGGCGAAACCAAAATGTAGAAAGGAAATTGGCCGTTGGAACAGTCAGCGGCGGCAAAGGGCGCAAGAAGCTATCGGCGAACAAGAACGGGTGGTAGGTATTGGAATTAGTGTCGCCAAAAACGGACCTTAGTCTCGAAAGGCAAGATGTCTCGAGCTTGCAGGCGTAAGATGGAGGGCTGATGACAGCAGGGGCCGATTCTACTCCCCAGTCCAAGTGTAAATTTCGGGACGTTTTCAGAGGTCTAGCTCGAGAGGGGCGCCGAGGCGGAGTGTTGACGTCGCAATAGTATTAAGTCAGGTACTAGCAGCAGGAGACAGCTAAATTCTTCAACGAGGGGGCCGCCTCGCTGGTTAGCTGAATTCTGTTGGGACAAACAGGTCGGAGCATTACACACATTCAATCACCAAGTATTACACCCCAGAATCAAGTAGTCGGCGGGGAAAAGGAGAGAAGGCAAGAAAGAGAGTTTGCGAGTTCCGAACAAAGACACAAAAGAATAAGAGACAGACAATAAAAAAGAAGAAACGAGAGGGGGGAAAACCCAAAAGAAACCTGGCGGAGGAGCGGGCGGCACGCGTAGGAATTGAGTAATTGATTGATTGATTCAACGACGGGCGGGCTACAGCATCCGGCGCAGGGCGGCTGAGAGAGCACAGAGAGCCGAAGCTACGTGACGATGGCAGGATCGTCAGCGTCCGGGTATCTCGCGCCGTTCCAGGAGAGAGGGTATGAGGCTAAAGGAAAATTGACAAAGAGCCAGAAGCCCGTGAGGAATGAGGAGGAGAGCGAAGGAGACGGGCAAGGAAAAGTCAATGGCGATGCAGACGGGAAGCAGCAGACGAGATGCTGACATCGGCCACCCATGTGCAAGTACTGGTACAATGACCAGCAGGCCCAGTCCGTACCTGCCTCATCTGCGGGCAGGTACCAGGAGGGAGCGGGTGTGACTGCGGGTTGCGCCTGCACTAAGCACTTGCGTGAGGTACCGTGGTACATCCGCCAGCATTTATTGGCCAGCTCCACATGTGACTGACAGCTCTCAGCTCCATTCTGGACAGGTACCTGCTACGTGCTAGGCCAGGGAGGGGCCCCCCCAAGCGCTTAAGCCAGTGAGCGCGACACAATTCCTCAGTGCGCCTGGGATAGTGGCAGAGGGGCGAGTGGGCGCTGCTAGTGGCCCATGATGCGATGTACTAAAGCAAGGCACGTTGTACCGACCAGGGTGCGCGTCTTCATTTGCCTTCAAGGTTGCTTTGTTTTTGCTCTGCTTCAAGCCCCTCCCCCTCTTTGAGACGGTTCTTGGGCAGATAAGACATTGACCATCCTCGCGCATATCTTGTCGTCCAAACAGTGCAGCGACGCCGTCTGTCAGGAGCGACGGGAGAGGCGAGGACGGCGGACAAGAGACAGCCGCCTCGCCTGGGACTCAGCGTTTGCGCATTGAGCAGCCAGTGGAGCAGGCGCTGGCCATGTTTTGCGTTGTGTGTTTTTATTTTTTTCGCACCGCGGAACATAACATTACGTCGGAGAGCGGGACAATGTGTACATTGACGCTGTGTACCGATACATCCACCACGATCGTTTGTTTACTTTCCCTAGCGGATTCCTCACCACGCGCCAGCAAACATCGTTCATGCCGGCAAAGCAGTCTTTGCGCCTGTGATAGGTTCAGCAGTCCGCCCGAGTAGCATTGGCCGAGAACTCGATTGCCCTATTGTCGGCGTCTGCTGCGACAGTTTCACACGGGATGGAATTACCGACCAGGCTCTCCTGCGGCGAAGGGCGGCCCCTGTGCATATGTAGGTCCCTACGTAACGCGGCAGACCGCCCAAGTAATAAGAGTGAATGTGGGAATCGGCTCATCATAGCGAGCAATCTGGGGCCGCAGCATGCATCTACGAGATGGAATCGAGGCCCTGGCTGAAGGTCCACGGCAGCTAGTCTAGCAAGACAATCCGGCGCGACAACGCTCACTCGAGTGCCATGAGATAAGATCTCCGCTGATCATGCATTGAGTCATTTCATGGCTGGACGGTATAATAATAATACTAATGCTTTTTCCGTCGCTTTAGGTGGGATGGACATCCCGCTAGTCGTTCCGTCTCTTCTTCGAGAAGAATGACGGCCTTGATCCCAAGTTGGCCGCCGTCATGGGCAGGCATGGCAGTTAAAATAATAATTGGAGCCTGCTGAACAAGGACCAGGGATCCTGCCGGCCAGATAGTCCCTTGCAGGCAGGTAGAATGGGGGAATCTCTTTCATTGGGAGAGGCCCAGCTGATCTCGCGAATGGCCGACACGGCGGCCGTGGAGGGAGGCGGCCTTTGAATCTTGATCGCGGCACGATGCGCTGGACAAGCATGACTGGTGGTGGGGAGAGGCGAATTCGCTGGGCCAGTGAAGATGCAAGACAACCAGCCGCACAACAAGACGCGCACGACCTCGCACACCAACGTGCAGCCACTGTGCCACGCAGGCCGTAATTAGACAGTTGAGCTTTATCCCCACAAGGCATCCAGCAATCAAAGCCTGGAAGGGCGCTGTGACCAATCAGGTGGCTTCACGTATGATGATGAAACCCAGCATCGCTCCCTCCAGGACGAATTTGCCATGGCCAAGGCACTGCCTCGAGCTGAGCGAGTCCCAGCCGCTATCTACGTAATAGTTGAACAGCAGAGAAATTCTTGCATTGCACTACATATCGTAGATGAATTATCCCTTCACCAGTGTTCAATGCTCTTGGCTAGAGCGCTGACTAAGGCACCAAGGCCAATTTCTCAGCACTGACCCTTTTTTTGCCCCTCAGGTCAGCCCGGCCTCAGACGAGGCGGTCAATATCGTAGTTCGTTTTCAAATACTCAGCCTACTTCTAGGATCCCATGCACGGAGAACCTTGCCTTGCAGCACCGACATTTCGTAAATAACGTTCAGACTAATTACTATAAGATACAGCAGGAAGCTCATGCGTTTGGAAAAGGGGATACGACAGCCTCGTTCACTAAGCCGAGAGATTTACAATTTGAGGAGGTGGTTATAGGGTAGCTACACGCGACCCCGCACAGCAAACGCCCAGAAATCCCAATAATTGAAGCTAATCGGATCTGCCCGGAATCACAGCCGCCAATACTTCTCCAAATCTAGGATGTATGTAGGAAAAGGGCTGCACTTCCCTTTGATAAGGGGACGTAATACTCCCCGCCTAATCTGGATTGGAATAATTACGTATTCCCTGATGGCCATATCCAAATCTCGTTCAACCACGCACCGGAATTTGGGAAATGCCCTGGAAATAGTTCCCAAACATCACCCTGTAGGTACCACCACTAGCACTGACCTTCACTATATGTATCTAATATTAACAGGTTGACAGTGGAAAGACCTAGGCATCCGTGCGATTCCCTGCAGCTTTCCGTGTAATAAACCAAATGAATTACAGGAGACAGAGTAGACGTTCATTCTCCTGATGGTCTCATTCTGGCTCCAGGCTTCAACGGCATGTCAATCGTCGTGTCATGCCCCGCCATACATAGCATTACTTGCAGCACAGATATCCATCTGCGCATTAACGACCCATCTGCACAACATACATTTATTTTTATGTCTGCTTAACAGCTGCCTGGTATAATTCCCCACTTGTTTCAATCGTACAGTGTCTTCCGAGACTTGAGGGAACATGAAAGGAGGCAGTATTGATTGACGTAGTGTGAGTCAACTCCATCCACAACTGAGATCTCGTGTGTGTCTCTCCACTAGTCGACTATGATTTTTTAGTATGAATAGCTTGAGATCTATCGAATTGTCTACATCGTTATTTGATGAGACTTACAGAATGCGAGATGTGATATCATCCGGGGGTAATTGCGGCAATCTCAATGAGCGCCTCTCCCTCGTGTGCATCTACCCTGAGACATGTCATCTTCGCCTCAGCCATGCCTCCAATCCCACTCAGAAACATAAAGCTTTGATCCAATTTCGGAATTGTCATTTTTGGATTATTGTCATAGTAGAGACTGTGGTAGTTAGGTAGGTAGCTACTTATCCCATCAGATATCACATACAATGCTGTCTGAATCAAGCTACCGAAATGAGATGAATACATCCCGTGGCAGCAACCCGTGACTAGCTACCAGAGGAAAAGAAGATGCGAGACATAGGAAAATTCCCTAAGCAGGGACAGAATCAACCAGTAGAACTGAGAATGAACTGAGAATGCGCAGCTAGCCCCCGTTCCAAATTTCAATTTCCCTTCATTGAGTCGGACTTGATCATCCAACCACATCAGCAAGAAGCCGTACTCGGCCGCACCTTTTTGGTCACAACATCGAACCCTCCTCCCTATCCACCGCCCCTTGAAAAAAAATTCCTCGGGACAGACTTGACTCACCCTGACACTACCTTACTTGGCAATTCCAAGGCAGGCAAAGTAGTGCTTGAAGGAGTCAGCCTCCAGGGCAAACACGCCTTGGCGGTCTAGCATGTCAGCGGGCGGCCAGATCTTCCTGTCCACCAGGTCGAGCATGCCCGAGTAGCTGGTCATGCCCACCGGCTCGGTGACCCCCCATGGGTTGCGCAGCACAATGTACTGCTGTGTCCCGGGGGAGGAGATCCAGCCCAGGACCGAGTAGGCGTGGTTGGCCACGAGGTTGGAGCCTCTGTACAACCCGTCGCCCGAGGCGTGCGTGTAGGCACACATGGGGTGGATGGTCTTGAAGCTGACCGAGTTGGCGCGCACAAGCCCGACCAGGTCCTGCCCGGAGCGCGAGCTGGTGAAGAAGTAGTGCGGCGTGCGGTCGTTGATCTGGGCCATGGCCTTGATCGGGTCGCCTCCGGCCGCGGCGGCGAACGTTTGCGTGATGTCCGGGTGCTCTCCGGTGCCCTTGGTCAGCCACTTGGCGAAGGCCTTCTCGTACATGGCGGGCCAGACGGCGCCCAGGCTGTTGCTGGAGCGGCAGTAGACGGGCCAGTTGGTCACGTTATTGACGGGGATGTCGTAGTCGACGTCGATCTCGGCCGTGTGCGCGTCGTTCTCGCCGCCCTTGCTGTAGAGCTTGATGCGGAGACCGCGCTTCTTCTCCTTCTCTTTCTCCCTGTGGGTCGAGTCGAGGACGAACGACTCGTCGCGGCAGATCCTGTAGGGGTCCGACCAGGCGACGGCGTGGATGGCCGCGATGAGCCAGCTGTTGGCGATGGCGCCCTGCACGGGGTCGTTGAACTGGGCCATCTGGACCATCTCCTGGTCCATCTCTTGCTGGGCCATCTGGGTAGATCCTAGGGGCCCCACGGTACTTGCCCTGTTCATCATGCCCATGCCCATGCCCAGGTTGATGGCTAGGTTCTCCAGCCGCTTGCGCTGGATTCTGAGGCTCAGCTCGTTGGTGGTTCCCCAGACACAGTTGGGGGCTGTCCACTGGCCTCTGTGCTTCCTGTAGGGAGTGATGGTCTCCATCAGGGAGTTGGTCAGGGCATGGTTGGACAGGGTTTTGCCCAAGGTCTTCTGGTGCAGAACGAGGTTTAGCTGGCCGCCCTGCAAGAAGGCCTTTTCGACCTTGAGATCAAGCGGGTTCTTGAGTCCGACATGCTCAAGGTCAGACAGCTTGTTGATGCGAGACAAGTCAGGAGTGATGAAGTCGTCCTCGTTGAGAACTTTCATGTCATCGCTCCTGATACGCTCAGCCTCCTTGCCCTTGGAGTTGAGCTTCAGGCCGGGATAGAGCACGGAGTCATGTTTCATGTCAAAGAGCTGCGAGTACTGGGTCTGGAGGACCTCGCTGATGATGTTTGCCACGACTGGGGAGGTTTTGTCGATTGGCCGACCAAGGATGACCTCGGTGAGGGCATAAGGGTTGACCGCGCCAATGTTGATCACCTTTGGGGGGGAGTCAGGCTTGGTTTGGTCGGAGGATCCTAGGAATTGCATCATGGTTGCTGCTTTTTCACAGATAATATAGCTTGAGTGTGATAAGAGAAGCCTGGAAGACAAGACAAGTACGAAGTGTCTCGGTCAAGTTGATGGCAATGAGAATGAAGATATGAGTCGAGGAGGAGCGTAGGCCGATTCTTATTATAGATTCCCTGAACCTAGTTTGAGGTATTAAGATTGGAAGATTGTTTCTCACGATCACATGAAAACCGGACAAACCCCACGGATTCTCGCTTGTGACACTGAGGATGCCATTCGAGACCAGTCTATTCTGCATGCGGAGAGACCGGTGAGCCTTCACAAGCCGCTGCTCATCCCTCTGTCTGTCGTTAGAGTTTATGTTGATTGCAACACGTTGTGTCTTCTGCGGCAACCCTGAACCCAGAAGTGCAACTAATTGGCGGTGTCAATGCTATGTAACCATTCCTCTCTTGGTATTGGAAGTACTTACACCTTCTGTCCGCGTGCCAACACCCATATAGGACACAATGTTAGGAGTTGACTTATGTTGACATCATGGTCAAGTCATCATATTGTGGACTGACACCGGGTAATGTGTATGCGCCAAGTAATCCGTTGTTGCTTGGTCCAGTTGGTCCAGCCCTCAGGTACGCGCAACCGGGCAATAAGGTTCGGTTATGGCGTTGATGGGTTGCATCGACAACCCCTCATTGACACCTCGTGTTGTTACCTAGCAAACTTCTTAGACGCTTAGAAGTTTCTTGCCATTGACTAATAAGATCGAAGCGGGGAAATTCCAGGTGATATCCGCAGACTCAGAATGGAGTGCTGCTCCTTCACAGACGCCGTCCTCCTGGCTCGGTCTGGGGAATGATCGGCTCTAGCTCAAGCACCTCCAAACTTAACCATTGGCGAATCTCCACAAAGCTCATATAGGGTGACAACCCTGTAACGCCAATGTCATGGTTGGATTGTTGAGTGAGGAGAATCAATGCAAACTTCGTCCGGGCCATCCGCCATCATACCTCAACCGGAGCGATTCTTCTAGGCGTGGGGCAAAAACTGGAGCGGATGATACACTTTCCATGCAGAAGAGCCTTTTGAGGGCTTGAAGAATGCTCCGAGGGATGAGGATTGCAACTCCGGTCATGCCACAGAGACTTCCAAATTGCTCCTGATATTTCCTTCACGAACCATTGTGTTGCATTTGAATTCGTAGTGTCACATGAAGAGTGTTGCCGGTTTGCGAAGGCCCTGCAAAAATCATCTGAACACCTGATTGTTGAGAAATTATGATATCATTCGTGCGCACTCCCCTTACTGACTTTTATTTTTGGATGCGGAGAAGGTTGTTCGTTGCAGCGCATATAAATCATTACGCCATTGTCGTTTCACGGATCCGATAGTAGCGAATGAAAAGAGGATGCGAGCTCCAGAAAAGGCCTCATTATTGGGAAAATGGTCCGTCCATGTCGATGAACTTTCGGTCACTCTGACGACGGTTGGGTCGTATACGAGCAACATGTGGAATGTGCCAACATACCTTCGTCATAACGGCCCATCCTGAGCTGTAATACTGAGAGACTTCCATCAGCCATTGACAAAGAGATGTCGCCGAATGTTATGAGGACGCAATTGATCTTCTCCGCCGTAGCATTCGTAATAAGGGGTGAGGCTGGACGGGAATTCCGAATAGTTGCCGGATGGCCCGGAGACGGGCCAGGAAGGGAACTAAGTTCACACGATAGAGTTACGAAGTTAGCCACAACTGGCTGTAAACTGCTCATCTGAAACAGAATTGCTCGCTCGCTAGTACTGGTGCCTGGCGTAGGCTGGACCAACCGGAATATTTCTTTGCACCCACGTGACATGAATAGTTTGCTGTGGTTTGAGAAGAGGGAGAAAGATCTAGAGAAATTTGATGGGCAATGGATAGACCCCTCAGGAGTGGGTGATTTGAAGAAGCTTTCTAAACCAGAGAAAGGAGAGACATAGCTTCGAGCATCTGATGTCCTGCATCAGCATTCACGGCTATTGTGCCTTCAACTTCTGCGTCAACTCTCAACCCAAGTATGATGTCTGTTTGCAGATGATAACAAATCTACTAGGAATTCATTTTCGAAGCTGCTGACCACCTCGAGAGACGGTTTCATACACGGTGTAAGAAAGTGGTGCGACACCGCGTTCATCTCTGAGAGGTACGGAAAGATCATCCATTGTTGGATGGACAGCTCTCGAAAGCTTTCGAGAATACTCTCGTCTGGAGTCCCGTATAGTGCAATTAGGTCATTGGCTATCCTCAAAATGCCTCTTCGCATGGCGAGTAATTCTGCAAAGTAGTGAGCCAAAGCAACAGACGCAAAGTCATACTTGCGACCTGCAAAAAAGGTCAAGTCAGGCATCTCAATTATTGAACCCAAGACCAAACCCCTGTCCAAAACTCTGACGGTGACAGCTTCCAGGACTTTCTCGTGATGGAAAAGATCCTGGACTAAGGTCTCCTTGAGTCCCTTCATCTTGGCCGGGCTGCCCAAGATCTGCCCGATATCCCCAATCCAGGACATCATCTTGCCCGCAGCTTCTTTGATGGAAGAGAATTCCCCAGAAAAGCAAGAAAACTCTTCAGCGACTGGTGGTTCGCTCTGAAATTTCTCAATAACCTCAAGCCAACCTGGATCTAAAGGGACATCGTTGTCGGACGGACCGGTAACTGCTGGTAGTGCCTGCGATATCGTGTCAATGACCTGAAACTCAAACGAGATTAATTATTTCCTACCTTGAGCCATTGATTTTCGTAGGTGAGAGTGATATCAAGTTCATCTCCGATGGTCGGACTTCGTTTTGCTTGAAGGACGTGACGTATTGCATGTCTATGAGCCAAGGCGCTTTGTGGTTGGCCAAATAAGGAGCTGGCACGTTCCAAAAGAGCTATTGCACAAAGCGTCTCGACATCGTATGTCTGCCCTCCAGTTATTGCATGCTGCAAGCTTCGGATCGCCTTGTTGTAATGGCTCGTTAAAAGAAGCTTCGAGACTGGCTCCCGACGCCGATATCCATTCCAAGCGAAGCAGAAAAGGCCTGTACAATCGCGCAAGCAAGCGCTGCGCGATAGCCTCTGCGGCAAGAATGGGAGATAGCTCATTTGTATGCGTACGCCAGCTTCAGAGCCTCGTTCTAGGAGACCCGCAAGCCTGGCAGACACCCGGTCAGCGGAAGTGGTGAGTCTGGCGCGAGGTATCTCGAGACAGGGCGCCTCCAGACGGAAGACGCCGTAGGAGGCGGACCCGTCATTGAATGGCCTTAGCGGATGATGATTGACGAGGACGGCGGCCTCTCCTGGGGGGATGGGAGCAGTTTGGGATTTGCAGTTGATGTTGGACTGGAAGCGGTGATCATTGCTTTGGCCGACAAACTTTGTCAATGGCGAGGGTCCAGAGCAGCTTCGGTTCGTGCGCTTGCAATGCCCGCATCTCGGCCAATTTTGGTCACACTGTTGAATCACCGTCAGTTCGTTGCCCAGGCTATGACCGCATGAAGAATCTGTGACCAACGCACCTTGATCTTCCTTGCTCTGCAGTTCTGGCATCTCTGCGAACGGCGGACGCCCGTCATGACAAAATTCCAAGACTTGCCTCCAGTGGGTGAATTGGTGTTTGGGAAAGGGAACTAACTGTTGATGAAGGGAAGGAGCGTCCGCACGCTGTTTATTTGGCATGATGAGTGGGGCTGCTAGCTGAGAACACAATTGACCACGCCTTGCTACCCTACATGTACTCTTTAGCTCACTACTTGGCAGTGACATGCCGAGTTCAAAAAGACCTTGGCAGCTGTTCTTACGTTGAACCTGATAGTCTTACTGTATTATTATACGAAGGGTAAGATTTGCATAAGGTCAATTAAAAGAGTAAGGATTCTCATTTGTTACGAGCAACTAAAATTAAAGGACACCTGATTTGAGATTAAACACTTTACTCGCCAACGTCTTCTATTGATTGAGTGGGAGATTCTATTTATGGCAATCTATAACCGGTCGGGGCTTGCTGAAAGCGTTCTAGCAACCATTTATTCCTTAGGTCCCTCCTCTGCTATGTTTCGGAAAAATTGAGCAAAATCCTGTGCTGCATCCTCGCCCCCAAACATCTGCCCAATCAACTCATCTGTTTCTTTACCCAACTTCTTTGCGCGTTCTACCAAACTCGTTTCATACTCTTGTAGCAGGGGATCGAAAGTCTGATAGAACAAGTTGATATCTTTCCCGGACGTTTCATACGACTTTTGAATGGCTTTAAAGAGCATGAGAGCGTCAAACATGGCAGCATTGACACCCTCGCCGTTCGGAAGCATGACATGGGCAGCATCCCCCAAGAGGGTCACCCCAGATGCGTGCTCCCAAGATGTACCGTGAGGCAAGGCGTACAGCGCGCGGATATCGAGGTCCTCACCGCTTCTGGCCTCTTCATCGCAGGCAGTTTCTACCAGCTCTTTCGACAGGCCCGTAAAGGTCCCTAGAAGCGCGTCATCGCTAAAGAGCTTCTGCTTTGCAACTGTAGCTGGCTTCCCAGCAACCCCGGATGAAGCGCCGAAGTCTTCATCAGGAATTGTGAGCCAGAGGTAGAGCCTAGATGAGTCGATCGGCCCTCGCTGAGACATGACGCCATGTTTCTTTCCCAGTGACGAGAAAGATCCCGTGCCGACAAGTTTGGCCAGGTGTGGATATTTCGATGTAATATTTTTGATTGTGAGAGTGATGATGTACATGTTGGTAAATTGCGGCTGTACATTCGTGAGAAGGCCCCGGACCTTTGACCAAGCTCCATCTGCACCAACCACAAGGTCGAAGGCTTGTTTCCCATGGCTGCCGAAGTCGAGCTCCGTTTCAACGTGTGTCGGTGTGGTTCGTCTTGTCGCAGAGACGAGTTTGTGGCCCCATTTGATATTGGCGGAAGGGATGTTTCGGGACAAAAGCTTAGCGAGGTTGTTGCGAGAGATTTCAGGACGTAATCCATCTCCGCCGCCGTGAGTGTAAAGAACACTCCCGCTCCTGTCTGCAACAATGAAGTCCTGGCTGCATTCGCCGGTTAGGGGCAAGAAATCCTCGTACAAGCCACATTCTTTCAGAGCTGCGAGGCCCGATTCTTGATGAAGATCAAGCATTCCCGATAAATTTTCAAGTTCTTCATTGGTAGGCTTTGGGCGTAGCTCAAAGATGGTAAATGGAATGTTTTGTTGATGAAGCAGAACCCCGAGAGTCAGCCCAGCAGGGCCGCCACCAATAATTGCAATTTTTGGCGGAGAGTCCATAGCGAGGTATTATTGAACTTGGAGTATTTTTTTCTTGATGGAGCTCAGTTTGATCCTAATATTGTGGTAGACTGTTCCCTGGACGTGCTGGTGGTTTGCCCTAGGAGCTCGAAGTTTTGCTCCAGCTGCTTGGTTGTAGTAATCGAGTGTTAGGCTTTCATACCATGTGGAAGAGCCTGTCTACTTATAGAAACGAGAGAAAACATCCAGAACTCGCATTTCCGGGAACTTTATGGGTCCAGTCGGGCTCGGGGATGGTTGAGGCTCTTTTCCAACCGACCTCCGGATCATAGAACCGGCCGAAGACTTCTCCACTCTCTAGAAGCTGCACAGCTCGGGTCTGGCTATAACCCGCCAATCAGCGGCTACATTTATTTCCATTTGCTCCAGCTCTAGCTCTCCATGGCTGGACACTCGCTAAAAACTCCGTGTTAGGCTCTCTCGGGGCCGACTGGGACCACCAATTGCGTTCCTCGCAAGCTCCGAAGCACGGATGATTCTGCTGAGTGCTACGCGCTCAAAGTTATTCGAATGTATCAATTCGTAATAGCCTTAGATTACTTCTCACAAGAGCATCTTTGTACTGTTCGGTAAATAAAGGTGCACATGGAGTCGACTCTTGTAATGCTGATAGATATATCGCCTCACACGGCTGGATCTCAAATGGGTTTGATAGCTCCTAATTCATCAATCATCTCTTTGCGACGATTCCTTGCTTCATTGAGATGGAAATGAGTGGCTGTTCAATGTCAGCTGATGTAACTTCACATGTCGAGTCAGCCCGTAGCTGGAGAGTTTGGAAGGCGGATTGGCTCTAAGCTGCCTGGATGCTACCCACCTTGCACGCTCACTGGCGAGAATTTGCATTGTAACAAGATATAGAAGGCAACAACTAAAATTCCGATCAATCATGATGAATGGCGTAATACCCCGCTTTGTCTTGGTTGCTGCATGTAAGTGAGGGGGGGAGCACTGTAGCCAATGATTATGTATGTTTCGGTGGAAAGGCATATTTTGCAAAGGACACAGCCACAAGTCGTCCATGATTAAAACAACATTCCAAAAGCCCCTTCATCTCCTTCCAAATATGCTTGAAGGTCCAAACCATCTTGGGTAGGTCCTCTGTGATCGGAAGTTCGACATGGCCTATCAGTACCAAAGGAGTTTAAGCGTCGTTGACGATGAAATCAGACTGCTTCAGATTCAAGATTCCAGGGATCCGGGTTCAGAAATCAAGTGTGAGTTATTAACCACATCTCTCGGATCAGCCGGAAGCTATACTGCCCTATCTTATTGTTGGGGTGACCCGGGGGGCAAGGAAAATATCATTGTTTCAGAACGCCCTATGAAAGTCACGAGAAATCTCATCAGCGCGTTGCAAGATATGCGTGACCGCGGATATCTCCGCATCTGGGCTGATGCAGTCTGCATCGACCAGAGCAACCTAGAAGAACGCAGCCAACAGATTCTAAGAATGGCAGGAATATACCGCTCGGCTTCGAGAGTGGTGGCGTTTTTGCACGGCGCGACACTTCCCGAAGCAAAACTGGCGTCAGCGCTCTTCCTACGGATAAAAAATGAGGAGGAAGTGACGAGACTGGCGAACAAGGCGAGAGAAGACAATGAAAGACAAAGACAGAGGAAATTGGACCAGATTCGGTCCCAAGAGTCAGGATGGTCATATTTGTTCGGAAACCATGAGTCTAAGTCGCGTAGGCTGCGACGCCCGAAACGTCTACGTGTTCAGATCGACGGTCGTGAGCACTATGTTTTGTCCAAACTGTTAAATAACCCTTATTGGTGCCGCTCCTGGATAATACAGGAAGTCTCGACAAATACTGAACTGAAAATAATCTGGGGTCACCAGGTTTTCGAGCTTAGGAGCTTGATCAGGGTTGCTCGTCTAGCATCCGAGTCCAAAGGCATTAGGATTTTTGGGCAGCTGGCTCATATCCAGGACATTGACAGAATTCGCACTGCCCAATTGACGATGCGACCACGCTCCATTTTAGATGTTCTGCCATTGATACGCAACACAAAAGCGTCAGAGCCTCGCGACAGAATATACGCCATTCTCGGCGTGACATCGAACGGCAATATCCTTGTTCCGTTTCCCAACTATTCACAGCCAGATTCTGCTGTAAATAGAGACATGACGGTGCGGATGATCCAAAGAACCAAGTCGCTTGATCTTGTGATTTTCAAGCATGGTGAAGTGGGACCATGGTGGCACGATTGGTTTAGCCCCGAGTCGTTCTCTGATCGGCGAATGCAATGCTGTATCAAATCTTCGATGAAGAGTGAAGGCTCTATTGATGATCAATCGGATTATAATGCTTCCAAAAGGAGCGTTGCACACTTTCAAATGAGAAACAACTCGCTCTTCGTCAAAGGCTTCTTCGTGGATGATATCATACAGTGTTCCCCCACCCTATCCGAAGCCCTACAGAGAGGAGTGAAGACGTATTCTTGGAAATACGTAAAAGAGCAAAATAATCGAATTGATATTCCAGAAAGCCAAATGGAAAAGCAATCGCGGATTCTGGCTTGGCTCATGTACGGTATCAAATTACACCGTAACTTTGCGAACTCTTATGAAGTACACAAGACAATTCTGGAAGAATTGCTATACACCCTCCGAAAAGGCCGAAAACTGGCTAATATTTCAAATTTTGCCAAGGAGCTGATCCAGTGGCTTTATTGTTGTTGCGAAGACTCTTTTGAAATTAAAGGCTACCCTCTTCCATCCTGGCTTACTGGGAAAGAAGGGTTAAAAGCCCCAAAATCTGGTGTGCGGATCAAGACATTAATGAGAATCCACTCTAATCTAGGCTTGCAGATGCGCTTAGGAAGGACAGATCATGGCCGTCTGGGGTGGTTTAATAGGAATGCTCTCCCTGGAGACAAAATTGCGGTTCTATTAGGCTGTCGCTTCCCGGCTGTGCTTCGAAAGTGCGGTGAGAATCGCTACTGTGTGGTTGGTGAGGCTGTCGTTCAAGGACTAATGTTCGGCGAGGCCATGCGAAAAGCGCAGCCAACTTGGATTGAGCTGGTTGATCTGGATCACAAGCAGTAGCAAAGGAGAGTGTATTTGGCTGCCCACAATAAGACCCGCTATGCATCAATCGATCGAAAGACTGTTGTCGGACCGGAGCAAACACAGCTGGCAATTCACGCCCAACCGCGGTCTCGTGGGAATTCTAGGTCCGCTTTGGGGTTCAGAAACGTTCTGCTCCGTGTTGTTAGTCATTTCGATCGTAATCCGTGGAGGAGGACAAGAATTCTGCTTCTGACGATAAATACTTTCGAGAATGCAATAATAGTTATATAGGTATAACCAAATCGGGTTGCCTTAGTAAGAGACATGGGAAGTGCTAACACTTGTTGTTATCCCACCAATGTGCACTACTATTGAATTTATGTACTGGAAAGGTTATTCCCTATTAGGCTTAATCATGATCTGGGTGACGTCGCCAGCCAAGGCGGCCGTGTATATAAATGTCCCTTGGTCTCCTCCCCCATCACAATCACGACTTCAACAACTTAAACCTCACGTCTTACTCTACAACCCTCACCCAGGCTATTCTCACACTAGTCACTCAAGATGAGTAAATTCACTACGGTCTCCGATGGGGTACTAGTGACCGACAATGGGGTACGTTCTATGCCCTTCTCAATTCTAGCCGCCCAGTGTGATTAACAGCTTCAATCTAGATCCGGCCCCCCGTGAATTGGGTCAATACGTATGAGGAGATAGGAGGGGACATGCTTTGGGGGAATGGTGGTCAACTGGAAGACGAAGTCCGTGGACGTGGCATTGAGGGGGATATCAGGCCGCACTACGGTATGGCATCATACACGGGAGAGGCACTGTACCTCTTCGAGGTTGGTAGCGGCCAGTTCTTCTTCTTCAACGCTATTGATGGGTCTTTGTTGCAGATCAGCAATCAGAGTGATCTCAAGAGCATTGTGGATATCCTTGATGATCCCAACCAAGGCTTACCCGCGCTTGATATTGAGGAGGTCTAGCTCCACATTCGAGGAGTACACTTAGACCACATTTCATTATCACACGAATAGAACAATCACCCAATTCAGGGCTTAATATGCATCGTGATTCAAAAGTACGGAAGTTGCTACAATAAGCAGGTTTCAATCTGTTATTATATTATGAAGTCAGATATCATGTGCCAAGCGGTCTCCAAGCGGTCTGCAAGCAGTCTAGGCAGTCAACTGGAGACATGCTAATCTCGCTTAGTCCAAGATGTTAATACAATGTCAATCAACGGCACGGCGTCTTCTCAACAATAGGCTCGCATCAATTCTCCATCGCGTCTTCATCATGGAGTTTTATTTCAGCTGAAATAGCGTTTTAGGGCAAGATCTACCGCTAATCCTTCGTTGTCAGTCATAAAAGCGGGATGCTGGAGACTAGGGAGCGGGATTCTAAGACACTAAGGCCTAAGTTGGGAAATATTGTTGGCTATCCTAGGCATGTTGACAGCTGAATGTGTACTTGCAGACCATTAAGATGGAAGCGGCAGCGCCTGCATATACCAACTATGTCACTAGCTAGGGGTTGGAAAACCAATCTGGCAAGACTGATAAACTCGCTATTTTGTTTTTGGTTTACGGCATGTCCGCAGCTCAAAACTACCAAATCTGTGGCATCGTTGGAGGGCTAACGGAAACTCTCGGCAATGGCTTTATGCCTGACGTAGCTCTTCATATGGTTAACACTACACACTACTTGCTGTAGCTTCCGATGCCTTCATGAGCTCGATCTACATCCTCTAAAAATCAACACTACATTATGTTCATGTAATTCAAGCCTCAGAGTAGAGCGGTGTCTCTCTAGGTGCTACTAAAGTAAGATTTTTAAAATCAAAGGGGCCTGCTCTACAACCACCACAAAAGATTTATTAACCACCTACTATTTGTGGCTTGATGTGAGGTGTAAGACTGATACTGTACTTATAGGACTTGGGCCTGCCAAATTTAAGTTATTAGGCTATTTAATTAGCTGCCGAGGATAGCTTTTTGCTTAACCGCTGATATGGCTGTCTATTTTGACCTGCCAGCTAGTTACTGCTTGCGACAGCCTCGTTATGTGTACAATTTATTAGCTGCCTGTGAGACTGACCTTGGTAGGCGTGCATAAGAGCATTACAGGGTTGGATGTCAAGCCACAAGTGGTGGGTGGCTAGGAGATTTGTCGTGGGTGTAGAGCGGATCACAAATCAATTCAGTACATTTGCATTAAGCGCTTTAGGTGGGCGGATGATTGCTTGAGACAAAGGATGCTGATGAGGGGATGATGGGGGATAATTACGTGCGGCAGCTCACTACCTGGTTGCGTGGGGTTCATTTGAAAAATTGTTCATGCGAGATGGATACCATCTGATTTGGTGAGGCGCAGCTAAGATACATGAGATAATCACCTCTTGTTTTGGTCGTGCTGGAGAGATGCAACTACGTTATCATTAACAGGGCACTTTGGGTGCGTGAAAGGAGAGAGATGAGGATCCATCCAGGACAAACCACCAATCAGGAATTGGTTGCCGAAAAGGGAAACCAATTCCTGATTGGCCCTTTCTCTCGGCTTTGCCTGAATAGGCGAGACGTCAGGCAGTCATGAAGCATGCGGTGATGAGCGTATCCCAGTCCAGTGTCTCCGAGCAAACCGGAATTAAGAAATTGAAGAGAAAATTGAATCGTCATGGCCCTGCGTTCTATAACTATATAAAGACCTCACCTATTCGAAATGTGGTATTCTGCTCTTCTCCTGACCAAGCTCAAACAGCCTTATCCTCTTCTCAATATACCTCTCCTACACAACTGCAAGAATCCTTTTCATTCTCTAGATTTCATCTATCGAAAAATCAGAGAGTAGATCATCATGGGCCTCCTCAATACCTTTCGTCACCAATACACCAGCCTCCCCATAAATCTCACCCAAGAACAATGCTCCGGCAAGACCTACATTGTCACGGGGGCGAACATAGGCATCGGCTTGGAATGCGCCAAGCACCTGGTGCGCCTCCAGTCAAAGCGTGTGATACTCGCAGTGAGGTCCGAGTCCAGAGGCAAAACCGCTCTCGCTGAGCTTGAATCTGAGACGGGCCGGCCCGGTGTCGCCGAGGTCTGGATGCTCGACCTGTCTTCCTTCGATTCTGTCAAGGCATTCGTCAATCGTGTTGAGGTGCAGCTCGACCGGGTAGATGGCTTGATTTCAAACGCGGCTGCTGCGAGTGCCGAATGGACCCTCAACGAAGGTATCGAGAGCACGGTGGCAGTCAATGTGGTGGGGACCATGTTGCTCTCGGTCTTGATGATGCCATACCTCAAGAGCTTTGCTCAAAGGTCGGGCACAAAACCAGTCATGAATATTGTTACAAGCGATCTCGGCTTCGTTAGGCAAGAAGACTTGCGAAAAATGGATCAGAAAAACATCTTCAGCGATATTAGTGACAGCCGAAAATGGTCGATTGATGGGACGAATCGGTAAGTTTGGAGATATTCCTTACGGATATGGTCAATGATCCTCGGTATGAAATTTATCTCTGGATTTCTAATATCAAGTCCATAGTTATGCATTCTCAAAGCTGTTGCAGATTTATGCTATCCGCCACTTCGCCACGCTTGCGCCTGTTTCAAAGACAGGTGTGATTATCAACTATCTCAGCCCGGGGCTCTGCAATACAGGCCTTACCCGATACTATGATGACGGTGTAAAGGTAATGGTTGCTGTCCTCAGAGGGGTGATGGGCAGAAGCGCAGAATGGGGGTCCCGCAATTTGTTGTATGCCGTCTCGCTTGGGGAGGAGAGTCACGGGAAGTATATCTCGTACTGTGAGATTGTCGAGTAAGACACCCAGCTGAAAAGAAATTTCCCGAGAACAACGCTCGTATGCTAATATCTAAACAGAAAAGAACTACCACCGTATATAACTGATGCTAGTGGTCGTGAATTAGGCGAGAAGATCTGGAATCAGCTTGTGGTGGAGATGGAACGTGCGCAGCCCGGCTGTGTTAAAAAGGCTCTCGATGAGAATTGAGGGTGGGAGGGTGATAGGCGCCAAAGTTTTGGTGATGCATATGGTTTCGATTATGTTCGTTTATCCTCCGTGGTACCTAGATGTTGGGATGTATACTTGAAATATTAAGACGGGCTGTTGAGTAAAGACGTGGTCCCAAAACAATCGCGCCAAATCCGAGAAGCTGATTCATCGTGGAGGAAGTCAACCCAAGGGTAATTGTCGAGCAACGCACGGCAAAATTTCCAGTCTGTTGTGCCGAAGACCGACATGACTTCCACAAGTCGTGGTCTAAGCCAAGTAACGGAGGTAGTCTTGTCAAGCACATGCATACCGGCAACAATGAGTAGCCAAACGTGAGTTGCCGGGTCGACGTTATTTATGAAGTCGGGATGATCCAGAGCTTCCGTAAGACTGCTTCGGAGAACAGGGTAAGGTATCTGCCGTTGGCGGCTGAGTTGGGTCACAAAAGTGAGCATGAAAGCGAGAAGGCCACGGTGGACTGCTATAGTCACAGCACCGGCAAGTTGACACCCATCAACGGATTCAATGTCGAGCAACCGATAAGTCAGGTGTGTGACGAGGTCTTGAAAAGCGATCGGATACAGTCTGTTGGCCGGAACTGTTGAATTCAAGATGCGCGTCACCTTGGTTATTTCTCGCGTAATCATGAAGACTCTCAGATCTCCCTGTGCGACGGCGTTGGCTAAAGGCGACGGGGATTCGAAGGCAGGGTCGTAATAATTGGGAAGAAGACTGTCAAGTCTTCTTGGTGTCGCGCTTAGCTGAGTCTGGCAGCCTAGTTGGAGGGCTAGTTCTATGTCGAGTCTTCGGGCAAGGATTAGTGGCAGGCTGGGAATGAACTATGAAGAGGGAGGTTAATACATACCGATGGGCCTTTTCTGTCAGAAATGGGTTTTCTTCAAGTTGGTCTAGACCGCCCCGTAGATTGATCATTCGACACAAGCCATCGAAATGAACCTTGGTCTGTGATGGAAGCTTTCGGATGGAAGAAACAAGGCAGAGCAGAATGACGGTACATATGGCCAAATCTGAGAGGGCGTGGACCCCCGATAGCTTGACGTTGACGAGTTGCAACCCTCTCGTTAGATGCTGGGTAAATTCGGCCGAGTCCTGTTCTCGTTGGACTATAAAACTAATACATGCTTCAGACAGAGCGACAAGGCAATGGTAGTCTGTGCCGATGCGATGAGTAGAAGTCCCTGCATCTGTGCAATAAATGGAGATACTCACATGCCTCATCAACGAACATGTACCTGATCCAGATATCTGTTACAATGTCGTATGGTTCTAGGCACAACTGCGGTGGATAAATCGAGTCGGCAACATAACACATGACTGGGAATATACCGCTTGTTAGCGACATTGGATCTCTTGCGGAAGAATGGACACACACAAACAGTCATGTATAAACCGCCTTGAATGACGCGATACTGAGCAGGGCATCTTAACGCCCGACAACTCATTTCCAAGCTGGACGAGGAGCCTAGGAGAGGATCTCGCTTGGAAGAAGTCGATGTCGTGACTAATGGCGAGTCCTTGGGTGTAATTCACATCCTTGGGCTTGGAGGCAACAGCTACAACCGCGCTGGTAGCGGCCAGATGTCGTCGTGGAGTGCGCACCTTGCCCACATTCTTGCCTTTCATAACATGGCTGCGGATGCTTCGCCGGGCTTTTTTGTCGATTGCTGAGTGGTCTACAAATTGAAAGGATGCTGGAACTGCCGGCATGGTGCAATGTTGACAAGCGTGTCTTGGTTCATCTGAGAGGTGAGATGAAGATGATGAGCCAGTCGTTCCGGTCTTTCGGTGAGACGAGGAGCTTGGTGATTACCTAATCTTTTTTTTTTTGCTCCAAACGCCAAACCGTCTTACCCTAGAGCATAAAATCAGAAACTCATCAGCAGCTTTTTCATGGCTACCGACAAGAACTAAAATGTAATGTAGCCTCATCCGAGAAGAAAATGGCCTGTCTTATACATATACGGTCTGATTAGAGTTAACCCTCACAGGAGCCTTCTTTCACGGCAGCCTTCCTGCATAGTCCTTGACGGAAGTAAGAGTCACCTCTGGAATCCTGGAATTATCAAGCTAAACCAAGAAAAAGAGTTGCGATTTTCAACATCAGGGCGAGGTTCCGTTATATGGGATTTTGATCACCATTCGGTGCCGATAAATGTGTTTCAGACTTGGTATATTTAAATGGGGTCTGGCTCAATGACGTAACAAAAAAGTGTGTTCTTGATACTTTTGAGGGTAGCTGAGAACTATTCTTCTAATGTAAAGAATGTAAAGGCTCTAGCACTGAGAGCTCACAGCTACAACTTCAGAGTGACCAGCCTCAATGGATTTGCCCTGAGCGACAGCCTGCACGAACGAACGTTGACCTGGAACAGCAAGCATGGTCTCGAAACCAGCCTTTTCTCCCTCGCCAGCCGACCGGAGATTGTCCGCGGAGTCTCCGGCCAGTACACTCCAGGTCTGATGCTCAGTGGCACCGTTCCAACTCATATAAACCTGGGTCTGATTGTCGGAGTGGCAAGCGAAGACATTAGGAGGGGCTGAAGGGGTGCCCACCCAGGGGAAGCGGAAGGCACGGTACATCTGGACTTCATACGGCTCTCCAAACTTGACTCTCATCACAACGTTGCCGTCGCTGTCGAATTCCTTCATCTTCGGCGAGAAGCCGTATCCCAGAAAGACATTCTTGTTGGGTAGGACCTGCATGTTGGCTTGGGAGCGAGCGATGACGCCATCTTCTGGGTCCTCAAACTTTTGTACCAGGGTTGCGACCTTTGTTTTCTCATTGACTGAGAGGTACATCCCGGTGGTGTTGGTCAGGCCGTTGTGCTCGTTGGTGACACTGGACCAAGCATTGTCCAATAGGCTGATGAGATATGTGCCGTCCTCCTCGCTATGAATGCGCGCGTCATGCTGGTAGGCAAATGCGAGTCCATTAGCAAGCTCGAAGTCACCTCCGCTTTGTCCCTATCAATTGAAGTCAGTTGGGCGTCCCCATGGAAAAGGGAAGATTAAATTGGACGATGGCTTACATCGAGCTGCCACTGTACTGCGCCGTCTGTGCCAATTTTGAAAATGGAGCAATAAAACCTGGAGGATATCAGGTAGGAGCCGTCCTTGAACTTTTCAACCGAGTTGATATGGAAGGGCCCCCAAGGATAAGAACTGTTCTGGCCCAAGTCCTCCAGGGGATAGTACTTGAGGGCATCCGTGTACAGGATCTCATCCTCATGATCGGTTGCTCTCCACTCAAAAACAACCTCATTGGTCTCGACATCAATCTCGTAGAAAACCCCGTCCAGTACATAGCCGTCCTCGAGGCCGCCGACTGAGCTCAAATCTGTCCGAGTGTTGTTGTACGCAGTGACGAGCATTGTGCCCTCGGATGTCATCTGGGACTCGTGCATGTCAATGTAAGACAGCCAGTCGTCATTGGTCTCGACAAAACCCAAGACGGTTATGCCCTCCTCAACAGTGACGTTGGTTATACTCTCGTAGTCCTTGTCTCGTACCTGGACGATGCCGTATCCCATACCCCATGGCTCACCGTATGTTATGCCATGGAAATAGGTCAATACTTCCTCGCCTTTATACGGTTGAGGTTTGAAGTTTGTGTAGGCCCCCATCGCGCTTGAGTAGACCAGCTCTCCATCATCCGTCATGATGAGCGTAGAATAATTGTGCGCAGCCGATCCTGTTTGAGTGAAGAACAGGTAGCCCTCAGCGGTGTTGCCGGTCTTGGTGATTTCCAGGACGGGGGGCTGAAGGTCTGGCCTCGACTTGAAAACTTGATATGGCCATGATTCCGAAGTCTCATCGGCAGCAACTGAGGCGAGCAGCCCCAGTCCAGCGATTGCACATGCTGTGAGGATTGAGGGAGCCATGTTTTAGCTATTGAACGGATGAAGTGCAGCAGCGAAAACGAGGAAGGATGGAGGATGAGCATGTTCCTTGGAATTCATGCCTTTGGGCTGTCGATCAGCTCTATATAAAACAGTCATTACGGGTGTCGGCGGCTAGCTACAGTGAAGATCGACACCCTCCGGATCTGACCACAAATGAGACGAGATTGGGTGTTTGCATTGTCGTTGTCGTGAGAAGGAGTGCATGGTCAACTGTGAGTGAGCTTGTCCCCACACAGAGTAAAATTTCAGCCGCATGAGTTATTAAACGAATTGATCAACGGGAAGCAAAGAGGTAGATTCATGTTGCCCGGAGAGCCGTGAACCGATACCTTGCGTTGTTGACCATCCGGCTGTCGGTTTGACAAGGGACATGTGCCGGCGCTACTACGTAAAAGAAATCTCCGCAGAGGAGGATGGTGGAGAAGATTACAATCTGATAAGATGATCTGATAAACAACGATCCTCATTGAGAAAAAGCCTCCCCTGATCTGCCGCTGTAGCGATGCTAGAATGGACATTGGTCCGTGGGCCCATCAAACACTGAATTGGTACCCATGAGGAAGTGACTGCGCCATTTCTGAATTCATCTTCTTTGGGTAGTAGATCGACATAGAAGGATTTTTAAGTCACCTAAGACCGGCTTCGATCAATTCCCCTGGTTGATTAATTGGGTTTCGCGTGGCGTTTTGGTGATCATAGCATCCGAAGTGAGCTCATGAGTAAAAGATGGAAAGGTGGGACGACCAAGCATTACGACGCTGTTTTGGCAACAACCAAGTTTTGAAGTCAAGGTTGAGAATCTGAACCCTGCGGGCCAACACGGAAAAGTCCGTTGCTTGTCTTCAGACTAGCGATTGGGACTGAGAGGCCCTGTTTTTATTTTATTTTCAAAAAGAATAAGTCGTGGATTCTATCGCGTTATCAGATCTTGTGCAAGCTTGCATCGATGTGCATTGAAACCCCGCTAGAGCTACCCAGCCGTGACACACTGTTCAGAGTGATGCTCTACCGTAGACAAGCCACCAGCTCCATGAATTTCATCATAAGCACGTAGCTTGAGCGAATAACTGCAGTTTGAAGAAGCCCCGAGTCAATCTGGGGAGCACTGGCCACAATCAATTTCAATTTACATGCAAGGTGGCCATTTTGGCAAGAGAAGTGCAGTGGGTTAGGATTCAAAACCATTCAATGGCTTTCCAAAAGCTTGAAATTCTTCAGCGGAAACCTACGTGAAGGGGCAGCACTGGAAATTCTCTTCTTTGACTAAGACATGACCTCTTCGACTTTGATTTAGCCTCTTCATTTCACGTTTCATGGATTGAAATTGAACTGCGCTCAAGTAAGTAGTTCCACGGCTTGTAGCTAACCTATCACTGAGATCCATGTTATTCTGCGGCTCAGTTCTATCATCTTCTTTCGTTAGACAAAGTCAAGTCTCATTCGGGATAGGTTGTCTCTAAGATACATACGACACAAAGAGTCCCCTTAGACTCAACGATGTAACTATCAAATAAAATAAATATCTCAAACGTATCTGAAAGTGAAGACAGCCGAGTAAACTTGAGATTGTAATCGTTCACTTTCTGTAAACCGAAATAAATGACAAGAGAAAACAGGTATATTTTCAAATCACATGAAGGTATAATATCCATGGACACGGCGCCTTTGAGTATACATTATACGAATCTTGTTTTGCTTGGCCCATGCGCATTGTTGTCGGCAGTTAAACAAGAGCCTGCTTTCTTTTTTGACCGGTGCTAGCTCACAATAGCTCGGACTCATTGTATCTCGACCATATGGGAACCCCTTGTCGTGGCATTTGTTATCGATCCAAACGCAGGCTCGATACAGATTTCCAGATCAAAGTGTGTCTCAAAGATGGCCTGTACGAGTAATCGAATCTCCATTGTTGATCGATTGGATGGACCATCGCGATGCTATGCTCTGCAATGGAAATAAAGTCCGAGATCCTTCCAGAGCAGATTGACATCCAACCCATTCTTCTCAGCAAGTTTCTTCTCGGGATCGTTTTGCAAGACGCCCCCTTGACAAGCCCGGTGCACTCTGCCCATTCGATATTACAGTCTCTAACAATCTTCATCAACTTGAACCCTCTACTAAAGTCGGACTTCAAGATAGAAGCGAGACATCAGGTTTCAAAGGAGAGAATTAGACACTTAAAAAAAATATCGACACCCCTTGATCGTTTTCAGCAACAACCTTCAAAATGTCTGATGACTTGAGCAAGTACGGGTCGGCGCTTAACTCAAGCATCGCAGACGCGAATAGCAAGGTGCAGCAGATGGAAGGAATCCTGTCCATCAGCAACCAGGCCAGCAGCGCGAACCTGGTATTACTATGTAGTGCCGGGTCTGAAACAAGGGAAAGGAGAGGCCTAACTCCGACTCCAGAGGGGCAGGCGGCGAAGTCGCAATACGAGGCAAGCCGAGGGAACTCTTCGGAAAACATTGGGCTGATGTGGATGAAGATTAATGATTTGCAAGAAGCAAGCAAGAAGGATGGATTTAAGTAAAGAGATACAGCCATCTTTTGGGGTCGAGGACTGGAGCTCCTGAATTGGATACATGCAGTCGGACCTCATCTAATGTTGCTATGCCGTCTTTCTTGACCATTTGTGCGACTTCATCTACAGAACATGTGTGTTGTTCTCCAAGATCAACTATACTGTGCTGAGGTCACGTTGCACTTGAGGAGTCGGGAGTGAGCGCATAGAGAAAAATAGGGGAGATGGACCATTGTGTAGAGTGGTAATGCTGGCAGATCCAGGGAGGATCAGGGTGTTGCGAGGCTAGAAATGACTTCGGCTCAAGCCTGAACTGTTGGAGTCGAATCAGTTTTTATTTCTAAAACCTTGCTCCAGGGCGTAAAAGCTATGATATTTTTGTAGCAGAATAACGAAAAGAAATGACCAAACCTCTGTTTGTTTGATTCGGAAAAACATAACTACATAACTAGCTGCGGATGATCATGATGTGACGTTCTATTGAGGTGTCGAAATGCTCATATCCAAAAAAAAATGATATTAATGTTCTGAAAAGGCATATTGACGCATAAATCATACAGCATCAGAGAGATATCAAGACTCAGAGCATCATGACAAAGATAGAGGCAATCATCATAGACATAAATTCTAATTAGTATTATGGACTGATGTACACTCTATGCTGACAAATTTTCCGCATACAAGAAGATAACTGCTAGTGATAAACTCGATATGAGCTGTTAGTCCCCGGGCTGTAAGCCAAACCAGAGACGAAACTTTTCAACAGTTATGCAAGATTACGCCTCATTATTTCACCAGAGGCCGGCTTCCCTTCGGGAGGGTAAGCTTGAAAACCAACATCTGGTTATCAACATTATAGCCCGAGGGATCCGCGAAATGAAACTTTCCAAAGTTGGTGACACCTATCATCCGGGATTAGCTGAGATACCATCAATAGAAAAAGATGTTACGTACCATTCTGGCTGATGAAATCGTTGTCCGACGACGCAAAGAGAAAGTACTCGTCGTTGCTGTCAGCGCCGGCCCCGCCATCTACAGGGACTAGAGCGAGACCTTCCCACTTCTCGTTCAACAGAGAGCTGTCCTGAGCACCTCCGTTATGCAGGCCGAATCGGTTGAGCTGGTCGTTGTTGTTGAAGTCGATGAAGGGGCAGACGGTAGCTTGGATAATGCCCGCATTGAGAACACCAGCTAGATTGCATTAGAATAAGCTGATCAACTACATCTCCATTCGGTCTTGCGTACCTGAGCTGGCGATAGAAGTGTTAAAGCTGTCATGGGCGGTACCCTTGACGTTTGTAGCAGCAGAGATGTCGAAAATGTCGACATGGCGGTAGATCGACTTGGAGCTGGACAGACCGTGTCCGTTGCCTGAGTCTCTAGGAAGGAAAAAGAACTGCGTGTCGGAAATGAAATGCAGCTCGGACTGAGCGGCAACAAGTTGTTTGCCAGTGGCGTCCTGGAACTTGGGCAGGGGAACAACGTATTCAGCCTTGTACACGAGACGTTGGGTGTGCTTGCAATCCTGGATCCGGTACTGGATCAGTCGACAGTGATCGCGCGTGCTGGAGCTGGAGCCACCCTCCTGGCGCGCTGCAGATTGAATGAGGACCCAGAGGCTCTTACCATCTGGGCTGACAGTCATTCCTTCAAAGCCCTGGTTGTTCTGGCGGCCTTGGGTTGGGTTGGCAGGCGAAGGTGCTTTGGTCAGATCGTAAATTGGGGGGTTATTTGAGGCGAAGCTGCTATTGCGTTAGATTATTCGATGGTTTGGATGTAGATTGGGGAATATCACTTACCTCACAACACCGTTTCGGAGAGGGAGCAAGGCATCAGGTGGAGCAGTGGCAGAAATCATCTTGCCACTGCTATCGAACTTGTAAATATAAGGGCCATACTCGTCACTGATCCAGAAACCACCGTCATCGGCTAGAACCAACGCCTCGGCATCGAGTGTGGCACGCTTGCCGCCTGGGCCGGCACCACCAAACCCGTCACCTGGGTACGTGGCGGCTGGAACGACAGGGAAGCCGGTGTATTGAAGGCCACCGGTTTGGTCAGCATCCAACCCAGTTAAGGGCTGGCCATCGGGGCTGGTGAGGAGGATCGAGTCCTTGTACTCAAAGGCAAGGTTTGGCGATGCGGGATTGGCAGCCGTTGCTCCCGATGCGGGTGTCAAGGTAACCTCAAACTTGTGGACTCGAGGCTGGAAATTGAGAGTACCGCCTGTATTGTATCCTCGATCTGGGAGAGCATAGAGATTTCCCTTATATTGAGAGCCCTGCTTGGCCCAAGAGGCCATGGCGATCGAGGAGCCCATGCTGATGGTCTCGCCGTACTTATCCAGAGCATCGCTGGGCACAAATCCGTACCCGGCAAGCTCATTGTAAGCGTACGATTTTCCCTGGCACGTAGTCGAGAAAACTGAACCCTGGGTGGTCGCGGGCGCGCCTACGACGGCTTGAACCGCGATAGCGAGAGCTGCCAGCGAGGAGCGGAAGACCGACATCGTGTGTGTGATTTTTTATTGGGCGTTCTTTGTGAGACGTTTCTTTCTTATCCCCTGGTGCCCCTCCCCTATTATATTCGGCACGTTGGGGGAGGGGTTTTCGGGCTGTCGTGCATATCACATAAAGCGACCTGCCCTTTGCTCTCGGGACGGCGAGCTGTGGAGTGAGTTAAATGAGCCCCGCCCTTGCTCTAGTGTGGGGAACCCTCTATCGACGTCTCGCAGCTCCTCCTCTTGGCACGTGCGGGCTGTTGCATCAGGGGGGAAATCGATTATCGACTTTGCTTACACCTAGACCAGTTTAAAGCCGCCCATCAATTCTCCATCATCCAGTTGAGTAGAGCCAACGACAATGAGAAAGCGACGGATCGCGATATTTCTACGACTATTGGGGATTCTATTTGGCCTGGAAAAAGAGCTAGCACTGCTACAGACTACCCGGCAACTCAGATCCGGGCTTCAACAGCCTCAGTGCAATGTCTAGTATGGATGCATGGTGGCTGGTAAGTGGGAGGTTTTTCGGGATGTCTGGATCAATCTCCCTCTTTCTTGTTCAGTAGAGCTTTCAAATCAAAATTTAGGTTGAATTGGGGTGGACCGTCTTCGTTTCTTGCGATCAACATGTAGTCTATAACGTCTCATTGTAGCGCATTCTCCTCGTGTTGGACTTTATCACTAGGTTCTCACCATGGGCGCTTGAAAGCCGTGTCTATTATTTACTTGTACAAAACATTCCTAACACACATCAGATGTCGCATTTAGAGGTGATCCGAATGATAACGCTTCACGCTTGATATGTGCTTAGGCTATGGCAAGTAATATTGGCAAGACTTTATAAGTTTTCGATAATGCGTTTGCCTTTAATCGAGGTGGCACCCGAAAGCACGTTAAGATGTTTATAATTTGCATCAATGCTGTACGATCTAAACATTTGAATCTCTCGTAGGGCCTTTGAAAGCCACCATTGAATTGCTCCCTTGTTGTGTGTGACTGCACAAGGTAGATCAAGTCTCATTGCTAAGTGGCGAACAAAGCATTGTCTCCACGGAAAAGACATCTTTAAGCTGACGCTTCCATCTTTGTAACTTGGACAAGAACAACGGGACCTGAATTCAGAAACAGACGCTACATAGGCTTGTTTGATTTATTTTTGGCGATAAAAGGCTCTTCGATGAAGACTCCGCGAGCTCCTCCCTGTTGTTACTAAACATTCGCACTTGTTTATGACGGTTTAGATCGGCTGTAAAAAGTGAAGAAACAACAAATTAAATAGTTGTGACAAAGAAATCTCCAAGGTCGGTGTTTCCGACACAACCTTTGTTGCGGAGTGAATGAAGGGAGTGGTGTGGCTACTTCCGTATTGACTGTTTACTCCTATCCGTTGATTGTCCATATAAAGAAGAGGGATGTTTCGATCAACTTGGAGGAATTTAGTCCTTTAGGCCATCCCGAAAAACAACATATCATTGAATTTCGAATAAAAAAAATGAACAAATTGAGCCAAGACATCATCGACCTCATCTGCGGCCATCTCTGGAGCAACGACGACGAAGAGCTTTTAAAACTGTGGTCCTACCGCGGTCTCTCCAGACAATGGCAAGCGGCTGTTGAAAGAAAGATGTTCGCATCGCTTTCAATACTCAGTTATGAGGCCGACAATTTTATTCGTCGTTTCGATTCCGACAGGGCTCGCTATGTCCGAGAGCTTCATTTCCATGCCATGTCCAATGTCCCCAAACCCCTCAAGGAAAACCAGGTAGCACGTTACCCGCAGTATGAGGACAATGGCGTACATGTATGCGCCCCTTATTACCAGGCGGTATTATTGGCTAACTTTACCACCGTCATGAAACTCATCGCCAAGTGGGAGGTCGAATACCCAATCTTCTTCTCGATTTCGGGTACTTACCTTCGGTTAAATGAGAAGTCCCTTCTCAAGTTCCCTATTATCAAGAACATAACAACATTCAGCTGTATCGTCGAAAATATGGACCCATTTGACTCGTGCAACCTGGCGACACGAATGCCAGAGCTGAGGAAGTTTCGTTTTGCGATTCAGCACCACACAAAAGAACAACGCTCCGACTTGGCTGATGAGATAGGGACGTGGGGCGAGAAACTGCCACACCTCGAAAGCCTTGAGATTCTGGGAGAGTATAATGTCCGAATTAGACAACACCCCCTTAACCACCCGGAGGACATGAGAAATGAAGCCGGCGTTGATAGGCTATGCCAAGAGCTGCGGCTTCTGTCGCAGAAAAGGGGCTTCAAGCATCTCAGGATGGAGCACTTCCCCATTTCTAGGGAGCTTTTTGAGGACACACTGAATCCTGAAGCGAAGATGAGCTGGCCAACTTTGGAAGAGTTCATGCTTCTGCCTCATGAGATATCATCCACAGGCGAATGGTTCCTCTTAGACGAGCATGGTGGAGGTAAGCTTGGCGGTTTCCGCTACAGGCACGATGATGCAGCCCAAGCTCCGATTATTGAATTGTTTACGAGAGCAACTAGTTTGGAGAGTAGCCCGGCATTGAAACGAGCGGGTTTGGGCTTCCGAACTGAAGTCCAACTTAATGAACATCAGCTCGAGGCAACCTATCAAATACGGGCGAGCTCTAAAGGGAAGGAATACGTGGGGCGCCTCAAAGGGAAGGAAGACATGGATACCTTATTTAATTTTCGCATCCGCAATGGCTGTGATTAATTTCAATGGATGCATTTCTCCTTTTGGTTCTGCAGTTTGTTCGCAAGTAATAAAAGACTATAGTTTCGAATCATTAGGTGTCCTCTTTTTTTTTTTCGGATATGGAAGTATCGGTGTTTGTAAGTAATTAAATCGCACCTCAAAGGCTTAATCAGTATAGGCATAACTTAAATACAGTGTGTGATTAATCTTCGGATTTATAGGCTTAGAAATCCAATTTTGTCCCTCCTACGCCTATAAAGACTTGCCTGCCCCGTTCCCCTTACAACTGATCGAGCCAACATACTATTTGCTCTCTTTGTTGTCACTCAGAAGTAGACATCTCTTTCGCACAAATCCAAAATCCGAAAAATAGAGAAGGATATTAAAAAAAAAATCCAAATGAAATCGAGCAGACCTTGAAGCATTCAAAATGAAAAGGATTACAGTCGGAATGGACCCCTATGCTATCAGTCAACACCGACAAGGAATTTTGATTAATATTGAAGAGGATAGGGGATAAGCGGAATACCTTTTTACCTTGTTCATGTTTCTTGTGAGCCAACCAGTCCACAGATTGCTATTCATCTGCCTCTCCATCCCCGTGCTTTCTTTTGTTTTTGCTTTTGTGTGTCTAGGGAGTTGTCTGATTTTTTCCCCACCAAAATCAAGCCGTCGCTATTCGAAAGTAATCAATCCAACCCACGAGGCTGGAATGTAGCATCCGACCCTTTCGATATCCCGTGGCTTTGGTGTCCAGTGATCAGCGGTTGCAATATAGTGGCGTCTCGCGGCTTCCGCACCCGCCCTGTAAGAATTCAACACAGCCATGGCGTCGTGATACATGACCACGGAATTTCCAGACTGCCGATCGCGAAACATGGCAAGATCTTCTATTCTCTTCCGGCCGCTGATCTGAATTTCTGGAAACGAATCCGGGTCCATCCACAGGTAGAAGTTCTCCCTCGACTCCATGTAGAGCGAAAGGATCTCAAGATCGTTGCCTGGAACCGGGGATAGGGATCGTCCGGGTGGTGGAGGATCGAAAGACAAGGTCCTGAGCAGAACTTCGTCTACATGCCGAAACGCAGCGTTCTTGAAGGACGAGAGCACTCGGCGAAAGTTGTCGAATTGCTGGCGATCCTGCGGAAATCTTCTTTCTTGGGTTGTGAGGGTCGAGATATTGGAAGGGGCGTGCTGCTCCTGGCCGGGCGGGACGTGAGTGTCGAGCTCGGAATGTGCATTCATGACGATGAGGACGTCATTTGCGGGGTCGCAACGCAGAGTACGAAAACGAACACCCGGGTGCCATTTCTCCTCGTACACTTTCATGGCGACGGAATATTGCTTGCGGACTAGCTTGCAGGCTTCGCGGCAGGCCAGCTGGAGGTTGAGCAGCAGCGCCCGGAAAGCCATGTTCATCCCGGGGAAGTCTGGCGAGAGGGCGAAGTAGCCGTCTATCATGCAGACGGCTGGTTGCCACGGGGTGTCTTCGATTGACCTTTCGCACGTGCCGTGATGGCCGCAGAACCGTCTTGTCTCGGCGTAGCAGCTGTGCCTGGTCACTGAGGCTTTGTAGTGGACTGCCATGCGTATCTGGCGGTTGTCAAACACAGGAATCGCCCAGTACCATATGTGGGTTTGCAGTTCTGCCGGTAGCTGCGAGAAAATGGTGAATTGCTGGGCCATGACTTCGTCTTGCGCAAGGAATGGCGATATATTGGTCCAAGTGGCAGAAAATAAATGGGGGTGATCTATACTCTTCTCTGTGTAAAGTGAGTGATTAGTGCTGGGTCACAACGAGGTGGGCAGAGTGAGGAGGAGGTGAGGACAACGGATGATTTCGTCGAGGGGGACGTGCAGTAAAAAACCCGTGTTGGTGGGAAGCCAGTTGGTCCTTCATTTGGGCGCACAATGGAATCGCTGTGCATCAATCGTCTTACTGATGTGTAGTAATTTGGATTCTATTCAGACTAGCGCACGCCGATATTACCGAAAGTCGCTGAATTAGTGGTTGTTGGTTGGGCTTGATGTTTCATCCCAGCGGAAGCAGCGCCCAACAGCTTCTTGGCATTGGATGCTTCTTTGCTCACTCTGCAGCTTACTTCGTTGTACTGTAAGCGCCGCATGTGTAGGGGGGCCACAATTCCTGTCACTTTCTTGTTTGCTGATCTGTTGCCTCCTGGTTGGTATTCCTCTGGCAGCTCTGACTTGGCAAATCCAGTAGGGCTACCACCACTGGGAGGTTACGCAACAGAATATTACTTGAGGCTTGGGGTCATCGTTCATATTCATTTTTTACCATAAGGATTCTTCGTTTAATATAAGTCAGGTTTATATCAGATAATTGGTGTCGGATTTGTTCGATACTTGTGGCATCTGTCATTAGAGCCATGTTGCATATGTCATTTCTTCCCAGTTGGCGGGTACTTTGTCAAAGTCGATGTTCTCATCAATATCAAATGCTTCAGCATTAAACATCGACAGATCCGAGCTGTGCATATCAGGCCCCTCCATACTCACAGGCAGTGCTAGGTAAGATGCCTCCTCTTCGTCCCTTAGAGGAATTCGACCAGTACCATAAAGATTGCTGTGACGGGGACTGTCACTTTCCTCGTCGGCCTGTGACGTCCTCAGCCCTGCCTTGTTATTTGAATGGCTCATGGTCATTCTGCCGTCTCTGTACTCAGCGTTTGTCGGCGGGAAGGATGCATGACTTGATAAACTAGACCCCTCGGTGGCATCATGCTCACCAAAATCTGCTAGCGTTTTCGAGGCTATTACTTCGAAAGCACCGCGCCTACCTTTGAATGCAGGGAAATGCTCCACCATCGCCCACAGAACCGAGGATGTAGAATGAATCGCTGCGTCAAGTGATCGGCGGGAGTATTGTTCCCGTACCGCAGCGGAGTGAGCATATGCATATATTAGAGAAGTTCCGGCGTTGAAGACATTCTCAACTGCGTGCCAATAGAAACGTACTTTGTTCTCACGAAAGAAACGTTTATACAGCTGGGTCACTTCCATGGAGCAAGTGGCAAGCGCTGATAATGCTGGATCGGACGGAGCTGGGTTGTTTGGGGATGGACGGTAAATCAGCATCAAGGCCAGCTGAAAGGCAAGCTCTAGAATCTCTGGTGGAGCAATATTACTGCTGCCGATTTCTGATGGGCGGCTCTCCTGAAGAACTGCATTATACCATGATTCAATTTCTTCAGCTATGGTATTTTGCCATCGAGGGTAATCAACCTGAGAGTGTAGCGATGGCATCCTCTCATATAATACCGTGTGTATTTCGGACTGGAGTTGTCGATAACGAAGCCAATGGATGCAATATCTTTTTTTTCCTCTAGGAATGCCTTCTGGCTGTGTGGCACTACTAGTGGTGATGTACTCGTCATCTGCATCGCTAGGGTACTGCAACTCTGTTAATCAATGACCGAAACGTACTTCAATCCGGTATCTGAAGTATGTTTCTTACCTTGGCGGTGATGAAGCCATCTGACAGATACTTCGGCCTTCCCATGGCAATTGCAACACTTCTGTCCATAGAATACGCGGCCCAAAATGATCTCCGCATCATGTCCAATGTCAAGCAGTCAAAGTCCTCGGAGCAAGGATCTTGATGCAATCCAAGCTCAATCGCAAGTTACAGGGCCATTCCGATGGTGTTCCACCCTCCATACTCAGCAGGATGTAAGTACGAATATTGAGCAAGCAAAATAAGCGCTTGCACGCCCTCGACAGTGCGTGGAAATGGAACAGCTTCAAGGGCCAACAATGCGGTCTGGCAATACTGCTCACACAGCGCGATGGGAATCCTGGGAGAGTCCTGCTTATGAACAGCTAATAATCCTACCGAAAGCACCATGTTCACGAAGAACTTGTCAAGTTTTCGGTCCACATTGATGCCATCGTCCTCTAACGTTGTCTTGGAGTAGAGACGATCGAGTTTTGCCCGCAGGGTTGGCTCGTGCAGCATGGGCACGCTGAAGTTGACGTACTGAAAGAACAACTTGACGAAATACTCGGCTGATTTACGATCTGGCAATGGTCGAGGTGTAGGAGGCGGGTCAAACTGCTTTTCCAGTACTATATCATGTGGGCTTATCACAGACATTGTAGGCATTGGTTTGGGAGATTTCAGCAATCCAGATATAAGCATCTTCGAGAAAATAGGCTCAGGAGCAGTGCTAGGTCGTAACATTTCCTGCACGTCGATTAGGCTTTTTGCTGCGGCATCTGATTTTGTCTGAGCCGTTGAGAAGTTTGAATCAGGCAAAGGATATGTAGGTGAGCTTGACGGCTGAGCGATTGGCTCAGATGGGTGTGGCCGGGGTATAGAGCACTGTGACTCCGTCGGACCCCAACTCGGGGCATTCGATGCCATGTTGCTGGAGTCTGAGCTGCAGTGATGCCACTAGTGTTTCCAGGCTGTGTACATAGCTATTGCGAATAGCATCCAGAGGTTAAAAAGTGTTAACTTGATGCATCGTGGAGTCTTTGGCATGCACACCTTCGGGGTATTTGTCGCTTTGATACCGAGTCATAGCCAACGCACTCAACGCCTGCTGCTTCGCACGGCCTGCAAGCCTTGTCATTCTAATAGTCAGAAAGGGGATATCAGATTTGCAACAGTCATTCCGAGGAAGTGCTTACTGGTAGTCTCCTATCGCATCGCTTTTTCCGCTGGTGGCAACGAAGACATGCCGTAAAGTTTGACCGGGGTGGTGACTGTGGCCGTGCCTGCTTGCCAAGAGGTGTGATTCCACGACGCAGCATTTGGAAGGGAGCCCAGGAGATGAACAGAGGGAGTGAGCTTTCGTAAGATGACGCCCCAATACCGTTCTCGGTATCACGATCCAGGCGGCCTAGTAGTCAAGGCCAAGCATGAGTGTCGAGGAGCGAGCGGGTGCGAAGGACAATTGACGAAGCAAAGAGCGGAATATCTGTAGTGCCGACTCGACTGTTGGTGGCGAGTGTGGGGCTTGGTTCGTAAGGTTTTAGTCACCCTGTAGCTATACTGATATTCCAACCAGCAAGACTTGTAGATCGAGTCTGGGGAAAGCAATGCGGAGTAAGTTTACTCATTTATGCGACGGAATTTTCTTGTTCTACAGCGTAGACCTTTGCCAATGAGGATAATTGACACTACAGATGCATATGTAGACACAGAAGGCGCAAAACTGTCCAGCGATTTTAAACCATAGAGTGATTACATCTTCCTCTATTGGGCTTCTGCTGGTAGCCGTCCAAGTCTTCCATTCTAGCCAGTTGAATACTATCAATCGTGCATCTTTGAGAATGCAGGTATACCCCCAACAACGAAATGGCCGTATCATTCAAAGGCCGATGTTCAATGCTTCTATGTAGCGCAGTAGGGTCCCACGAAGAACTTCGCAAGAACCTCTTTTACCAATCAGCATCCGCTCCGTATTTGCAAAAGCTAATTTGTGTTTTTTTCTCCAAAATTATCCGTCTGATGTCAATATTTGGATATGGTGCCCACGAACGCATAATTCAGCGAGACAAGTGCACGATAACGGCTCCACAATCAGACAGCCCAGGCGGAGGTGGGGCCGCCAACATCCATGTAAGTGTCGGCGATGACCGCCAGCCATCCACTCCATTTCAGCCAAAATCAACTTCAACGGGGATGATGACATGGGGATGGAGAGTGGTAAATAGCCAGCAAGGTACGCATTGAATTATCACCTCAAGAGCGCTAATCAGCTATCGCGCAACAGCCCTGCTAGCCATCGAAAATTCACCATGCGTCCCGAGCTCCCGAGCCCATCTTCGAGCCTGTCTTACTGGCACCGAACCACTCGAGCATTTCCACATCTCAACTCCAACAGCCGTGAAAATGTCCCGCCATCCACCCGATATGTAATCATAGGCTCTGGTGTATCTGGCGCACTAACAGCCTGGAAACTGATCGAAAGCGGCGTGCCGGGACGAGACATTGTCATCCTGGAAGCCCGGGAGGCGGTTGGGGGTGCCACTGGAAGAAACGCTGGGCACGTCCGCCCTGGTAAGTGCAATTTAGTATTCATCCGTTATTTGGGTATTTGTAATTTATTATTAACCTATTCTATGGCTAGATGCGTTTCGCGGATTCCCTCATTTCGCTGCCCTCCACGGCCCCGAGCAAGCCCTCCAGATTCTGCGAAACGAAAGGGTCGTGCTAGAGAATGCCAAGAACTTCGTAGCCGAGAATAGGGTTGATTGCGAATTCCAATCTTTTTCGACCGTGGAGGTTTGCTTGACTCCATCGTATGCAGCCTTTCTAGCTGAGATACTGGAATCATACCGCGCCGCCGGTGGTGACGACTCGCATATAAAGTTCTACGAGGCGGAAGAGGCTCGCGAGCTGACCAGAGTGCCTGGAGCTGTCTGTGCCTACGAGTGGCCGGCAGGATCGAACCATCCAGGCAAGCTGTGCCAATGGATCCTATCCGACGTCATTAAGAAGGGCGCTCGCTTGTGGACGCATTGTCCCGCGACCAAGGTGACTGCGCATGATGGACAAGGCTCAAGCAAACTGCGATGGGATGTTCATACCCCACGCGGCACTATTTCCACCGAGACGGTAGTGCACTGTACCAACGCTTATGCTGGTTACCTCCTCCCTCATCTTGCCGACTTCGTCATCCCTCAACGATCGCAGGTTCACGCCTTTGTGCCGACGCAGGCCTTCTCAGGCGCAGATGTTGCGAAGCGCTCCATCTCGCTGCGGTACGGGCTGCATAATTTCTTCTCCTTCAATCCGCTTCACAATGGTACGATCATCATCGGAGGAACTGGCGTCAGGAATGCCGAGGACTTTAATCCCGATGTATTAAAACGCTGGACTACATTTGATGATTCTGGATATGAAGCAGCCCTTGCGGCCAACAGTACTCGCGAGTTCTTGGACCTATCGTCTGCAGGCAGTCCGGCACGCCCCGCCCTTCGACGAGGAGAGGGCCTTGATCATGCCTGGACAGGCATCCTTGGAATGACGCCAGACAGTGTGCCGTTTATTGGGCAACTCGAAGGCTTGGACGGGCAGTGGATATGTGCTGGGTTTAACGGTCATGGTAAGGTTCACACACTATTATTTGGTTCACACAATTTGCAGTACTGACAGAAGTGGAATAGGTATGGCTAGGATATTTACTTGCGCGCCCGGCTTGGTGAAATTAATGGCTGGTGAGCCCTGGGAGGCCACTGGACTTCCCAAGTGCTTCCAGTTCACGCATGAGAGGATCAATAAGTTTAAAAAGCCAAAGCCAGAGAGTCACCTGTAACTGGGCAGGCCAATATGAGGAGGTGGTAAAACACTTGTAGGACCCAATGAATTTGCAATCAAATCCTATTGTATTATGAATCAGCCTCCAATACTGCACTTCTAATACTCTTACTAAAGGTTGTGTACAATTGAAACTGGCCTAAGCTTCTGGAAACAAGTCCACTGTTGGGGTAATGCCTATGTTGGTAGGTGTATGGTAGGTTAAGGGTAATAGTTTGGCAGCGTACCTTTGCGTTGTGTAGCCGTCAGCGTAGATGCCTAAATACCGGGTGGTAAAAAGTACACAGAATGGTTGGATTGAATATGGGTTCATTGATTGCTTATTTGAATAGTATAGTATTCCTTGAAGCTGATCGAAGGCACAGCCCGAGAGGAATCAGTCTTGTCGCATGTGGGCATCGGTTCCGTCAGCTCTCACAAGTTCTATTCGAAGATACTATCTAAACTCAGACACGAACAGAACAAAAACCTGCGAAAAAGGTCCAGAGAATGTAATCCTGTAGCTGAGAAGTGACAAAAGCTGCTGTGGATCAATCATCTGACTCCTTGGGCTTCGGCCTTGCGTTGATAGACTCCCGTTCATGCACTTCTTCTTCCAATGGATCCTTACCATCAAGGCTAATGAAAACTGCTAGTGCAAATAAAACATCGGCTAATAACCTGTAGTGACTTACGAGGTTTGAAAGTTCGCTTCGGCATCGGGGCTAGGCTTGCCAGTAATGTACTTGGCGCGTTTATACGCGTTGAACCAAGGCCCCTCAAACACTTCATTAATCTGCTCGACACTCATATTTGATGTCTCTGGTACCATGACGTAGACATAACCCAGCGCGAGTGCACACCAACCGGCGAAGAAGATAAAGGCACCCCAGCTGTTGGTTGCTTTGAGGAGCGAGGGAATGCTGAACTTCACGCCATAGATGAGTAGCCAGTGGAAGGTCTGACTCAGGCAAGCGCCGAACGAACGGATCCTGTTGGGCCAGAGCTCACTGCCGAATATGTAGGATAGGATCATCAACCCTGCCTATAGTTAGTTGTGATTGCCACGATAGATGGGCCAGGTGTCAACTTACCAACAGCATAGCCGAAGGCATGGATGAAAAGAGCTGCAGTCGCGGCCTGGGAAGCATGTTCGTTGGCACTTCCGTCCTGATGAACTTTCATGAATACTCCGATATAAATATGAGACAATAGCTGCGCAATAATCCCGACAAAGAGGGATTTTCGCCTGCCAAGGAGGTCAACGAAGAAAAACGAGGCCAGCAATGTAAATCCGAGCTTAGATACACCATACATTCCGCTTAGAAAGATGCTGCGTGTCTCATCACCACCTAAGCCCACGATGCCCATAATGGGAACAAAGTAGGATGTTACTGAGTTGGCTCCAGAGAGCTGAGCGAAAGCAAATGAGATGAGAGTCTGCTGTAAGCGACGTAGATTCGACGCGACTGTGAAAGTTTCCTTCAGAATCGAGACACGGAGAGAGCGTCCTCTCGAGCGTGCAAGATCCTCCTTCATACCATTCAGCTCTTCCTGTACCCGAGGGTGCTCAAGAGGAAGACCTCGGAGTGCAACGAGTGCTTTAACACCCTCTTCATAGCGGTCCACCATAATCAGCCATCGCGGGGATTCACGGATGAAGAAGCTAGCAATGATCAACACAGCCATGAGGATGGCAGGGACAAACCAGACCACCTGATACTGGAGTCGGATTACCGGCATATTCAAGTAGGTACCATATGCACAGAAGACGCCACCGACCAGTCCAGCTCCCATAGCAACGACAAACCAAGCAGACAGGAGACCACGGATCTCGCTTGGAGAGATTTCACTGAGAGTTACCGGGCCGCTGACGCTGAGTGCGCCAATGGCGATGCCCGAGATTATCCTAGACGCGTAGAGTCCGGCCCAACCAGGGGTGAACGTCGCTACCATGGAAGCTACAATGTAGATGCTAAGGTATAGACGGTACGACCACAATCGTCCAATGCGATCATTGATCAAGAACGACAATGCTGATCCAGCAGCCTGACCGAGATAGACGAAGGAGACTATGTCTCGAATCTGGCTGGCCGCAGCTCCGGATGTAAGATCGAATTGCTTTTGGAAACTCGGCAGTGTGGAGATGACGGAGGCAGCGCCCTGATCCCATGCTTTGCGGGGTGTCAGTGGGCTGACGATCGATACCAATTTATTGAGTACTCACTTCCAGTTATGCCGGCCAGCGAATGGACCAGGGCCGCAAAAAACAATGACCGATTGCAGATGACCTCCCGTGGTGTCTCCCGGATCGCCCTTCCATATGCGGCGATGGATGATTTTGCGATTTTGCGAATATACCCATGATGATGATGGCGGAGGGAAGTTGATGAAAGCGATGATGTGCAAGGTAGATGTTGCTTGGAACAATCTATGCTCTTGCCCAGTTGATCTGGCCAGAAACGAAGAGTATTTATTGTCAATGCGCATGAAACACCTCAGAGGGATCTTGGACATGATGCAAGCTTCCCAGCACCTTGTATGGGGTCCCCGCGATACAACCTTGTCTGTTACGGCCAGCCAGCGGTCTAGACAGTCTAGATAGATCACGAGCAGCGGCCGCGGCCGCTCTTTTGTCGGTTATGCAGCCGCCCCACGGTTACCATAATCCATCGCCTGCAGCGAGTCACGAGAGAAATTCGCAGCTCGTAGAGTTTGAACTATTACTTGTCGGCCATCGCCGCCAGCGTGGGCAAAGAGCGACGATGCCATAGGTCAGGCGGCGATAGCTCCGACACTGGACCCGCTTGGGTGATAAGCTGATGGAACAGATGAGTATCTTCGCGCTTGTTAGGATTGGCCAATATGCATGGAATATGGAGAATGCTCGAACCCCAAGATTTGCGAATGAGGATGGTGCGAGATGGAGTCGTGGTTTATTAGACTGCCTTGGTGAGCATTCAATGCCCTTACTTGAACCCATCGCTCGTCAGCCCTGTGCGAGTGTCACTATAGTCTCCATACGATGGCGCCCTTCAACTTCGATGAAAAGCTGGTTGACCCAGTGCTCGCTGAGTTCATTGAGGGGTTTTATGCCTATGCAGATCGCAAGGAAACCATCGAGAGGTGGGCGACCTGTTTTGCTGAGGATGTGGTGATGATTCGAGCTGGAGGCAATGTAGTGGGACCAAAAAGCAAGCCATCGAATTCTAGCCATCCCAGCATCCGATTCTGTTTGCTAATGACTCCAGAAGAGCTTTGCGAGTTGAACGAATCAACATGGGAGAACTTCAGCAGCCGAAAACACAATATTCTTAAAGGATTTGCTTTGAGCTCGAAACCATCGGACGAGGTTATGCTACATGGGTATAACGAATACGTCGATACCGACAAGTCTACAGGCCGCAGAGACTGGGCTTCTCGGATCAAGTTCCGGCAGACTGGCAACGGAGAGCTTCATATTACAGAGTACCAGTCTTATCTTGTGAGATTTTACCGGGCACTCCTAGTTATAAAACTGAGTTAATGTTGAAATTTGCAGAGTCCGATTGTAAAGCCTGGATTATTTACCTAGGTAGTGGAGGTCGCAGGAGGAAAAGCGAAGTAGGTATGCATCATCAAATAGGTAGGAATCAATCAGTAAAATTCCAAAAATAAAATAAATTTGAGTATTTTCTGAGTTCAGAGACAGGCTGCTACCGTTTTCATTCAGACTAGTGCAAGGCTTCCAAAAGGCCGATGGATCTCGCCACTCATGACAAACATCTGCCCCGTGTTTTCCACGGAAAATAATCTTACGATCCGTGGAAACTAGAATCGGCGCGACTTCATGCTTTGCAATCCCGGAAATGGTATTTCGCACCAACGCATTAATTCTACCTAGTAGACCGAAAGCTTATCAATCGTTCGGATGTAGACCTGATTCAGGAATCTAGAAACGAAAGGCAATGACAACGCCAATGTACTATAAAACCATTTATTTTGCAGCTTCTTTCAAACTTGATGACACCAAGCACTCTCTAGTTTTCCATCCAAACCTAACTCTACACCTCATCAAGGACCATTGTAAAGAATTTTAATCGATATTTTTCAGCAATGGCCGCTACCGCGAAAGCAATTGTGGTTGCTCCCGATGCGGAGACCATCATCATTGCTGATGCTCCAATACTCCAGCTTCGCGACGAGTATATGGTTGTCAAAGTTCATTCCGTGGCACTCAATCCTGCAGACTGGAAGCGCGTCGTGTGGGACAACCTTGACCCTGGAACTAAGATAGGATGCGATTATTCGGGAGTTGTCGAGAAGGTCGGGGCCAACGTCTCTAACTTTAAGCAAGGTGACAGGGTCGCCGGCTTTGTTCATGGCGGGTGAGTTGCTCTCGGGAATTTGAGATTTTTCCCCTGTTTGGAGCTATCTAGCTGACTTGAGTATTTCCTTCGAAAGTGATCAAACTAATCACAATAATGGCGCATTTGGTGATTATATCGAAGTCAAGGCGGCTTTGCAAATCAAGATTCCAGATAGCCTGACTTTTGGGCAGGCTGCAACCCTTGGTGTTGGCATCGTTACTTGCGTGAGTGATTACCAACGACACTCGGCCGAGGCATTCATTAATATATCGCTACAGGGCCAAGGTCTTTACCAGTCGCTCAAGCTTCCCCTCCCCGGATCTCCCGCCAAGGAATCATTCCCGATTCTCGTCTATGGCGGCAGCACTGCGACCGGAGTGCTTGGGATCCAGTATGCCAAAGCTTCGGGCCTCACCGTCATCACGACGGCCTCTCCATCAAACTTTGAGTATCTTAAATCTCTGGGTGCAGACGCTGTCTTCGATTATCGGTCACCAACCTGTGGTGCTGATATCAGGGCCTTCACAAAGAACAAGCTGAAATACGCCTGGGACCTCTCCAACGGCGAGCTCATCTGCACCGCCGCCCTCACCGACGCCGAGCCCAGTGTGTATGGAGTCACAAACATGCCGCAAACAGAAATATCAACGCTCAACCCCAAGGTTACCGGGCCCTTGATGACTACCGCCTATGACGCTACGGGCGAAGACTCTATGCTCATGGGGCAGAAGGTACCTGGGAAGAAGGACGGGCTGCAGTTCGCATCTATGTTTTTTGAGTTGACTCGCAAGTTGCTCGAGGATGGCGTGGTCGTCCCGATTAAGCCTACTGTTAATAGTACCGGAAGTGGGCTTGAGGGTGTTATCAAGGGTTTTGAGGTGCTCAAGGCTGGGAAGATCAGTGCTACTAAGCTGGTGTATACACTCTAAGGCCTCGTCTCGAATCTTGAGATTTTATTTGAATCATCACATCGTATCGGAAGGAAACTGAATAAACAGACAAAATTTGTTTTTCTAATCCCTAAGACCAATTTTACCTGCTTCCAATGCAAAAACACCAAATGAAGAATGAGGTCCGTTCCATCTCAACTGATGTATGTGTCGACCGGGTAATGACCGCCCAAGTAGTTGATATGTAGATTTTAAGAGCTCGTTGTAACATAGTGCCACCCATCCCCCTTTTTAACCAATTTTCCAGTTGAAGCGTGATGAATTTTGGTTGCGATGCCCTTATATCGAACCCCCTGGTCATAGGAATCCGTGGCTCTGTCATCTTTAGAATCGGTAGCATGAATAGCAAATAACTCGGCCATGTTGGAGCTCTTGACGACTTCCATGTCGAGATTCGCCGTCTGAACAATGACAGCCACAAGGAACAGGATGGTGAGGCAGATCTGAGCCGCCAAGAATGTCAGCCATTCCCAACGGATTCGCACATACGTCTCCGACTTGTAGGCGATTCCAGTTGCTTTGCCTTCCTTGTCCCCGTTCCTCATACTTAAATTTCCAACAGGGTCAGCTCTTTTCGCGAACATAGTGAGGCTAACGAATGCCGTGTATAAAACTTACAATGCGGTCATGCCATCTGCCACCGTGTTGGTCATTTTATTAATATTTTTCCAGCTCTTCTCATCGATTTCCTCGTCCGGGGAGCTGCTTTGGAGGGAGCTAAAGACGTTCAGCCCCAAATTGTGCCCGTACATGCCTGCCACACCGCCGCCACTGCTGGAGCCACCAGTTAGAATGTAGGTGCTGTAGCTTGGTTGGAATATGAGATTAGCCTGCAGGGTGTGGAATGCGAAGTAGTTGGCCGTGACGTTGAAGGTCGAGTTTCCGTGTTCGTTGGCCATGAGGAAAGAGGTGTACTGAGATCCTTGAGATGGACGCATTTCGTTGATCTTCACAGTATGAGCGGTTGTATTTGTTGAGGCGGTACCGTTGGCGAATGACGACTCATAGGTATGGACACAGATGTGCCAGAGAAGCTCAACGGCCCGAAACTTCCTGCTAGAATCGGAATTACCATTGCTGAATATGAAAAAGGCTTGGGATATCGTAGCGGGAAGTAGGTCGTCATTATTCCATTGCCCAAGAGAGTTCCATCTCTCCTTGAGAGGGCGCTTGATCTCCTCTGCTATCGGGAGGCGAACACGAGCGCTCAGCGGAGATGTTATGTTTAACTGAATTGGGAATTCGGCTTGCATGTTCGAGGTTACCCCTGGTAATGCTTTCCAATACAGATATCCCAAATCGCCGGGGAGACTAGCGTTGTAATCTGGTTTGCCCCCTTCATTGGGAATTTCTGTGACGTTGAGACGATCAGTTACGTTGCTAATGCTTGCGCACATGCCTAGTGAGTTGTACTGTGGCCATTCGCATCTGATCTCGGAGCAGGTCGGTTGAGGGAGAGGCCATGACTCGTTCACTGTGTAAGTACCAGCTTGGAAAGAACTTCGAGTCATGCCGTAGGAAATGTAGTACTCTAATGAGTGTCAGCGCTTCGAAGGCTCAAAAGAAATCCGCCTCGGGGAGCAAACCCTACCCTTCTGACTTGGATCGTCGACTGTAAAGGAGTCTGGATATGATCGGAGAATGGGCGCTGATGCGACAGCTTTTTCCGTAACTGCGAATGTGCTTTGGTATGAGATGGCCGACTGCGTGACAAACGAAGTAATAAGACCGGACAAGAAGACAATGGCCGCCACCCAGGTGAAATAAAAGAACCTGTTCACCTAAATCAGCTGCCGTCTTCCACCGACTGACACCTATGTACTCACCTCCCTCGTGCTTTGACAATCAGCATCACAGCACCCCATGGCCCACGACTCGCTTGATCAAAATTATACATGTCGTTCAGCGGCCGTTCGCAGTTTGCAAACCAGTTCCACTTGAGCTGTGAAATGGCCTCCGCCAGCGGAATGATGGTCATCGAGCGACATATCGTAGCTAGAAACGCCAGCAGAGTATTCAGGGTCAGATCCATCGGCCACTGAGGCATCGGCTTCCCATCGAAATGCTTGAGAACAGCAACAATGGCGATGAGAACGCCAATGGTCAGACAACACCAAATGATCTCCGGAGACCATGCTTTGGTGTAGTAAGTAGCATCGACTGGCTGTTTGGGCTTCGTGTAGAGAGGTATTTGCGCTTCGGCAGAGGATGCAAAATCGTCACGGATGGGCGACAAGAGAATTTCGTCATCTTTGCCTGCGAGGGGAGTCCTGGAATCAGATGCGAACTTTGGCTGGCGGGCCGATGGCTGGGGAGTCTGAGCCTTCAGCATGTTGGATGAGCATCTGAGAAATACAGCCGACCTTTTGGATCGAAATCAATGTCTTAGAAGAGGCCGCCAAAACCGATTGAAGACATCGGGTATTTCGGGGCCACCTCCCTTATGTAGGATCGGAGGACCGCATACAGGCATTTCAAGACGTGGGATGTAAAAATAAACCCAGAGAAAGGAGTCAAGTACACCCCAGAATGATTGGGTACGTGGATCTACAGTGAAGAACTTTTGAACATCCGATGCTTGGCGCTGTCTGATGCATGTTAGTACGGTCACAGTTTTCAGCCTTAACCCACTGTCATCTCGGATCGCTGAGGCTTGTTAGCATCCAGCAGGGGTCATAGGGCCAAATAACCGGTGACAGAAGTTAAAAGTGGTGATAAGATGCAAAGGAGGACACTTGAAGGGGTCGCTTGAGCCGTACAGCGACCACAATAATGCATATGGGGTCAAGCTTGGCGCGAGCTGAGTCCGAGCAAGCCAATGAGAGGCTGCCAGCTTTGAATTATTGCAGGGGTTTCGGACTACCAGCCAATCATACATCATCGGATCGAGGTAGAGATGAATTGCATGGATTGACCTCATATTAAGATACCCTGCTGTGAGTTTAGTCGTTAAGTGTTTGTAGGTACCTCAATTGATTGAATAATCTAGGTACGGGCTGCATAATTATGACTAACTCAACAAAGGCAGGCATAAGTATATGTCAAATGAGGCAGGATCATCTTGGACTATATCCGCTGAGTCAACCTTCTGAGACACCATAGGTTGACAACGTTCATTAAAGCCTGGCCATTATAGCTTAGAATTTGATGGGAATCAGTAGCTTTAGCTCAAGTTGAGGTTTGTTGCTGTGCACAAGGATCAAGTTGACTGCCCTGGGATGCATTCGCATAGCCAGTATACACCGGATGGCTTGCTAAACTTAGGTTTTATAACCTCGGTTTAGGCAATAAGTTTGCCCTCTGTCGAAGGCAAGAGCACTTCCATTGTGCGTGGGTGAGGTGCAGCCCTCGCTGGTTATACGTCGTGGCAGACGGTACCTTCTCTCAAAGCCAATCCGTTTACCTGGACCGAGGTTACAAAGCCTATGATTAGCACCATCGATCCGAAGTATATTGGCTTTGCTAGACGTTCTAATAAGTCAATTAGCTTGATCCTTGTGGCTAAAGGAGTTTGTTGTGCTAAAGTATTTAGACTGGTGTGATAGAGGACGAATGTACGAAGGAAGCTGTGTGTGGCAGGAAGGTAAAAGAGGGTAGAATAACTAGTAGTCTGGCGAGCGGCTCGTCCTGGCGGCAAGGGAGCATCGGTAGGAAGATTTAAGGTGTTAGCCAACCTAGCATGGGGTCATATTATTCTATGCAAATTATTGTCACGATAGCAAGAATTTGAACCAATTGAACTAGATAGCTTCAATCCAATTTAGAATCTATCTAACCAACTAGTTAGCTAGAAACTATACTGCATTTCGTAGCACATTTTCTCATTGCCAATAACATGAATCCCAAAATAGCCCAACTCTAAGCCCACAGCGTCTGCTCCAGCATGGCGTTGTATCGGCCACCGTGACGGGGAAAAGACGAATTAATTGCATCAATCTGGGCCTTGACGTCGCTGGAAAGCGTGACAAGCTTTGTGTTTTCTTCTACCCGTGTAGCAGCAGTTGCTCCTGGAATGGGAATGATTACGCCTGCGGCTTCGGTGTTTGCGGTGGCCCGTACCCAGGCCAATGCCAGCTGTGCAGGCGTGACATTCTCGCGTACAGCTACGTCCTGAAGCTTTCGAACGAGGTCCAGGTTCTTGTCGAAGTTTTCAGGCTGGAATCGGTCGAGGAAGTGGCGGATATCGCCTTCGGGAATGTCGGCAGGACTGCGAATTTGGCCGGTGAGAAGTCCACGACCGAGAGGGGAGTAGGCTAGGATCGGCACTCCCAGCTTCTTGGCCGTCGAAGCCACACCGTTTGTCAGAATGTCGGTGCACCAAAGAGAGAACTCGACCTCAACGAGGGTCAGAGGGGTGTGCGTGTGAGCCTTCTCCAGTGTAGCTGCGCCGATTTCGCTGAGTCCTATACCGCCAATCTTGCCTTCTCCAACAAGCTCTTGCAAAGCTGACAGCGTCTCCTCGAGAGGCACACTTGGGTCGCGACGAGAGGGGCCATAGACGTCGATACTCTTTGCGCCGCCAAGTGCGGCCAGGCAGTTCTCGACACTTTTCCGTACGCCGTCACGCGAGCAGTCTGGTGCTAGAGTTTTGACATCGCAGCAACCTTTGACAAAGAGTGTAACTTTGGCTGCGTTCTCGGAGTATGCCTCGAAATAACGGCGAACAAGCTTCAGGCCCGCGAGGGGATCTTCTGTGCCGTAGAACTCGGCAGTAGACCAGATGACAGCGCCATTGGCAATTGCTGCCGACAGGGCAGGAAAAGCTTGCACATCTGGGGTCACCTGGGCTCGCCATGTGAGCCCCATGAGGCCATAGCCAGTGGCGTTGGTGATGGTGAGGGGCGAAGAAGCCATGTTGTACTACTAGTGAATATGTGGAATCTTGCTTAGATGGCTTTTAATCTGGATTAGGAAATATTTATTTGCGTGATGTTCAGTGCTTGAGTGTTCACCATTGAAGTGCTAAACCGAAGGCACGTTCACCTCCTGGTCTTATAGGGCTGGAATGATCCGGAGTTAGGAAATAGTTTGGCTAGTACTTCCCTCAATACAAGACGATGATGAAATGTTTACTGTGACCTCACGGCTTAAACCCGAAGAACTTCCCACAGGCGAGTTATAGTACGTTATCTCACGTCAATTGTGGCATCGGGGATTGGTTTGTGTTTGGGCCCGGACGGGCGAAAGAACCAAACGGATCCACCAGTCTGCCTTATTCCGATCCGCCAATTACGTGCTCTCAACGCATTCTATGGTTGCGAATATTGCAGGCGGACTTACTGACGGGTATTAAAACCCCGCGATTTGCTCTGTCAGTGAACGATGGCGTACTCAAGGTTTTGACTTGCCCTTGTTGTTGCGATGTCCGACGATGCTCGCTGTTTCGCTCTGCCGGTAGATGGTGTTGACTGCTGGGGGGATGAAGTGTCGAGTTATCCCCCTCCCTAGCTTGGTCCTTCGGCTGCTTCTTCCTTCTTTCTAAGCCATAATTTCAACTGATAGAACCTTGACGTGTACAGTTTTCAGTGGCATTTACTGCTAGAGTGATGTCATACAATTAGAGGCCATTGTTGCATAACGCATAGCAAGTTGGGCTCTGGCTTTAGGGTAGCTTCGACCCCAAGAGGCTTCGCGAGGGCTATAATGACCGCTGCCAGGGAACAATGGTCACATCATTTGGAAGAAGCCCGTGTTCGACTGATTATTATCCATGAGGCTTCATTGGGCGTCCCTGGAGTATTCCACAGCATATGATCCCATTTTTATTAAATATCGGTAAGCTATTCTGGAAAAGACTATGGCTAGCTAATCCTTTGGGCCGCTTGGTAGAATCCCTAGCAAGACTGGGGAATCCTCGATGGCCTATGCTATGGCGCAGAGGTCGAACTATTCCGCCCGAACACACAAACGGGACATGAGATTTGTCCCATCCTTTGTTCAGACAAACGATCGGTTTACAGGGGACCGATTTCTCAAGGGCTTAATGATGTGCTAATAGCTATATCGCGAATCTTGCTCATCTCCACCCCAGGCAGGGAGGCCAGCTTTGCAGATATTGCTGACCGCAACGAGAAACAACTAGGTCAGGTCTTGCAAATTAGTTGTTACATTGACTAACATTTAGGACAACACTATATGATGATTTGGTTTCACGACAAATCGCTCTCACTGTGGTTGCCTCTCGCAGCAGCGGAATTCCGTGGAGTTGGAGCGCAAATCGTTCGCTTAAATTAATACTACCAAGGCTTGTAAGCATTAAGTGTCAATTGTCCTGAAGAGGTTAGCGGGGAAAGGTACATCCTGTACCTTCGAAGGCACCTAATAAAAGATTTGGCTTGTCGCAAAGCCCCAGAAAAACTGTTTCCTTTTCTCATTCAAGCTCATCACCATCATCGGATGCCGCATTGATTAATCATCTACGACTGAAAGCGAAAGAAACCATGACCGAGCCTGTTGAGAATCCTCACCCCTTGCACCAGAGACGGACGCGACCACGGGTTGTGTTCTCATGCGGGTATTGCCGTTCTGGCAAACTTAAATGTGACAGGAAATCGCCTTGTACGCAATGTGAGCGCAGAGGCCGCCCCGCCGAAGAATGCGTTTATGAACCTCTTCCGGCCAAGATGCGAAAGTCTCGAAGCATAGCCGCTAGACTCGACCAGATTCAAGGCACGGTGAGGGAGATGATACAGGATTCCTTAACCGATAGAGCCCAGCAATCCCAGACAGAGGGAAGGGTTGTCATTGGAGGGCACGGCAAAAGCAATTATGTGGGAGCTACACACTTCATGACAGTCCTTGATGACGTATGCTACAGCCGCGTTGCTTCTATTTCATCTCTTTGTTGACACGCATCCTAGTTGGAAGACCTCAAAAATTTCTTTGATAATTCAGATTCCGAGGATGACGATATATTGAGCTCGACTTCTAGCGCAGAAGAATGCAACCTGGACAGCTTTCTCCTATCTCAGGGTGCTTTCAAAGGGAAGCAGGACCTCTTGAGTATTCTACCGCCTTTCCAGGTTCTCAATGGCCTTGTCATGCACTACTTTGCCTCTCGGACCCCTTCAACGGGTAGGTATTAGGTTCCAGTAAAAGGTGCTATATGTGATAACGAGGACTAATGGGCATGTAGTTGTAATTCATCGCCCGAGTTTCAATAATCAGGTACCGGCTGTTCAATGACAGTGATTGTTAGTCGTCTGACTAATGAATTTTCAAGTATCAATCATTTTGCCGAAACCAGGCTGCGGCTAGCTTCGAGTTTCTGGCCCTTATCTTCATGATTCTGGCCGAGGCAACTCTCTTCTCTAGTTCCTTTTCGTTTGAGGATATCTTAGCTGAGAGACTGACTCGCCCGACGGCTCGCGTGAAGGTTTATCGCTCTGCAGGAATTGCGGCTTTGAATGCAGCCAACTATACATGGCCCTCATTAGAGACAATGGCGCCAATGTTACTACATCTCGAGGCAGAGTTTATTCTCAGTCGTTCCACTCCGATAAGATGCTATCTCCTAAGCTCAACATGCATTCGTCTGATGCTACGATTGGGGCTTCATCGTGATCCTTGCCACATGCCTAACATCAGCCCGTTCTCAGGCGAAATGCGCCGGCGTATGTGGCACTTCGGTCTCCAGATTGAGATGCTTGTCAGTTTCCAGATGGGGCTGCCAAACATGGCCAATGGTGTTGAGAGCGATACAAAACTGCCCAGAAATATAAATGATCAGGATCTGAAAGAAGATTTGCATGAATTGCCACCTAGCCGCCCTGATAGCGAGACTGCCCCTCTCACTTATTTTATCTGGAAAACGACCATCGGTCAAATCTTCCGCTCTGTCGCGAAAAAGACAAACTCTCCCGAGCCCATGAGCGACACCGAGGTAATGCGCCTCGACCGCAAGTTGGAGGATGTCTGGGAGCAAGTACCTTCCTTTTTGAAGGTCAGGCCGCTGGAGGAGAGTATCACTGACGACCCACTGCTTGTGATGGAGCGGTTCAGCTTGGCGTCTGTGTACCACAAGTCACAATGTGTTCTCCATCGAAATTATCTGCTGAAGAAAGGCTCAGGGAATGCCTATAGCTATTTCAGATCTGTTTGCCTTCGAGCGGCTCTTGGACTTTTAGAATGCCAGAAAATGCATTTCGAAGCCACAAGGCCAGGAGCCATGCTGGTCCAATTCGCATGGTTTCTACGACCGATACTCATGGGCGACTTTCTTCTCGCCGCAATGATCGTTTATATCAGCTTACATCTCCCCGCAAGTACGGAGACTACCAAGGGGAAATCCCTCGACAAACCGGGACTTTATCGTGTTCTTGAGGAATCGCTTTCGACTTGGAGGAGCATGGCGCAAGACGAACCTAGCTACCGGAAAGCGGCAAATACTGTTTCCAAAATGCTGGAGAAAGTGGAGAGATACCGTGAGCCTATTGCTCCCCTTCCACATGGAACCATAGGCGAAATCAACAATGCTTGGACAGTCGAGGGGACTGGTACTCATTTTCCAAGCTCACATCAAGCAGATGCCAACTCCATGGGGATCATGTTAGATCCTGGATTAGACATTAGGCAGATGCCGATTCAGCCCACGAATGAACTCGACTTTGGTCCCTGGTTGTCCTCATGTGATGAATCGTTTAGTTGGGTAGGTGTTAACCGCAACCCCTAAGTTTTAACATTTATTTGCTGACAGTACGTTCATGTAGCAAAATCTCGACGATTTCATGCGCCTAGACGGCGACTCCCAAGCTTGGGGAATGAATGAGCTTAACCCAGACTCTCTTCCGTCTTGAATAACTTTATCGGTAATAGCTCTCGTAATATGCAACGAGGCAGTTGCTAATATAGACTATGTTTTCAATTTTTATCGGATCAACTATCTACAACTACATCTTTGTGGGAATAAATTGGTACCAAGTTTTCAGTGTTTAGGGATTCAGAGAGTTTCCATCCTGATGGTACCATAGAAGGTCACCTGCGCTACGCATCAAATCTCTTGGTCACTTGGTCACTTGGTCACATGGGAGAATGGATTGCCTCATATAACACACCTCATTCCCGACAGGCGATAGTTACTCGGTGTTTACCAAAACGCGCTGTGCCCCCGATCCTCACCAACAGTCACCACTAGCCCTGGGTGTTTCACTTGTGGCACTGAGACGCTCAACCCTGCAAAGTAGCGATCCGTGCTTCATTTCCCACTCAGGTGTTCCTCATCTCATCAAGACTTGTCCACAATACCAAGTTAATTGCGTCAGCTCAATGCTGCTTCAAGTTTGATCTACTGATTTGCATAATCCTTGAAGGGAATCAAACAGATCCATGACACATTCCAATGCTTACCACTTACTTGGAATTGCCGACGTATCACGATTTGCTTAGGTGGCAACTCGAAGGATTCGGTCGGTTGAGTGCTTCTGACTAGCTTCTGAGACGAAACCCCTAAGTTGCTTCTCAGGCGGTCATACTGTATCGCTATCCCTCTCAACTGCAGCTACCCTTCTCTTCAATAACATTCACATTCGGTCCTTATCTTCATTTTTCTGCCTGTTCATTCCTTTAACATTAGCCCCTCATGATAACTCTTAGCAACAGCCTTGCCACCCTCGTGCTGGCGGGCTGGACCTTCGCGGCGCCAGCTCCGTCGCCCGCCGACAACACGCAACCCGCAGGGGACAACCCGGTCGGCGAGTTTTCAGTCGAATTTCTCGGAAACCAGGTCGCCGACAACAGCTGCAGTCATCGGGATCTTGGATTTGCCGGCCATATCCAGGGCAAGTGGTACGCCGTCTACGGTGACACTCTGTGGTGCGCGCCTGGCGTATCCGACCAGGACGCCGATACTGATGGCCAGTTCCACGGCATGGTGAGGGACTCGGTCTCGGCATTGACCGACAACCCATTAGTTGTCCATGATCTGTTCCTGAATAACGATTCCCCTGTTCCTCACCAGAAGCAGTTTGTTCCATTCGAGAAGAAGTGGGGAGAGGACAATCTGGTTGGGTTTGGCGGAACCAGCCTCGTTGAGACGGATTATGCCAACGCCACTGGCGTCGTCTACTACCTCGTCGTAAGATATTTCCGCGTACCCAAGTTCCCAAACTTTCGAGGGGTAGAGAATTAACCGCAGGAGCTTCGATTGACAGAACCACGCCGAGGACTACCGAGGAGCAGGAGTCGCCAAAGTCCAAGTCACTGATGGAGTCCCGATCGTCACCGAACGTCTTGGCGACAATGGATACTGGTGGGACGCAAAGGAGAACCCAAAGTACGGGGATGTCGCGGCTTATCGCGATATTCACAGCGAATACGTCTACATTCTTGGCAACGCTCCCGGCAAGATCACCTCGTGGCCAGATAGCGCGTACATCTACCAAGCCCGTGTCAAGACTGCCGATGCCTTTGACCTATCCAGGTACGAGTATTGGTGGGGGCGGGAGGAGGGATGGAAGTCTGACCTCTTGACTACATTTACTGCCGAGACTGCCGTTCTCTGGGGAGCTGGTCAAGGACAGATTGTGTACAGCCAATACTTCAAGACTTATTTCTACGTCCACCTCGGTATGTTACTATCATCATCACCTCTCAACTATATGTGTCCTCTAGGGTTGGATTTAGTAGGTTAGCTAACCTGTGTCTTTCAAATATCTAGAAGGAGCAACGGTTTTGCTACGCTCCGCGCCTTCACCGGAGGGACCTTGGTCAGCGGCCAAGGAGATATACATGGCTACCCCGATTAATGAAGGCCTAGTCTATGCTGGGGTTGCCTATCCTTATCTTGACGAATCTGGAAAGACGCTGACAATGGCCTTTACTAACAACAACCACATCCAAGTCATCCGAGTGACTTTTGCGTAGTGGGCGCGAAGGAAAGACCAGTATAGCTAGAGCGATGATAGGTTACGGATAGCTAAGCAATGCACTATGGTGGCGATATGTCTTTGCCCAGCAGCGAAATACGATCCATTTAAGACTTGCTATTTGCAGTGGACAGACCCGAAATTGTTCAAAGGAAGATGGCAGGCAAGATACGATGCTACAGCTTCAGCTCTTGTGCCCTGAACTAGATATTTGTCGTGGCCTAAGACGGCACAGCAACTCAAGAGGCCACGAAACATGACGCTAAAGACGGAAGTGACGGAAGAACAGACAGTCACACAGGAGGACCGTAACCGGGTGATAGGAGCTCTTTTACATATCTCCTTTTTGGATTTAATATCATAGAAGGTGAAATATAGGGAAGCATAGCCAGTCAGACCATTCCTTGAGTGCATATTCCACAGCCACTACCCAGCTATAGCGATCGGTAAGACAAAGGGCTTCCTGCCTTTGTTCCAGGACCCCTCGAGATGATCGAGCGGTCTTGGCTTTCCACTATCATAATGAATTTTCATTTAAATCTTCCCCATTCAGAGTTTAGCTTTTGTACCATAAGATGCTCAAAATCCTAAATTGCTTTCACCAACTACCCAACCACTGCCAGTATCACTTGGCCATCACCCAATATCGGATCTAGCCTACCTCTGTCGTCTTAGTACAAGCCGGATATCTACCTACTCGTACCATGGTGGTTTTCTCAATCCCTGAGCAATAGTTTCAGATCATGAAGCGAAGTAGCCATGGTTCTAACTATAATTCCCCTCAACATGGTATTTTGTCACCATCGTATTATCACTTCTGCCATGCACTTTTCATACTTCTAAACAGATACTGTCGTCTATTAACCACTATACTCTTCCTCAATGTATCTTGGTCGTTCCCAATATCTTCAGACCAGCGATCCCACGCGTTTCCCAAATGATCTAGTTAGGATCGTACCTCCGCTTTCTGTTGGTCTAAGTAGTAGCTTTGACAGGATAGCCTACTACGACCCAAAGCCCGAGAGATATCTGTCCAACTCATCCCCTGGCTTCTGAATTCCATCAAGCGGCTTCTATCCCGTTCTGACCATGTAGCGCGGGGGTGAGATTGTTCCTGTCGTAGTCTTTTCCAACGAGCTTGACAAGCCACTTCAGAAGGTCCACATAGCTCGGATATTTCCCTCCAGCTTAGTCCGCCCTTTTTTCTATCTCTCAGTACCGCATCATCCGCTTCCGACCACTTGTGTCTGACTCTAGGAGAAGTATTGCCAACAACAGTGACCCAATGCTTTCTACGGGCTAGGTCCTGATGTTCACACAACTTGGATAGAGCATCCGTGGTGCTCTCCATAGTCCTATTCTCTTGTCCACTATTCCGCCTCATTTTCCACCACCGCGATGTGATCGCGGCATAACTTCGTCCCGGAAGCGCTTCAACCATAGACCGGATACTCAGCCCGTGTACTTCAGCCAAAATGCGATCCTCTTTTACCGACCACGGCCGGCCATATCGGTGGTTTACTGGCGCGTCGGTTGATTTGAACCGTTTAATAGAGCGTCCAGGCGCCATTTCTGTCTGTCTTCCTTGGTTCGGGATTCTCAATAACCAAGAAAGTTGTAGAACAGAATAGGGAAGATGGTGCGTACCAGGTAAAGAAGAATGCTTCTCCGGTGCAATTTATGTTATACGAGGAAATATGATTGATAAAGAAGGGTCATATGCAAATTAATTACGAACAATATAGCCGAAGTATTTCGCCTCCGAAATAACTTTGAAAACAACATGCCGATTGTGGTAACTAAACCTACCTGTGCTGTGCGCGTTTGCCTTTGTACAATACATGAGTACCCAACAAACACATAACAACTGAACAATAGATTTTCTATTCTTAACTTTACTAAGAAGATAATATATCTGAAGATCCATGAAAAAAAAAAAAAAAAAGGTTGGCAATTGACTTCATTTGGTGGAACGGAACATGGGAGCCTTTGTATAGAGGCCTCACATTTTGACAAGATCCAACTCTCCTCCACAGCCGCTGCTGTTATTGTTTCATTTCACGGCGGCCGGTTAGATACCACCACTCTGAGTAGAAGTGGGACCCTGCTATTGGATATAAGTGAAAGAGACTGGTAGATTATGTAGGTAGTGTGTACCGTTGCATAGGGCGCACCTGCGTTACTAGTCGTCAGGTCTTTTTCTCGGATGGTCCGCCGAATTTAAATCCGGAAGAAGCTCTTTGTGGTTGATTTCACCCCTCTGTTCTTTCTACTCTGTGAACCAAGACGCCCTGAACCTTACCTTCCTGGCGAAGTGGCCACAATCTTGACCCCTCATCGGTCGGACATCTCCCTTCCAATTTGGGCATGGGCCAAGACACATGAGTATCCGATGTTTGGAAAATCATCATCCGGGTTTCGGACCTGTCCAAATTGCCGATTGGGTACTGGGATCAAGTTATCCAAAATGGGGTTTGGAATGAGGGGCTCGTCATCGAGTACGACAAAGGTAGAGAGCGGTGAGACTCAACGTGTTGTTTTATTGACTGGAGTCTCGAGCTTCTTTAATGATAATTTCATTTGAACATCAGTTTCAGACGTTTAACTTTTCAATCATCATAATCTAGTGTTAGAGAACTTAGTTACAAGACAACCCCTCGGAGACAATGGCCTTCAGAAGAACCAACACCTCCCGAGAAGCGAGAGTATTTCAATGGCCGCCTCGCTCTAGCATTTCGTCTGTTTGGAAAGTTTGTTTCGATGAGGGTGTCACGGGCCACATCACGCTCAGGACCCCAGTGATGCCGGACCATTTCTAGGTCAACCCTCTCAGCCGAGCTTTCGCGCTCATGCGGCGCTCGGATCTTGTCCTCGTGAACAGCGAGGGCGAAGTCGTGGACGGTGTACCCAACAGGCTACTCAACTGGGCTGCTTATATGGCCATCACGCCGTCCACGCTGCGAGGCCGGACGTGATTTGTGCCGCTCACTCGCACAGCATCTACGTCCGTGCGTTTGCCACCCTCGGTCGCCCAATCGACATACTTACACAAGGTTCCTGTGCCTTTTAGCGCGATGTGGGTGTATATCGCCAGTCCAAGGGTGCTGTCCTCGAAGACGAGGAAGGACAGACTATCGCGCGGGATCTTGGCAACCGTAAGGCTTGCATCCTACAAAATCACGGCCTCCTGACCTGCGGATCAACTGTGGAGGCTGCCATCTTCTGGTTCGTGTCGCTTGAGAGACGCTGCCAGGCCCAGCTCATGGCCGAGGCGGGGGCTATGAAGCTGATACCCATCGGCGAGGAAGACGCAGAATCCATGTACAAGAGCATTGGATTGGGTGGTGTAGGATGGTTCAGCGTCCAGCCCATGTTTGATGTGCTCTGTGAAAAATTTGGAAACGCTTATTTGAAATAGACTGCCCATGACTTACAATCCAATCGCCGTCTTCGTAACTGATCAAACCAACTAATCGCCCAAAGCCAGCCTCGTTCATGATTATGAATCATTCTTAACTTGGTTGCGCAACATACATCCTCGAGGTTGTTTATCGGGGTCATAGTATGCTCGAGCTGGGATCTCTTAACCCGAGCCCTCAATATCGGTAAAGAAGACATAATTTGCTCTTCCAATGAGATAGTTATCATGCAGTTGCCGACCGCAATCGTCGCGTCTACTACACTCAGCACAAAATGACGTTAAAGAGAAATATAAAGGGATAACTCACCATTGAACTAAGAGGCCATAGAGTATTCATCATTGCCATTCACCAATTATCGAGAGGCTACTGCTATTTGGTTAAAGAAATCCATCCCTCAATTTCTAGTTTCTAATCACTGGGGCTGACTACACATATTACTTTCTGAAATCATTGGAAAGGAGACAAATAATTGTGTAAAAGGGAGGGAATATATTGACAAATATATAAATGCTCCCCTATGAGTGGCTTAAACAAACGAAACTCTTCTTTTAAAGGTTATTTCTGCCATCTAATGGGATATAGACAACAGCCAGATATAAGTTAGAAAGGTAAAGCCTAGACGAGATCCTCCCCGTAGTCACTTCTGCTTATGTGACTAGCCATCCAATTGTGTCGCAGGTAGGCTGGCGCATGTGTCTCTTGACCGACACTGATAAAATTAATTTATCATTTGTTAGCGGCTCAGAGGGCTTCCTTGTCATCTTTCTGTTTCCTCAACTTTCGCGATTCGTGCCAAGTTTTCATGAGTGTCTCTAGATCAGAGCTATTCAGTGGCCCCAAAACCATTATGCTGCCATCAAGCAACGTAATCTTATCAGCAAGCACCGGGAGGTTCGGGGCCTGTATCCCCTGGTTTTGGGGCTCTGCCGCGTGCTTTGCTGCGGTACCTGCTGCCAAGTAAACACCTCTCATAAAAAACGAGTCCTTCTCAATCTTGATGTCTTTAAGCACATCTCTGTTTGAGTAATCTGCGTTCGCTTGAGGCGTGATAGGAGTTTGATTCACAGAAATTTTTTCTTGAAGCACCTTACCAGACTGGGGATGCATCATCAGCTGCTGCGACGTGGCGGTTCCGGGTGCCGGTGCGGATGCCGGTGTCTGGTAGGTTGACATGGTTAAGATGGTTGTTGATTTGAGTGCAGTTGTGGTGGTTTGAAGTCTGGTTAATATCTGTCCGTTCCAAATAGAAAAGAATATATACCAAGGTAAGGGAAACATAATCGAAGATACTTAGGCACAGGGCTCTTTTATATTCTCTAGGGATGACAGATTCAGCTCCCTGACCACCAAACTTATTCTCGTCAGATGAACGCAGCGCCATCTATGAACTCCATACAAGAGAATTGCTCGCTGCCACACTACGCACTCATCCCTCGTGTTGGCGCGTGAATGACCTTACAAAGACTTGTATTTGTCTGGGGAGGTATTTTTTTCTTCTTCAAGCATTCCTATCCCCAAGAATAAGATCCACCCCTGGGACGCCACAGCAATGAAACGAATAAAAGAAAGAGAAACTCGTCTCGGGCGTTTTAAATATCAGCACGGCCTTGGTCAACGCATGTGCGGAGTCATTGTGCGGTTTCTGAAGCTTTCAAGTTGCTGCCATGCCGCCATAGAGGCTAGGTAGCGGGTTCTGTCCCTGTAACATCACATTTGAGAGGCATTCTTGTACAACTGGTAGTTTCACGCGATCAGAATTCCAGTCATTTCTTCCAAGGCACAACGGATGAGCTGAGAATTCTTTTTTGTTGGTCAAGCAAGGCCAACGCTGGCATGGCTCGAGCGGGGACGCATGAGCGTCGTGTGTCGAGATAGAGATCAAAGACTTGAAAATACACCCTAAGCAAGATCGCCTGGCTCCGTTGTTCCTCGGAATTTTTCTAAAACGAACTGATCATGGGTGACCTTCAGGGGCATATTTCCTGATTATTCCAAACCCCCTCCCCAAACAAACAAACCATTATCTTCTTGTGCCATGCTTTCATACGGCCTGAATGAGCGCGTTATGGCTGCATCACGAGCAGTCGATGACACCAACAGTCGCATGTTGATGCCCATCAAACCTGTCTTATTTCATCGAATTACTTCTCTCATGCTCAGGTACCTATTGATACCTGTCTACATAACACACTTCGACTGCCCAAGGCATTCATCTATTTGAGCCTATCATCGTGATAGCTATTAACTTCTATCAATTCTTTTGAATTTCCATCGATTTAACCAGGTTCTCATGACCTCTCCATCAATCGGCTGTAACTACTTCATCGTTAGGCTGACCTCGGTCCCGTTGTTGGTGGCATAGACAATCTGCCCCTTCTTGCAAGATTCTGCGTCCGCAGCTAATCCTTGGTAAAATTCCGGAAGTCTCAGTGCAGGAACTTCTCGAGGTCTGTTACTTTATCGTTTAATATCTTGAGCCAATCTTGAAAAGTTACTGCTCTGGTCATAGCAGTCTTCCGCGCCTCTTGTATTTCCGTAACAAGGTCATCCCATTTGCCCAGGCGAGGACTGACAAGGTTATAAACAAGTGAAGAGGTACTCCGCTTATATTTATGCTGAACAATCTCGCTGATGATTTGGGACAACTTGTCAACCGGTACCCAGTCGATCATATTCATGGAATCGGGGAGACATCCCAGCGCCTTGGATGTTTTGATGAGTGTAAGCAGCCACTCTGTTCTGTGCCACTCTCCCCCATTTTCAGACAACAGACACATCTACCATTTAGGCAAGGCAGCTCAGAAGTTGTTTTTAGGTAGTCAGTTGTTGCGCAGCAGATACGTGCAACCGCATATGCAGTGCGACATGACTGCCAATGGCGATGATTAATTACATACGTATGTCTCATCCTCCTGCCTAAAACAAGCAGCCTAATACAACATTAGCCAACCGGCTCAATCTTCCCCGCAGTGTGACATCAACATGAACGTAGAAGTAACACCAACACACAAGATCCCTCGCGCCCTGACCACTTCTCGCGTATCTTGAGAAATGAAGGTGATTATTACCGGGTCGACTGGTCTCGTGGGCAGTGCCGTCATTCGCGAGGCCATCGCGAATAGCAGCATCACACACGCGTTTGTCCTCTCGAGAAAGGATCTTCCCAAGGAGATCAGCGACAATGCGAAGGTCACCGTAATTCCTCACGCCGACTTCTCCACGTACCCGGACGATCTGCTCGCTCAGCTTGCCGGGTGTGAGGCTTGCATCTGGTGCGTCATCACGAGAGACAAACCCATTCAACTGCTGACGATTTTGTGTCCAGGGCCATTGGCGGACGCGCTACCCAATTTCCCGATCTCGACACGTTCCGAAAGGTGTCTGTGGACTACACCCTCGCAGCTGCTCGCGCGTTCAAGCAGCATCTCGCGCCGGCATTGCCAGGCGGTCAGCGTTTTCGGTTCGTGTTCTGCAGCGGCATGCTTGCGGAATGGGATCAACAAAAGTCCCTCCTATTCATGGCCGATACTCGGCTCGTCAAGGTACGTGACTCGAGGCTCAACCCATCGTTCTAGTACTGACAGAGTCTCCAGGGTCAAGTTGAGAAAGGCTTGTGTGATCTTGCGGATAAAGACAGTCGATTTGATTCCTTTTGCCCCCGGCCAAGCGGCATACTGCCTTTAACTGTCGGCACGCTCGGAAAGCTCGCAGGCAAACTGTACGGCGCGATCCAGGTCCAGGATCTCGCCAAAGCATTGGTTCACATTGCGCTGAACGGAGCGGAGAAGCAGATTATCGAAGCTGGCGAGTTGACGGCTTTGCATAAATAATACACTCAGCTATCTCTTCCAGACTAGCCGCTGATTTGAGAACGTATTCAGGCGCGACCCGATGATCCCTGTGAAATTGAGGCATGGCATGATGCAACATGAACGGTGCGCATTTGGAATTACTAGCCAACACGGCTCTCTGATATTGATGTAACTGCTCTTGTCTCTGGTCAGGAATGCCGCCAGATTTAGCTTTTTCTCACCTCACACCCAAAGCAAAGCCCGCGTATATACTCCCAAATTCCATCATTTCGGCCTTTGATATTCAAGGTAGCATCGCAGCCCAAATCCTGTGGCTTCGGGAGTCCACCAACTGGATCAACGCAACCAATATGTACGGCCTCCCTCACCGTTGATACCCATGAGACTGTCAATTTACCATACCGTAATTTTAAGCAGATGAAAGCAGGTGCTATGTCAAGGGCGAAACGCGAGAGTTACCATACCGAATCACAAAAGAGCGAGCAATTGCATGCGCGAGCCCGCTTACTAATCGGCCAGCGTGGTGAGAAGTTACCATCGAGGTCGAGGAGGATCTGAGGGATCTTCCAGGGTGATGATTCTCGATTACTTGTCTGCATTGTGTCAGCGGCCCGAGAGGCGAAGGCACGGGGCGCACGGCACAGATCGTAAAGCGATAAATTGGATCTCGCTTACATCTCTCGCGCGCCGATTACATGCCCAGATGTAGTCGGTGATCTGATAGGCTGATTGTCAATAATATGCTTAATCTCGCCTTTCCGGGGCTCGGCTTGCAGATCTCCCAGAGTTTACCGAGAGGGCAGGATGGTCAGCCAGCATTGATGACTCCTTCCTCCAGGAGCTGCCGAGGATTCCGGGCCTGGCCAGACGTTGTCAGGGTGTTTGTTTGCTCGCATTGTGAAGATATGGTGAAGTTGATGTTTTTGATGTAGGTAAGAAAGAGAAGGGGGGAAGTATAAAAGTCGCCAGCCCTCTGCCCCTTCTTGGATTTCTGATACTTTACCCACCCAGACGCTGAGCAATCCACTCAAAGAATCATATCTTATCACCATTTCCAGTCTCCGAGAGTCCCAAAGTATCACTCAAAATGAACTCAATCAAGAACATCGCTTTTTTCGGCCTCATGGGAGGTGCTCTGGCAATTCCCAAGCCCGCGACCAGCCAAAGCCACACCAAGATCAACTACCCAACCGACGTTGGCTGCGGTGAAGTTAATGTCTTCTACACGTATGTCATCTTGCAAAGTTCTGGTTTGAGGGAAGTTCCAACTCACACACATACAGTGGATTTCCGGCCCACCATCAAATGGTTATCGACCAAGGATACAATGTTACTGCGGTTGATATCTCACTTCGTAACGAAGCTGCCAACCTCGTCAAGGCTGGGTTCAATGTCTACGGTATGGCCCCAACCCCAGTAGTCCATGAAGAGGATGAAATCTTACAATATAACCAGTCCTCTTCCAGGGCCCTGACCAGCCCGTATCCAACATCGCCGACCGTATGGCGGGAACCCAATGGGGCATTGATGCCGTTGGCTGGGGTCAGCGAGGCGCCGGCAACCCTGAGGTTACCTACCGATTCGAGGGTAAGAATGCTATCTCTAATCCCACCTTTATGCCTTCTAACTCTATGAAACGCAGATAACCTTCACCAATACCGGGAATCTGCACCTTTGACACCGACTGTCTTCAATTGGGGTCCGAATACCCTGTCTGAGTCCATCACCCGCCGCGTTCCTCTCAATGAGGATTGTACTGACAAGCCCGGCAAGCTCCTCGTAAGTACCTTACTACCGACGACAATGATAGACGTGAGGCTAACAAGCTACTTTTTAAAAGGCCTACGAGGAGATCTGTGACCCGACACTTTGCGAGAAGATCACTGTCGTCCTCAATGGAAGTCTGGAGGACCTTCTCAAGGGCCCCAACGCGTAAGCTATTTCTGCAAACATGGGCCGAGTGGTTCGGAACTTCAGTCTAGCCGTGGATAGAGGGGTGAGGAGATTGGTGCTCATACCCAGGGAATCGTTCCTCGGAAGAAATTATGCGAAACGCGGGTTTTGCTCATGCTGGATCTAGGGGGAAGTCAGCTCAAAACTAAACCCAATAGCCCCAAGAAGTGATATTATATAAAAGCTTTTGTGAGGTATTGCAGGGTCAACGCTCCTTTCAATGTGTCAGTGACAGATTTCCGACTGTGAATTCATTTTCAACATTCATAATTCCTTAGGGTGGTCCCAAAACGAGACTGGGAATGTGAAGCTAGGAGCAGATGCCATTACTTATCATGTTTCTACACTGTCTATTATACATCTCCTGGTAAGGCACTGAAATTGAACATCTACAGAAATTCATGCCTGAACCGTTTTGAATTTTAAAGTACAACACCATCCAAGCTGAGGTGCGGTCGAGTTTGGAATAAATCTCCCAGCAGCAGGTCCAGCCCATCACATGGAAGCCCAGTTTGTCATCGAGATCCCTAAAAGTCTGCCCGCTGCCAGTCGGTTTTCCTTCCAGCCCATTGTCTCTAAATGAAGGCCCTTACAGATCACCAATGGTGGTCTTGTTGCAAGGAGACCTGTTTCCGGACCATCCCATGACACGGTTGGCGATATCGCTGGAGTAGCAAGCGTTGGCTCGTCCCTTGCCCAAGTTTCCGCTCTCGGGCATGACACCGGAGTTGTAGTACAGAGCCCCCTTGTAGTACTTGCTGACGTCGGAGGCGCCGGCCTTCTCGTTGACGCACTGCATGAATCCGTCGGAGGTGGTGATACCGAGACCATCTGTAATCATACCTGTCACAAGTGTTGATAGAACTGGAGACGTCAATTGTCTCAAGGGGGGGGGGGGCATACCGATGATCTGCTCATCAGGACAAGGCTCAAGAATCGCGACACCAGCGTCGGGGTCGTTGCAGGTGAAGCTGCCGTTGAAGCACTGCAGCAGACCGGGGTTGCGGATCTTCTCATTGGGAGAGGTGGAGGTCTTGACGCGGACGCATCCGGCAGACTCCTGGAAGACGGCGGCGAGGAGGAAACGCTCGTCGAGGTTGGCCTGGGCGGCGCCCGACTTGATGGAAGACTTGAGAACCGCGTTCTCGGCATCGCTGTTAGGAGCAATAGACAGGCCGTTGCAAGCACCCTCGTTGAGAGCAATGTTGCGAGTCCAGCTAAAGATAGGATAAGCATACTGAACTTAAAACCGGGGATTTTAGAGTGTGGGTTGATAAACTTACAGGGTCTCGAAATCCGCCCACTCAGTGATATCGGGCCAGCCCTGGGCGACGGTGCCGTCTCCCTTGTAGTTCTTGTACTCGGTAGGCGCAGGTCCAGAGGCGCTGGTGGTGGAAGATGCACTGCTGGAGCTGGCGGCAGGAGAGCTGGCGGGAGAGGAGACGGCAGAGGAGACAGCGACGGAGCTGGCCGAGGGGGCCAGGGAGCTGGAAGCAGAAACCACAGGGCGGCTGGTGGGAGTGCCGACAATGGTGTTGGTGGGAGCGACAACTTGGGAGCTGGGGCGATGGGAGTGGTGGCCACCGCAAGGCTTGGCCTGGGCAAGGCCAAGAAGACCGCCGGCGGCGAGGACGAAGGGAATAGCAGCGACCATGGTTGCGATTGAAATGAATGTAGTTGAATGAATGAAGGAATCAGTGAAAGAATGCGAGAGCCTGCTTTTGATGATGATGAACAATCAGATATCGGCAAGAGGAGCCATCCTGTGGTGGTTATATATTGAGGCCATCCTGATGTTTAGGTTTGTGGGTCAACCTCCCAATGATCCGGTCGATCTGGCTTGTGCTGAATAACGTCTCGTTTCACTATTGCTAAACAGGATAGTCGAACATCCTCGGAATCCTCCTGGATCAACACGTGTAGCACTTGAGTCCTGATTGTAGGGGAGCCGAGCCCCAAAATCAAGATCAACAGGCCCTGTGCCTGACTTGAGACCGGCACATCAACGCAACTTTTGACTGGCTGTGGCCCGAAGCTACGACTAAATATAGGAAGCCCCATTTACTTGGGAGGCCCTCTAATAGGGCAAACGAGTTGCCAGACAGGGATGGCCCTGGTTGTTCCCCGCCACTGTGGCCGACGATGGCTCCCCAAGCTCAATGCTCGGGTTATTTGTTTAATGAGGCAAGCAATCACTGAGTCGGGCACTCTAGAGACAGTTTGAACATCCTTGGAGAGGAGAAACTATGACAAACGATGCATATTCCCGCCTGTCTAGTAAACTTTTGTGGCAACGCCTTTGTTGCCAAACGCTCAGCCAGGATGTTCATTGGGCGAGGAACGACCGCACATGTCTCCAACAGCCTCCGATCCGGCAATAAGTGAAGAAAATCCTTTGGCGATCCCGAAACCTTCGCAAAGATGCATAAAACGTGATCTTTTTCTCCGAGCTGCCCACTCCCATGTATTCAGGATCCCAATTAAAGGGGTGATGCGCATGGACTCGGCTTGTTCATCAAACAAACAACGACCAGCGGCGACTAAGGATGGAAGAAATTCGTAGTTGCTCTCGTAACTGCTGCTATTGTTATGTGGAGGCACGCTTGTACCCTTTCCCCTTGATCCTACATAATATGCCCTAACTTATGTGCCCGCATACCACTCCCGGCGCATGTCAGTCTCCTCGCAGCAGCGGCAGCATGAAGAGCATCAGCGCAATCAAGGTGGCCACCAACTACGATGTTACTTTTCTCTAGCAACTAGATTGGTTTCCAGAAGCTAGCAGCTAGTCGACTTCGTATACTAGCAGATGAACATTTAATAACAATAATCGGATCCAAATCCAGTTGTTCTTGGTCCCGCATTGTTGAGATTTCATCTTGGAACGGTCTACTTCCTCCAGACTCAAGTATAATTTCATGAATATGCCCATGGTAGACCTAACAGGTGCAGATCTTTGCCTTCGCTGACAAATGCCGATGGGATCTTCCCCACGAGGGTAAACTTAACTCGGGATGAGCCCAGCAAAACTCGCTTGCCAAATTCGATCCTACACATTGACCTCCTATACTTCCTTCTACCAATAGTTGTCAAGACGTCCCTCCTTTAGGTTCATTCTGCGCATCAAACCGGACTCTTTAACCATGACTTTTACCGAACCCCTTCAGGGTACATGTTATTCTCGAGGGTTAATTGAAGCACGCTCGTCTGCTTTGGACACCGCATTAGTCATTGTTTCTGGGCGGGCAGACTTGCGGCACTATGTCTTCGTAACCGAGGGCTGAGTCGAATAATCACCATACAATGCTAAGAATTGTGGTAAACAGGGGGTGTTTTCTTTGCTCCCCAACAAACCGGATGGTAGTCCCTTGCCTGAGAGGAGCCTGTGGTCAGTATCTACATTCTGAATGGACACCTGCCCGACTTTCTCTTTGAATGCCACCTTTGGTCAGTTTCTCCTCCTATCTTTCACACCTGAGGCCTTCCATATGAATCTATGTCTTGCTTGTAAGACTTAGGTCCATTCTAGACACACACTACGAGCCATCTTTGACATTGTTACGGCACACATAACTCTGTATGTGGTGTGGATTGTTTTTTCCCCCAAGCAGTTTTCCTTTGCTCATCAACTTTCATTGGAGATTAAATAATCGATGGGGCAATTTTTATTTTGTCCGAGAGCTTAAAGCGTAGCAGAAAGTAGTTAGATGGTGAATGGACATATCCCACGGTTTTAATTCAAGGTAGAGTACAAAGCCACTTGCCAAACACTCCTTCGTTTCGATATGAACCCTATCCCGTGACCTTGATCTGTGATTTGAGTCATCTCGCAAATTCCGTCTCCTCTTAAAGACAGAGTCCTCTACAGTCGCTTCCTCCTTGATTGGGGTCGCAGTCATCCCACGGCATATCGTAACACTTCTCCGGCGCTGGGCAATCACCATCCGCAATGCCTCCACACAGACGAAGACCCTGGTAGCCCTTCAAGAGACAGATGCCGGGCTTGTCGGCGATGTTTGGAGGATCGCGAGGGTCCTGCGCGCACTCGTATCCCTTGTCACAGCGCTTAGCGATGCTCGGGTAGCCGCCGCAGATTGGGAAGTCGTTATTCGAGACACAATGGCCTATGCACCTGTCCAGATTGGTGCAGTCGGTCTTGTTGGGGATGCAGTGCGTTCCCGGCCTGCAAGGGGGGATTTTCAAGCCGCATGGTTGGGAGGGGATGTCTGCCGCTGCCAGACCAGTCGCGGCGAGGAGGATGGTGGTTATCGAAGGAACTCTCATGACGTAGGTGGTAGACAGACGTGATCGATATTTCCGAGGCTTGTCGTGCGTTGTGAGATGATGTATGCGAGGGACTCAAAGCTGATACGTGGTGAAGCAGAAAAATGCCTGCAACCGGGCTGAGGCTTGGTTGAGATGACAGAAGGGTTTATATAGACTGTTGGGTCAATCCAGTGGTAGAAAGATGGCGGGGGATTGAGACACTCTTGACTCAGATGACTCCTCAAATAGTAAGCCCCAGACTGTGCTGATGGTAAAGTCAAGTGAGGTGAGCTGGTGGTGAGTCCAAGTGACGAGGGCTTCTCAGGGCCACTTCTGGCCCGCGATTTGCTGCGAGGTTAGGTCAGTCGGTGTCATCTCAGCCCGCGTTGCGTAAGGGAGAGGAAATCATGTCTCAGTCATCAAGGGATGTCCGCATTCCAGTATCCGTAATTCAGTATTTGTACGGACCTCGCAGCGTCACTGACTGTGTCACCTTTAGTCAATTGGTGGACCTCTCTGTTTCACGGACTCTCTCGCTTGAAGAAACTGTGTTGTGACACAGGCGTAACGCCGTTCATCTACAGTATTATTTAGGTCGTCTCTTTTTCTTGCCCTAGTCTCCCACCTAGAATCCTCTATATACTTGAAGAAAAGAACAGAGATTAATTGACATTTTTCAGAGTTTTAGCAGTATATACTACGAGCACATGTGGGATCATACGCAACGCATGGTCATGTTCTAGCCTCATAATGGCTGGATGCTATAAAGCATTAGAGAAAGCATACTGTTTTCCAATTTCACAATGGCATACAACTAATCAAAACTAGTATTCGATGATAATTACGTAGCGTCCTACTGTTCTCTCTCTTTGGAACTCTATGTGCTGATACCCAGGATATTCTCCGTGTTCGTTAGCCTTCCAAGCGTTTCTTCTCTAATAATCTTAACTAACCCAGGAGCCTAGGCATCAAAGAGAGTATTATTCTTCTATCTAAAAATATCTCGGTTACCAAAACATCTAGCGGATTACTGTCCACAATTGTCCTCTAATTTCCTGCACTTGTGGACACTGAACGCAGGTGAATCCACGAACAGCTGCTTCGAGCTTTTTATATGTCCTTGTTCGCTGCTACAGGAGGCCCTAGTTATAGATAAATAATTACTCTTACCTATTAAATTGTGAAAANAAAAAAAAAAAAAAAAAAAAAAAAAAAAAACCAACAAATCTGCACTCACAACACGCGACCGCCAATCCAAAGCGTGCAATCGACATGCTGATATTGCAAACGGGGAACTGTTTGACTAGTTGTCTTCTCTGAATATTGCTCTGCATATGAACTAGTCGCCTTTCTCTGTTGTCTCCTTTGTCTACGAACCAAAGCAGCTCTGACCAGAAAGGCGATCTTTGATAACAATCGTCGCGTAAGAACAAGGGTTGAAAAGGGGCACATGAAAGCAGCACGTTCAGCCGCCGGCACAACCTGCATAGCAAGTGTGGGATTTTTTCTTCTCAACCATTAGAATTATGAAAGTGTTATGCTCTTTTTATTTTCTTTATGTATGTTTGTTGTGGAAATGCAGTAGCGTTGGTGCGCCACAACTTCACAAGCGATCCATCCACTCAGCTGCGAACAGACCTCGGAAAGCTCGTTTAAATTATGTAACAGCAAATGACCTTTTGATGCGGCTGGCTCGTGAGAGGGTCCGAGCGTAACAAATCAAGAATGAGATGAGTCAGACGATGAAAATCCTCGGTTGCTTCCTACCTGGCTTGTGCGATTGCATTTGAACTTGGAGACGGAATTGTAACGCTTCATGGCTTCATCATTGATAGTTTTTGAGGCTGTTCAATCGCCATAGCTTCGTCTGGTGTTATGACTCAGTGTCACTCTGCTCTAGCACCATATGCCCAACCGATCGTATTTTTAGAAATGCACAAGCTCTGAACACACCAACATATTTGCTCCGTGGACGAATGAGGAGAAGAAGAACGAGATGAGATTTCAGGAGGTCCTTTGGTTACGATGTCTCAGTGGGTGGCGCAAATGGATCATCCCTGTAAGCTGACTTTGTTGGGCGAGAACCGAGACAGCGGCGTTTGAGCGATGTCCACCGGCTAGTCGGCAGGGTGGGCTTTCTTGGTACTAAGCAGAGCTTTCCTCGGGGATTAAGGCACTGTGCAATGAATGGTTCTTGCCTTTCCGCTAGAGCTGGTGCACTGAGCTCGGTTTTCGGCACGCGGCATCTTCCCTCACGAGGAAAAGTGCGTCCATTTTGCACTCCACTGGGCTGAGATGTGGAACATGGCAGCGTTGGTGCACCGACTGTACATGACATAGGCAGGGGCTATATACGAAGTGTTTTTGTGCCGTGTAGTGTGAGACAGAGGTAACCTTAGATCCTAACTGAATCAGCTGGACACACGGGACCTCGGCGAGGAAATATCCTTTTTCTGGATGTCAGTAAACAGAGAGCGGGGGAGTGAGGAAGAGGACGCTTCCAAGGAGGGTTCCGAATATGCCCAGTAGGGGGTACTTGCTGCGGATGGGCCAGGCAGATCCGATCAGCCGCTGTATTGTATCCATTTTGGGAGACCCCGAGACACCAGATCAGCCTCATCCTGCATAATGCGCTGTAACCTGTGCACTGGGCCAAGTGGGTTGCCCATCTCTGCCCCGGACATGGACTGCAGAGGGCTGGTTTCTCTAACTTGGTTTGCGTGAACACTCCATATTGATTCTCCATCTCGCATTCTTCCCCTCCTTCCACCTCGTCACGTTTCTTCCTTGCACCACACTCCTGTTCTGCAGCCACTCCTTCCTTGTGGCACCCCAGTTTCTCCGTTCTTTCTCAAGTCTTGTCCTTCTTTTATCCCTGCCAATCTACTACATTGATCCACTCTCGATCTTCCATTTCTCTTCTTCGTGGGTAGGCATGGGCCGAGCCGAAGCCTCCTCTTCCACCCAGCGTCCTTCATGATGCTGCTGAACCCCAGATTTTACGCTCGATGGCTGGTCCACGCTCTGGGGCCACGTATCGCCAACCGTCGCTTTGCCTTCGCGTTTACCGTTTTAGCAGTTCTAGGTGCCAAAGCCGTCCACATCATCGCCCGCCACGATGCCTTGTCGACAAACCAGATCGGGTTGTGGATGTACTCATTCCTCGCCCAAGACTTCGCTGTCCTCATCCTCATTCGGCTTCTGCTCGACGACTCTATTGCCACTGTCTCTTCCACCGCACTTCGAACCGCCCTAAGCTACCTCGGCAATGCCCTTCTTGTCTATAATCTAGTTCTTGGCTTCGTTGCGACGACCTTCTTCGCCGTTACCGGGTCCGAAATTCACTGGCACCATGCGGCCCTCGCAACCGTTTCCTCGTCACGAGCTTTCATCCCCACCGGCATCTTTATATTTTGTGGAATCACGGTGGTTATGATCGCACTGAGCTGGATGCTCCAGGATTTCTTGTATGGCATGTTTGGCTTCTATGCAAATGTGGTCAGCGCCTGCTGCTCCTTCGTATCTCGCCGGTTCGGTCGCTGTGTCCCTTGCTGCCGCCCGATGCCGTACACGAAGCTTCCTGGCCAAGATATCGAACATAACCATAGACCGAGCGAAGACTCCACAGACTCCAACTCCGGCACCGAAGACCTCATCAATAGTGGCAGCAGCAGCGAGATCCTGACCCAACCACCCATCGTATTCCGACTCCTGTCCCGCGGGCTCGCCAGCGTCAAGATTTCTGTCTCAAGCGCTTCGCTTTACTCGGCTTTTAATTTCATCATGCATTTCCTCGCTACGGCCTCTCTTCTTGTTTTTATTGGCTTCAGACTCGCCCGGCCCGACGATGGATCCCTAACCTTCATTGCTTGGACCACAGGGTTACTACCTTTTGTTAGCTACAAATCATTATCACCCTCGATTGAAAACCTTCGGCCAATATATGGAGTGGGCATCCAGCACGAATGGGACCGTGTGACTGCCCTTACTGAGCCGATTCCTATGCCATGGCTTCCCAAGAAGGAGACGGAGGGTTTTGAGGATTGGTACAGGAACGTAGTACACTATAACGCTTCCGCAGATCCGATGAAGATTGACAACTTGGACGAGCCCTTGCTCCCTGAACTAAAGAGCAAGCTTAAGGATCTCGACATCCGGCACGTCGTCCTCTTTTTCATGGAGAGTGTGAGAAATGATGTCTTCCCGATTAAAAAAGACGGTCTAGTTTGGAACCGTCTGGCGGAAACCTGGCCTGAAAATAAGCTTCCGCAAAAGGTCCAGGATAGACTTGCGAGACTCACTCCAACGGCCAACTTCATCACCGGGGACTACGACGATGGCTTCGATCACAAGGAACCCCACAGGAAACGAGGAGGTGCCCATTTCACCAACTACTACACTGCTGGAACCTACACCCTCAAGAGCTTACCTGCCACGATCTGTGGCATGGGACCCTTGATTGGCGACTTTAATCTTGATTGGAAACACCACATGTATCAGCCTTGTCTTCCACATATCTTGCAGGCCCTAAATAACATGACCACGACCCGCACACAATCAGGTCCTTACGCAAAGTCCAAATGGCAGTCATATTTTTACCAGACGGCTACACTCCAGTTTAATCAGTTTGATAAGCTGATGAGGAAAATCGGTTTCCTTGAAGAGAATACTATTGATGTTGAATACCTCCGTTCCAGCAAAGCCAAGCATGGCCCCGTTACTATCCCCTATACCAACTACTTTGGCTTCGAGGAGGAGCCACTTATTGACTATATCCATGATGCTTTTGCATCCGCCAAGGAGAAGGATGAGCGAGTCTTCCTCACCCATATCACCAGTACCACACACCACCCTTTCGTTTTGCCATTAAATGCGAAGGACAAGTATCTCCCTCTATCAAACGGACTGGATGAACTGTCGCATTATATCAACACGCAGGGATATAGCGATCAGTGGATACAAAAGTTCTTCAATATCCTTGACAAGCAGGGTGTGTCTAACCAGACGCTGGTCATTTTTGTAGGGGATCACGGCACCTCGCTCGCCGAGAATGACATCGCGTCGTCCTATTATAATCCTAATATTGGAAACGATCATGTTCCACTTGTCATCTCTCATCCCCAGCTGCCCGCTTTCAACGTCGACAGCGCCGTTTCGGGGATCCAGGTTCTCCCCACAATCCTCGATCTCCTGCTCGAGACGGGCTCTCTGAACGAGGCAAGCCGCGAAGCCATCAGGGGTCTTGTCCGCAACTACGAAGGACAATCCCTCATCCGACCTCAGAAAGTGGTCAACAAGGAGACCGGACAAGGAAACTGGCAGTTCACCACGGTCAACCCCGGTCGAGCGCAGCTCGTGGCGCGAGATGCACGACATCCCGAGCGGCGCCTCATCATCCCCGTTCTCAACAGTGTCAAGTGGAGGCTCAGCAACGTTATCGAGGATCCTCGCGAGGAGAACTCAGTCCAGGCATCCGGTTTTGCAGCGTTTTTGAAGGGAGTGGAGAAGAAGCATGGCATCGAGGTGGCCAAGTGGGCTGAAGAGGGCGCGTTCGTTGCCAGGTACTTTGCTGCGGAGAATGCGAAGAGGTGGCACTACGGGCCCTACGCTACATAGACTTGTTTCTCGTCTTTAATTTTTTGGGCATCTTGTTTGTTCGTTCATACATTGGAATTTTCGAGTTTGGCGTTTGGGGCAGCATAGCCGGCTGGTGCATATAGAAAGATGCCGTCATTTTCATATATTAGGGATTTTTTTTTGCTATTAGAGGCGGTCAGCCCTGATCAGACGAAAAGACACATATGTGAATATAGCGATAGAAATAGAAATCATAATTTGACTATTTTGTCTATAAGTTTCATACGGCTTCGTCTATCTATGAATGAATTTACTATATGATGGAAACTTGATTGATACAGGGAATAAACGTGCCTGGGCTGTCTAAGGGTGTCTATATCTAGAAGAGCAACTCCGACTGAACTCCGAAGAAGTACTCGAATGCATCCTTTCGATCATCGTCTGGCGCTACTACGGTCGCGTTATCCAAGAAGTAAATTGACAACCGCTCATCTTTATCCCACTTTGGCCAGTGCGGCAGCTTCTTCCCATATTTACCGTGGATGTCAACATTGGGATCCAGCGAATTGATGAAGTTGACATAGTACTGCACGACTGCCTTGTATGGCAGAGCAGGTTGCTGTGTCTGCAGGAGCGTCAAGTCCGAGCCATGCATGGTGCCCAGGAAATCAACTTTGTTGTATTTGCTCAAGTAGTCCCAAATGGGTACCAGCCCGTCCAACGCAATGTAGGACGCTCTCTTCTGGAACTGGAAGACGAGATCTCCCAGGACCGCCGAGTTGCGCTTGAAGCCGGGGTAGAGCTCGTTCGCGGAACCGGTGTCGAACGGGGAGCCGGCTGCAGGGTCGGTAGGATAGAAGCTGATCATCCGCTCCAGGATGTCGTCTGCGGCTGTGTGGAAGAGACCCTTGAGCTGTTTTACCAGAAGAGGGGAGGTTGTGTCGTTCAGTAGAGGCAGAGCGAACATGGTACCCTCATCTTCTTGATTGCCCGAGAGGAACGGGATGGGTGCAATTTTACGTTGCTGGACTGCCTTCTCCGGCGAGAGTGGGAAGAAGTCATCTGTGGGATCTGGGCGAGGAGTGAAGCTGATTCGGAAAGCCTCGGGACCAAAGAGCCCCGGGATGACCGCCGTTGCGTTGAGGAATTCCTCGTAGGGCAGCTCGCGGAGGCAGGTCAGCGCATCCTCTGATCCACAGCCTGCGGCTGCAGAGAAATTGTCAAAGAAGCCCTGAGCTGTAGGGCTGTCGACGGCTTCAGCGGGGAACACGGCTCCCGAGTCCATGATTCCGCCACGGAAGAGCGGCTTGCCACGGTAAGTGCTGTTCCCGTTGTTGATCAAGGCGTGATACATGACCGATAGGCTGCCGGCGGATTCTCCCCAAATAGTGACCTTGTCTGGATCACCTCCAAAGGCGGCAATGTTCTCTGATACCCACTCGAGGGCCAGTCTCTGGTCTCGAAGGCCGAGATTGGTGCTTCCATCGTTCTGGAGCTCCTTTCCGGGTAGGAAGCCAAACGCTCCAACACGGTAGTTGACCCTGACCACGAGCATAGGCTGTCCTAGGGCTACTGACTCTTGAATCAGAGTGGAGTAGTCGTATGGAACCGAGGATCCGGTTGCGAACCCGCCACCGTAGATCCAAAACAGCACGGGAAGCTTGGAGTCGGGCGTTGTTGAGGAAGGTCGCTGAATAATCAAGTTGAGGCAATCCTCACTGACAACAGATGGAGGTATGGCAGATGACAAAAGAGGACCGGAAACTTCTGGAGGGAGCTGGGTGAAAACCTCTGGGTCGACTATGAGAGGGTGCTGGGGACAGCTGGCGGGTATTGCTGTACCGTTCAGGGTTCCGAAGGGCGATGAAAGACGCTGCGGGGGGCGGAGGCGTTCTGGAGTGTCCGCGTAGGGGATGCCGAGAAAGTTGTCAATCGAATTGTTTGTGAATCCAACCACAGTTCCATCTGTAATTTGTACGGTTGGTTGTTGAGCAGCGGCCGTCACAAGACCGCATGCTGTCAGAGCGAAGAGGGCGTATGAGGGTATCATCGCGAGCAGGGCGAGAAGGTGGAAGTAAAAAGGTTTCCTGAGATTTCACTCACAATGAAACTGATTTCCTCCGAAAAAAGAGATAGAGTATCTATTATATAGGTCTACCTCCTCGGCAAACTTGGCCGAGTCTCGGCGGACTTTATGCGCTGGGCGGACTTTGTGGACTCAACGGAGTTTATGTCCAAGAGCAGTTCCTATATGTCAGATTATTCGAGGATACTAGGGTGAGAAGCAGTGTGAAGATCGTCAAGTGCGGAGAGCCGCATCCGACTCGCCTGTCGGACACGCCCTTTACCCTTCCATTCTCCTGAAAATTAACAAGAGATGACTTGAGACTGTCAGCTTTCATCTCGCGCCATCTTTCAAACAGCGGGAATCCAAGACAACTATGACGTGCGGGCTTTCAATGGATAAGAGTAAGCAGTAGCTAAACGCTGATCCTGCCGAACCGTGCGCATCAACCCTGAACACTTCGGAACTGATAGTCGGGGAATGAAAACAGAAATTGATTATGTCACACTTTCAGCAAGCCATCGGATACGCTTCTTTCCCTTCTTTCGTCATTCTAAGAACACAAGGCTCAGTCTATGGGCAGCAGTCTAGCCTCAGTTTCAACCCCGCTTACCAAGCTGTGGTCAATAGAATCCTATCGGCCAACTTGGCCGAGACAGACCAAGTTCTCCGAAGCATCAGATTAAAGGACAAACCAACATACTTACAAATGCATCCATAAAATCGAGGATCGCCCGAAAGAATTATTGTTTTTGACCAATTTGATAAACATGATCACTGGGTGAAAAGACGGGGAGAGACGCCCAACTGCGTGGCGGCGGCCGAATGAGGGTTACTATCAGGCCGCTTCGAAATGAGAATCAAACACGGGAGAGAGTTAGAGTGAGTAGAAAGTTTAACAGCAATGGAAGCTGCCAGAGCCCGACAACTCAACACATTGAATACGAAAGGTTAATAATAAAAATGCTTCGCTAGCCCAAGGCTGCAGTCATGCGGAAGAAAATTCTATAAACCTTCATACCGATGACTCACTTGCCGTCAGGACGAGCTGCGCGTCAAATGACTATTTAAGCCGCCCTCTTTCACCTGGCTTCCTTCGTTTGTCTTACGCCAATCCAAACACTTCAACCAAGCGCGAGTCAACCAACCCAGTGAGTACCAGTAGCCCCTTGGCCAGAGCCCTGACACTGACACATCCGCAGCCTTCGACACACACATCATGCCAAAGAACCTAAGGTAGTAGTTGTAAATCATAACCTCAAATAAATATAGGGTGAGATATACACGAGATCTTAGTGCCTTTTCTTAAAGGTAATGAAATCACCTGGCCAGAGATAATAAAGCCTAAGGTCAGCATCAGCGACCCAAAGCTCGCTAGCTTCGCAAAGGCCATTGAAATCGATGAGCTTGATAGCTCAACAGCCTCTCTACAGAGCAGGTCTTAGCCCTGTATAACTTTGGGAGGATATCCTTGAGCGTGTGTCTAAGGATGAACTTAACGAGATAATTTAGCATTAAGTTCATCCTCAGACACACGCTCAAGGATATCCTCCCAAAGTAATACAGGGCTAAGACCTGCTCTGTGGGAGAACCAAGCACAGGCGTCTGTGTCTGGCTGAGAGGCGCATGCCATCTTCCCTAAGTCAAGGAGTGATGATGACAACTAAACTGAAGCGTTCCAGGATGAGAATGAAGCAACGTGCGATGAGGCCCCAAGCACTCCATAAAGACGACATAATGTCATATAGTTTGTGCTGCGATTGGCGTGACGCTGTGATTATCCCTTTTTTGCTTGAACACGACTCGAAACAGACATCGTCTAAGGCTTCAGAGGTTTTTATACTCATTGAAAGCATAAAGACCCCCCTCGGCGGTCCTTTTCCTAAGTTTCTATTAGTATAGTGCATGTATAATCGTAAACCTTTCTAAGTATACCGTATGCTTACATACCCGCCGCATAGATTATGAGGCAGCTCTTCATCTTTCTCTATCCAATAAGACTCTGGCGTAAGGTTTCTTTTTTTCTCATTCCAGCTCGTGCGGTTAAGTTCATACGTCTACTCTCTGGCATGAGACAGGACGCATACACATCCTTTTTTTCTCGCTGCCGGCGGCGCGTATCTTTTCGCTAAATTAGTTGGTCTCAACTTCGTAATTTAGCCCCTCGAGCCCAGATTCAAGAAATGGAACAGGCCAGGACCGCCAAACATCGACGGTCCGCCGAGTTAGAGAGGGAGGTATCACTATGTTTCCTTACCAGCTAAAACTTTGGAACAATAAAAAAAGCCCCGCGTTCACTTCTTTGGGGTTATGCTGGTAGACTTTCAGGAAGTTCTCATGCAGTTAGTGGCCATTACGATCGTGCACCGGCCTAAACGAACCACCGAAACAGTTGCAGGCAGCACTGCCTGTGACGACCGACTGTATTCGCTCTCTGTGCCCATAAACAAAGTTTAGATATGCATCAGAGCTCATTTTCCGCCCTAATTTTGATGATAGAGATGCAGTTTCAGGGCTTAGCCTATGCTAGGTTTCGCTCTGGCCAAGTTATCATGGCCACTGGCTTTCCGATTCCAAATACAGGAATCGAGGTAGGCTTAGAAACACCACTGTATATTGCTTCCTGGTCGTTCAGCTCATCGTATGCTGCTAAATCCCGTGGCGGCGAAGTTGACAAGGAATCCTTATCCATGATTGCTCCTAGGTGGAAGGCGAACGAGTCCAATGGCACATCATCTCAAGCAAACACGAACATAGCCTTTTATATCCGGGGCGTAAATCGGTTTCCTAGAAGGATACATTATTCGCAAGCCGATATGCGCTCGTTGCTTGTCAGTAAGGCCTTTATTGGCTGGCATCCCAGTGCTAGGTCCAACTAGGTGGTGATCGCAGCATCTTCGACCACAGCCCACTAAGACACTCTCACGCTCGCAATCCAACGAGCCGCGTCGTTCTCAAAGACAAAACCGTGAGCTTTTAGAAGATTATCGTCGCGAAGATCAATTTCATGTTGGTATCCCCGGACCGCCGGCTTTCGTCCACATCACGCTCAACGCCTACGATACGTCGAAAATCGTACAGTTAGCCGATAGCACAGGGGCTTTACCCTACGATACCACTGAGAAAAGAGCTAGGCTAGTGCCAGATTCTGAAGTGATTTCTGCGCATGATTCAATATCGGCTCTCCCAGGATCCTGCTATTGTCAGCTGGCAGCTCATTACACTGAGTCTTACAACCGTAGCCAGATCAGGCTTGATTTCAAACATCGCCATAATGATCGAACAAGGCGTCATATTTGAAATCGCAGTGGAAAGTATCTGAGAGGTTCGAACCTTTGCGTGTGAGCTTCAAGTGTGTAGCTTTCTTCGATCTTTTTCTTTTTCTTTGCCGAAATCACTGCTCCTTGCAACAATTTTGACAATGTCCGGAAAAAGCGTCAACTTCAATCCTCGGCAGATCTGTCCGTCTTCCAAATTTGTGGATAGTTGGGTTTCGGGATCCACTAGATATCACGGCCAGACGATAAGTTGGGCATCTATCCGCTCTAAAAATGCCTAGCAAGACCGAATAGCTGCATCAGGGAGGGCTCTGGAGCAACTATACGACCAAGCACCTTCCCAAGGTTCTCAACAATATCTATCGCCGCCAAAACTGGAATGGTTTATCAGAGACTTTCATCTCTTCGAACCTTGTTAGTACCGGACTTCCGCTGTCAGGTAGTCCAAAAATTCGTTATTTTGTCGTCGAGGGTGCAAGCCGCCGCACATCCTGGGACCGGGAGAAAGGTCATGCTTGGTGACTGGAAAGTTGAAGCGATGATAGATTCACGGCATGAGATCACGGAGAAGAGTGCTCCAAGCCGCGAACACTGTCAGAAAATCTCAAAACATAGGACAATCGGTCACCATAATTTTGGGCACAATCCAACAACATCCCGGATTCCCGGCGCTGGAGCCTGGAGCCTGGAGGGCAAGAATGACTGCATAAGCTCATATCTAAGCTTCGCCGCCAGCTGTCGAATAATTGGAATAGCAGTAGCGCAAGAGGAGCTCGGGGCGATAGTGGAGACTTGAGATAAGAATTGCCTCAACAATTGGGAAATGCTTCGATCGGAAGATCCCATGTGAATATTGGGACTGAAAAGTCGTGATATCATTGGTTTGCTGTGCGGTGCGTTGTGCAGCTCGCTATCTTGAGGCTTGCAAGGGTCGACTTTGTGTGGCGGCAGTCTAGCAGGGCAGGTATCCTCGCCATACCGCTTTTCTTGGCCAAAAGCATGGCGCTTGAATTGCAGCCCTGGCCCTTCCCTCAAAATGCTGCATATGGCGATTAAGATCAGAGATCAATTCTTCAAGTTTGGAAAGGTTATTTGGGAAAGTCATCATTTGCCGTCGCTGGGCTCGCTGCAGGGTAGTTCAGGCTGCTATCGAGGGATGAGTAATGCAGCCGCTGAGCTAGTAGCTACCCTAGGCCTGAGTTACAGGTACAAACGGCTAGGCCCACTTGACCTGCGTCATGGAAGTACTCCCGGCGCAGGTACCTACCCAGGGCACTCGGCGCAGAGCTGGGTGTGGTGGGCCCCGGAAAGTGGCCGACGCTACCTGGCAGCAAAGTATCCCCGAGAGTCGAGGCCGCTCCCAGCACGCTCTTTTTGGCTCGAGCGAGACCCAAATCATCTTGGGCTACCGCCAGCCAAACAAGGCTCACCGGCCGTCCCTTGTGCCGGATCATCAATTCCAACTAGTGCCGTCCGCTGAGTCGTCGTCCTCCCTCAAATACGTGCTGCCGACCGACGCCCGTCTTCATCGCTGGTCCGTGTCTCCCGGACCTTCTTCTCTTTGCATTTCTGTCGATCGCCCATGCACACACATTGTCTCAGTAGCGGCCGAACAAATTCCACATCGGGTTGGGCTGGGTCTTGAACCCACCACCATGACGGCAGACCACGCGGTGGATGGCAATGCCTTCCTGCCCTCTGGAGGTCTCGACGAAAGCTCCTGCTACTACAAGCCCATCTTCCCGGGCGGCCCCGGAAAGAACTCCAAAGACACGCCATTCTCGCTTGACGGCCCTTCCTTTCCGCTGTCGTCGTCAACCCTCCTCAGCCGCCGTAACCAGTCTCACCAACCACCGTCATCCGCCACCGGCAACGTGGCCTACAGCTCGATCCCTCCCATCTCCCGCTTTTCAGACCCTTCGCTCTCCTCATCGAGTTTCCCTAAGCCTGGAGCCGCCGACGCGGCCCCAACCTTACAGACGCTAGACCACCATCTGCTTCGTCGTCTGGTGCAGCAGAACGAAATCATACGCGAGGCGTGGGAGGCAGAGCGCAAGTACCTCGATATCAACAGGCGTCGAGTCGAGCAAGTCTATCAAGAAGAGAGGCTCATTATGGACGAAGTTTGCGAAACGTGGGAGAAAGAGAAGGCCGCGTTACTGCAGGAGATTGACAACCTGAAAGGCCGTGTTCGGGGGCTGGAACAAGAAAACCTCGCTCTCAAGGCAGGCAGCCCACGAAACTCTTCCCAGAATCCCGCTTTCCCAGCTCGAGCAAGTCAACAGGATGGTGCCGTCGATAACTCAGGGACTATATCGCTCTCGAGTCCCAACTATGGGCCTGGAGTCGGGGTCCACTCTCCCAACCAAAGACCAAATCATAGAACCAAGAACTACTCTTGCGATCCATTGACTTTACCTCCTGGTCTCGACGGCGCATCTCGACGGCCTCACTTTGCGTACCCAGGTAGCTCCCGGGCATCGCCAACTCGAGCTCCCGAGCCTGTTGCGTACCTCTCGCTCGATCCCCGTATACAGCCCGAAACCTCCACCAACCGCGACTTTCTACCGACGTCATCGAGTGACGACAAGGATAGCATCCCTGTAATCGACGTAAGGGAACTGGACCCCAAGCTCGAGGGAATTCCACTCAAAGCTCCTGCCGTGCAAAGAGCAACGTTTGGGACAAATGGATCCAGCATCACCTCGCCGGCGTCACCTCCCGCCGTCGCAGACGAACAAATGCACACAGTTGAGCAAGCTTTGGCGCCCGATCAGATTCCACGAGACGCTGCGGTTCAAGCGCTGCGGGATGAAGAATTAAGACGGTTGACAATGCATGCTGGCCATACGCCCAATCATTCGCTCTCTAAGATGGTTTCGATGAATGTGGCGGACAGCGGGGGCGTTCCTGGATCGGATGACGAAGGATCGTCGCCGTCACCTGCCATCGGAGACTGTTCTCTTCCTCGAACCTTTGGCCAGCGAAATGCTGGTCACGGGATCGGTGAAGTGGGTGGCGAAGCAAACGGCAAGGCGCAGGAGAGGCACAATAACGAATCGTTGCTCGACCATCCCGAGGAGCAGCTGGATGCCGTGGACGATATCCGTCTCAAAGGCCCGCTCATGATCAAGAATATCCCAGCACAGGACGAGATCTTTCTCGACCAGCTGAATAAAAGACTCGAATCGATTGGCCACGGCGAAGACGCATTGCCAACCGTCATGAGCTCACCGCCTCCAGACGACGACGAAGATCCCGTGTATTCAGTATCTGGAAGTCCCGGCCAAAAACAATGGAAGGCGAACCCGCCAGTTGGCGGTGACGCCTCACAGGATGTGGTTCCCGAGGCCTCCGGTGCCAACGGCGGCGAAGACGCTTCTGCGACGAAGACTGATGAGGTGGAAAAAGACGTCCCACTGAAGCTCAAGGGGACCTCGAATTTTGGAGCGCCGTTTGGCGTAGCATGATGCTCGCATATTATTTTGAGTCTAGGAAATTGAGAACGCCCGGACTCGCTGGCCTTATATTTTTATGAACTCTTGACCCACCCGCCTCTGGATGACCGCGATTGCTACCTACTTATATTCCACAAACTGCCTGGTATCAACAGCCGAATTACATCACAAGACCGTGCTCGTTGATTGATGCATCATACGTTAGAGGCGACTTCGGATTCAATCAGGCTTAACCAGTGCGCTTGGCCTCGTGACCGTTGACCCCCACTCACCGAGACTCCAGACAATCGGCTTGCACCCTGTGATCCAGACCGCACTAGGAACGCTTACGCGGGAGACGAGGAAAAAAAGACCCTATTGTTTATTAGGTGCTAGATGGAAACAACTAGAAAGAATATCTCTACACTTGGCTGGGGGACAGTGTAGGGTTACCACGGCGCCATCACAATACTGGGGCTTGCCCATTACCCCGGTGTAGGAAATCGAGTATTAGATCATCTATCTTATAGTTCATTTGCTTGGCGGGACAACCCGACACAAGAAGCTGCAAAGCAAGAGAAACAAGCCAAAAACCCAAAACAACCCAAAAACATCCTTTCATTTCAGCGCGCTCTACACACCCATCGTGAAGTCGTGCTCAATACCAGGAGTGACGCTGGCCATGAACTGTGATTTTGCCCCCCCCCCATGTTAGTATGGATTTCTCGATGGTTCTCTTGAGGGGTGTGGGGAACGGACGAGTGACATACCTTGAGGAAAACAACTAAGTACTGATCTACCCGGATGGCCACCTCCTGGTCATCCACCTCGGTCCCCTTGACCTCCTCCCACTCCTCCTTGTCCGCGGCCTCCTGGGCGCTCTTGATGTCCAGGCCGCCAATCTCGTCGACGAGGCCCTCCATGCCGGCGGCGGCGGGGGTGTCGGCCTGGCCGGCGCGCAGCTTGTCCCGGCGGATGCGCAGCGCGGCGTCGGCGCGGTCGAGGAGGGTCTTCATGACGGAGGCGTGCTTGCAGGGGTGGACGGACGCCATCTTGATGTTGTTGGCGAAGAAGGGGAAGTCCTCGAGGGTGACCGTCTTGTCCTTGTAGTCGCCGACGATGTCGTCCATCATCGACTGGGGGTTGAGCGGCTGGCCGTTGGGCAGGTAGCCGGAGAGGTAGAGCCGGGGGGTTCGGTAGTACGGCGTGTACATGATGTAGAGGGTGTATGTTCTTCGACCGCTGCCGAGGGGACAAAGCCGGGGTCAGTTCACGGTCAAAACAAAAGCAGCCCATATCTTCTCTAGTGTTTCAACTCACCCGTTCTTGGAATCTGGGCCGGCGTCGCGGATTATCGCCTCGTCGTCATCCTCATCCTCCATGTCGGGGATGTCGTCATCGTCGATGTCGTCCTTCTCGGCGTTGCCCGCCTCGTCCACGGTCCGGACCTGCTTGGCCTTGAGGGGTTGGGAGCTCGCGAGGCCGCCGGTGCGCAGCCAGCCGTCGTCGTCGCCGTCGGTGCCGGCAGAGCCAGTCTTGAAGTCGTCGCCGTCGTTGACGAGGGCCTCCTCGTGGCCCGCGTCGCCGGCGAAGTCGTCGTCGAGGCGGCGGTGGCAGGGAACGTTCCTGGTGACGAGGAACTGCTTGCCGGGGGGAAGGTAGCTGACGCGGCGGGACTCGTCGTCGGCGTCGCCCCAGGACCAGGTGGGGAACTTGTAGACGAGGTAGTCGCCGGCCGCGACGAACTCCTCGGGGGTGATCTGGCCGGTCTCGCGGAACGTAGAGGTGTGGGATACGGGGGTGTAGCGGTCGCGGAGGGTGTTGACCGTCGAGTAGATGTAGTTCATGGTGGGCGGTCGGAGGGGGGAGGTCGAGGGGGAGATGCCGTTGTTGAGCCTGGCGAGCTCGGCCTGGAAGGAGGCAGCTGCTGTTCGGTGGGTGTGGATGACGTCGCGGGGTACGCTGCAGGCAAGAGACGTAGATGTCCTGGTTGGCGGGACGCTGGATGGGCGAGAGAAGGGTCTTGGTTGAGAGATGGGAGGTGGGATGGAATGCGGGAAGAAAACGAAAGTCCAGATGGAAAAGGCGAGAAAGTAAAAGCCAAACAGAGTCAGTCGGTCACTGCCTGCTGCGCGTCACCGGCCGCCATGTGACTGGCTGGGCGACCGCTGAGGAGGATCATATGGCGGGGTTCCTCTGCCTTACGTGACACCAAATGCTCCAGTGACTGCTGCCTCTGCCTCTGCGCTAATGGGTGGTGCCTGGTGGTGCGGGCCGGTACGTACCGATCTGCCGATAAGCTATCGTCTCCACGGAGTACAGGGTAGGCATGTGCTGTTTGGGCCGTGTCTCAACCTGCAGTACGCATCTCGTAGAGCCATTCACAGATGGCCGACCGTACAAAACAGGCATTATATCGAAACAAGTGTAACTAGGCCTCCTGCACTCTTTGCATGGGCCTGGGGAACCTGGTTGAATCCCCACACTGTCTTTCTACTCGTGCCACGTTGTCCAGCTTGCTGTACAACCTCTCCTTGCGTTAGAGTGAGATATTGGCTCGGAAACGAGACACATCGTCGCTTGTGCCGTGATCCTGTTCGTGCATGGGCACTAGGTAATGGGTTTCACCTGCACATATGGTTGTCCAGAGCTATCTAGCGAGGCATGACAAGTGATGAATGTCTTGGCGCTGTGTCACCAAATCCGGTCTCTGTTCTCCGTCAACATCGACCCATTCTCTAACTTCTCGCCCATGTATCCTCAATCAGGAACTTAGAAAGTCGCCTAGGATAGCCGATAGTCAGCCACATGTCTTGCCCAACTCGCATCTACGCGCTTCGGAAGCCCTGAAACCACCGGTTACCCACTCCAAGATCAGCTAGCATTTCCACTGGCAACAATGCAGGCATTCACAGCGTAGGTTAGCCTTCAGAAACGGTCCCGTGATGGAAATGCTTGCCAAGTAGCCTAACAATTAAGATGAGCCCGAAGCGTACGAGAAATTCGACCTGATAGCTGGCAAACTCGCCGGGAGTAACTGTCTAGGCTTGCTACTGGCTTGACGGTGCGAATTGTAGCCAGAGTCTTGAGGAAATTTTTGCCCTTGCTATCTTGAAGTGACTAGACAGTTGCGGTAGCAACGAAATTAGACTATGGTGCGAGAGTTTCAGCTCGTCTGTTTCTCGAATTGAGACCAATTTTTCTGGACTGGACTACCTACCAGGGTTGGCTAGAACACCAAGTACAAGTAGTAAAGTGTATGATCGCCAAGCCTATTGGGGAGATATTCGAGATCGAATCATTGATTCAGGACTGGATCTATTCCTGCTTACCACCCATTTTACTCTACCGGATATAGCCCCAATGGGTCTTGGGGAGCACCTAGTTGGAACCAACTACCAAAGTCTGGTGCACATTCGCTCTAGGCAGTATTGGGAGATTCGCGATCTCCTTGAATCAATATCATATAAAGAGAAGCTCGAACCAAATATAGGATCAAGCCTCGAGTATCTATGAGATAACCCTCAAGAGTCAGGGTATGTTGATCCTCAATACCTTTGGAAGTACAGAAACGGAAGATAAGATGAAGATCAAGAACCAAAGAAAGAGCCGTATGGTGCCGATTTCTTCACGAGCCTAGAGAGTCTCGAGCATTAGGCCAAATACCATCCATCTCAACTAACCATCCACCGTAGAACACTCGCTCATTTCAAAACTTTTGGGGGCGAAAGAATGCTTCGGACTTGGCACGAGGTGTATGTTCTGAGGGAAAGAGAGACCAAACTTGAATATGTTAATTGTGTGCCAAATTCTGGCGTCATGCATTCGATTGGCCTTGAGATTAAATCGATCTTGTGATATTCGATAAGATTCCAGTAAGGTCTGGAAATTACGTAAAGTCAATTCATGATGCAGTCATGTTAGCCAACAATAGATATAACCAAACCCTACTCCTTGCTGCTCGAAGTCGGCGCTAGGTAGGTAGAGAAGGTGTCTTCTACGGAATTTAGTTCTACATTGTTCTTCCATCCATACATGAAAATTTCATTCAAAGCAGCCAGTGTACTCAGTCTCGTGTGTAGTATGTTTCATCTTGGATGCCCGTTGACCCTAGCACGGGCGGTCAGCACGGTGACGGCTCTGATATTTGATTCACAGAGAAGTTTAGTATGTAAAATAACTCGTCCTAAACATGGATTGAATAATATTACACCGCAAGATGGCTTTGCGTTGGCATCGCTAAAGTTTCTGGAGCACATCTTCACTTCGGCTACGATATCCTCCCTTTCCTGTAAGTGCTCTAGCCAACGATATATAATGCAGCCAATGTCTTCAGCATATCATCTTCATCTCATGAAGATCGAGGATAATAACTTAGTCGAAAACATCAACGTGATGTCTCTCCGTTCGGGAATGCCAAGTACACTTCCATCGGTAGAGTTGAGCTCCTTTCGCAGGTAATACCGCCGGCTTGTAAAAAAAAAAAAAAAAAAAAAAAAAATGAAGTGCCTACGTTGAGACGAACGGCTCGGAGACATCCGGCCGAAAGTCACGATGGGTGTGCATCTTCCTTTTAGAAAGATTGGGCGACCAATTTGGGTCACTGACGAGGTATAATTTCCTTTGAAAGCCAAGTAAACCCCTTTTTTTGGAATACGGTGCGCTCGATAGTGCCGGCGTCATATGTACCGCCTTCAAGCTTAAGGTAATAATGGACCTGCGTCATCGTCTTGGAACAGGACCAGGCAGAGGCTCTTGGTGCTACTTGGAAGGCTACGGAAGGACTGGGATAGGGTGACGGCTCTTCTCTGTCGATTATAGTATGGCCTAAATCAAGTTCGAAAAATTTGAACTGCTGATTTTCAGATTCCAAGATGGGACAAGGACTCTTCAACTTGATGAATGTGCGCTAGCATGTCTAGATCAAATCCCATAGGCATATTGGGTCACTTTATTCTAGCTTCGTCCACTATTTTACTTGTACGGAATCTCTAGAGACATATCATGACTTGTCGTCTTTAATTAAGTTTGCCCCCTTTAACTTCTAAACCCATCAAGCACAACTAATTCCTATTGCCTTTCAGCCAGTTCCAAGGGTGCAACTGTACGCCGTGGTAGATCTCCCGTATCCTATGTAGCTGGTTAACTCATTCAGATGCGGTTTGCTACTTTTCCATCAAGGTCACGACATGGTGAAATTGGGGTAATTTGCAGACCGATGGGGAATCCAACTCGTGGCCAATATCAATCAGCGCGGTCAAATTATCGCTCGATTCTATTATTGCCTAGCGTTGTGAGATGGTCGACATTAGTTTATTGACGGTGAGAAAAGATAGTGGTGAGCTTAAATAAACCGCCGAGGCATGCTGTGTCTACATTCCCAATGAGCTCAGGTCAAGGGGATGCAACAGTTGACTTCTTTATGCCCTGTGCAAAGGCTTCAATAAATTGGAGTGAACTGTCTCTGTTTTGAAAGCCAGAACCTTCCAAATTCAAATGACAATTGCTGATGACAGTAGCCGGCCTTGTAATTTAGTCGCTTCTCGTGCTCGGTCTTACTTGTCAGATATCCAACCTCTTTCGGTATTGTAGATCGGACCTTTGTCCCGTTTCTCTGGTTTGTGGCGGGATGAACTGCTGTTTAATCAACAGTTCCGAGGTTCCGGCGTCTCACCACATGCAGGTTCATGGCGTTTTTCATACTAAAGCTTAGCACTCACTTCAGCATTTATTGTTTTGACGAATCGTCAAATCAGGACAGCAAGAAATGTCACAGGCTTTTTCAAGTGACAGATGCCAAGGTGGAATTGAATGCTAGCTCAACTCAAAGGGAGGGGGTTTATCGATTGCGCCGCCAAAACCCGGTATCACGCAATTTATCCTCCATTTTGGCCCGCTTTCCACGCGGAATTTCTACAAATCTCGAGCGTCTGATCCAATAAGGTTATCCAGATACATGCACGTATGGGTTACCTCCGAATCAAATGCCGTTCATCAGGCAGGGGGCAGATGGCGTTATCAAGATGTGAGGTTCTATTAAGGCCCTCTTTATCCTATACTTGGTGATGCTCTGAATATCACCCTGAGAACGATAGCTATTGAACTTTCTTTTCGTGACTGAAATCCCCAGCTAGCTGTGTCCTTTGGCAGTTCTACACCATGAGCAGCGAGACGGAATCCCCCTCGCCGCCGGCGGACGATATTGTCAGACAACCTGCATCGCCAGGTGAGGAAGCTTCTGGCCCTGGAATACGAAGATCCCATACCTGATTGGCTAACATGGATAAAAGCCAAATGGAACAGAACCCCATTTTATAATGCCACCATCCTGGGCATTTGCAGCTTCGCTGCACCGGGCCTGTGGGGAGCCATGAACTCGCTCGGCGCTGGAGGGTTGCAGAAGCCGTACCTGGTCAATACCGGAAACGCCCTGACCTTCTGCCTCATGGTGGTGTCTTGCTGGCTCACCAGCGGCCTCGTCAAGTACGTCGGCATCAAGGGCAGCCTCGTCATCGGCACCATTGGCTTCTCGGTGTACAGCGCCGGACTGTACCTGAACAACAGATACGGGGTCGAGTGGCTCGTCATCTTCGGCGCTGCCTGCTGCGGTGTCTCGGCCGGTATATTCTGGGCGTCAGAGGCGGCCATCGCGATTGTCTATCCGGAACCGAGGAACAGAGGCCGGCTGGTCGCCTACTGGCTCTCCTGGACGCGACTTGGCCAGATCGTGGGCGGCGCCATCAATCTCGGCCTCAATGCGGACAGGAACCAGGCGGGACAGGTCTCTTGGAAGGTCTACCTTGTCTTCATTGTTCTCCAGGCGCTTGGCCCTTTTGCTGCCCTGCTCCTAAACAAACCCGAGCAGGTGCAGCGAGCAAGCGGCAAGCCTGTAGATCTAGCTATCTTTGACCACCCGTGGAAGGAGTTCAAGGCGACGTCCAAAACTTTCCTCAAGAAGGAGTTTTTACTGCTGGTTTTGTGGATTGGGCAAGGAGTATACTCGGAGGCTGTCTTCTTCAGCTATATCGCTCTGTGGTTCAGTGTCAGGTCACGCGCACTGGGGTCCTTCGTATCAGGCATCGTCGCAGTCATTGCCGGGAATCTCCTGGGGCTATGGTTGGATCAGAATCACATCGCTCTGCAGAAGCGATCCCGATGGGCATTCGCCGTCATCATGACTCTGCAGGGCGGGTGGTGGATTTGGCTGACCGTCAACGTCACTCAGTATCATCGAGAGCTGCCGACCTTTGACTGGAGTGACCCTGGTTTCGGGAGGGCCTTTGGCGTGTTTGTGTTCCTCGTGGCTGGGTTCCAACTCAACTACAACTTCGCCTTCTTTTTAATCGGGCAGATCTCGAAGAACTCGCAGGAGACGATCCGGCTTTCGGCGCTTCTGCGCGCGACTGAGTCGGGATGGCAGGCGATCAGCTACGGCTTGGGTTCCGTCCCACTCTTTGCCTCGATTGGGAGCGTCTACCTCAACTTTGGGCTCTGGGCGGTCTCCATCGTACCAGCATGGTTCGTTGTCAGCCGGGTTGGAGAGCTGTACCGTGCGCCGCAGGATGAAGAGCAAGTGGAAAATACTCAGCTGGCGTCTAGTGACGAGAAGGGACACTCAGCAACCGTTAGTCCAGGGCTGTAATCGCAGGAAAATTATTCTGTGGATTCCGCTTGAAGTGGTCAGTTGGATCGGGTTTATTTTACTACTTTTTAGTATGACCTGCTACTAACATCCAAATATGCCCGCCACTTCTTCTCTGGGCACATGTTCTGCCTCTCATGTTTGCTTTGCAGTTCTATATAATTTTAGTGTGTTAGATTTCAAGACAGCAATAGTAAGCCAATAATCATATTGTTTTCAATCAATACAAAGATCAAGGTGGCCTCTTTTATTCAACAGTGCTCATAATCGGCCAACGAAGGTTGGATATACGCGCCACCGAACTGCGAGAGAAGTTCTGGAATGGGATAGCTGTGTTTCATGCTTAGGTATATAGGGCCGTTCGCCAAAAAAACACACTGTTGTTATGATTTAGAGATATCTTGAAGACATCAACTATAACAAATCATGCCAAAATGCTCTATCGACTCTAGATACAAGCAAGTCCGGCAATTACCCTCCGATATGACTTGTGGCATGCGTGAAGGAATGCTCCCCAAATGCGAGTCCTTTGGCCAGGAAGCCCCAGACTTGGATAACCATGACCAGATTACTTCTTATTCAAATTTGTGTATGGATGACTGGCAAATGATATAATTCAAATCGTATTTAGATAGGGAAAGGTTGAAGCTTAGGGTTAGGGACCGCTATCACGAAAATCAGAGGATCAATATGAAAAGTAAAATATGGGTAACTTTAACACAGTGCCAAGATCCCAATAATTCTCTCGTCCTAACACTTGTAGAATTACTAAGTGAATTTACACATTTCATTCAGAGCTTTGGGTGTCAACAATCAAGGGTGGTCGCGGAAGAAGGGCAGTGTAGGGTAGATGGGTATCGAAATGTAGCTCCCCGATAAATGCATAGATCTGAGAAATCCACTACTCCCCGATTGATGCAACCGATAGAGCCTCGCTCGATAGCGATAGCCCAAGAAACATCGCGATGACCGCATGATGCAAGAGCCGCGACGTGGCGACTGACATTTACGTGCGCTGCAGAAATGATCGCCGCTTCGATTTCTCTGGTGTAAGGCTTTGTTTTAATGGGAGACCATGCCGGCGTCACCGCTCTTTGGTGGGACATCATCCCCAATCAATCACGAAACAGGGCTTCGCCGTTCACGCTTCACCTACCGGCAATTATCGCAGCTTGCCTCATACAACACGTCGAACCCACTACGCGTAATTGCCCACATTGACCTCGATGCATTCTACGCTCAGTGTGAGATGGTCCGCCTCGGCGTTCCCAGAGACCAGCCACTTGCTGTCCAACAATGGTATGTACCACCTACCTTGGCTTGCTTCCAGTGCACGGGAGGTGCTGACAGGTCATCATCAATTGAAGGCAAGGGCTGATTGCGGTCAACTACGCTGCCCGGGAGGCGGGGATCAATCGTCACTGCCAGGTTACGGAGGCGAAGAAGCTGTGCCCCAACTTGATCGCGCAGCATGTGGCTACTTGGAGAGAGGGCGACGACAAATGGGCCTACCGCGACGACGCGGCCGCCAATATTGCCAGCGACAAGGTGTCTCTTGATCCTTACCGGCTGGAGTCGCGCAAGATCCTGTCTACCATCAACGCTGCGCTGCCTCCCGACCAAAGACGGGTCGAGAAAGCCAGTATCGACGAGGTGTTTATGGATTTGTCGGCGCAGGTGCACTCGATTCTCCTCAAACGCTTCCCGGAGCTTTCCGGCCCGCCTCCTTACGATGACCCAACGGAGAGATTGCCCATGCCACCGACCTCAGCTCTGGACTGGGGAGAGGACGCGCTCGTGGGGCTGGACGAGGACGAGGAGGCTATTGATCCAGACTGGGACGACGTGGTCACCCTCATCGGGTCAGAGATCATCCGCGGTGTGCGGGCTCGTGTCTGGGAGGAGCTCGGCTATACCTGTTCAGGAGGCGTTGCATGCAACAAGCTCTTGAGCAAGTTGGGCTCGGCCTTCAAGAAGCCCAACCGGCAGACCGTCGTGCGAGGGCGAGCGATCCCCGCGTTCCTACAAGACATGAAAATCACCAAGATGCGAAACTTGGGCGGCAAGATGGGGGACAACGTGGTGTCCACATTCAACACTGAAAGCATCGCGGAACTTTTGGAGGTCCCGTTTGACACAATGAGGCAAAAGCTTGGTCATGAGACGGGCACGTGGATATACAACACTATCAGAGGGGTGGACACGAGCGAAGTGAACTCGAGAATGCAGATCAAGTCTATGCTGTCTGCCAAGTCCTTCCGCCCCAGCATCAACACCGTTGACCAGGCCCTGAAATGGCTACGGATCTTTGCGGCCGACATCTTTGCCCGGCTGGTAGAGGAAGGAGTGTTGGAGCACAAGCGCCGCCCAAAGTCGATCAACCTACATCACCGCCATGCAGGCCAGACGTATTCTCGCCAGGCTCCAATCCCCCCAGGTAGCGCAATAGACCAAGACCTCGTGCTCAACCTGGCGAAGAACCTTCTAGATCAGATCATCTCCGAGCACAGGGTATGGCCATGCGCCAATCTGAGTTTGAGCGTGGGCGGGTTTGAGGAGAGTGTGAAGGGTAACATGGGCATCGGTGCGTTTCTCGTCAGGGGTGAAGAGGCCGAAGCTCTGAATGCTGCTGCGTCCGTCAGCCACCCTCCCCCGACTGCAGCTGCAACTCCAACTGCAGCCGAGCCCGACCGGGCATCCAAGAAAGCTCGGGTTGAAAAGGCAGGAATTGCGCGTTTCTTCACGAAGCGCCCGCCTGGCGACTGTATAAAGGGTGGTGACGAGCCTGCATCCCGCACACCAGAGACCAATCACGCTGGAGCATCGGAAGCCAGCTCGTCCAGCGAGGGTATCCCGAAGGATGACACGGGTGACGAGCAAGCCCTGGCTGCAGGAGTCTCTTGCTCTCGGTGTAGCAGGCGCTTTGATGATGTGGAGGAACTGCAGACTCACCAGGACTGGCACATGGCCAAAGACCTGCAGGATCAAGAACGTGTCGCTCCTGTATTCGCCAGTCGGCCGGCGAATTCACGTAGCTCAACCCCAAACAGCTCAGACGGGCCAGGCAGGCAGTGGCCAAAGGGGAAGCTCGAGCCAGGACAGAAGCGCCTCCGGTTTGGCTGAGTGGTCATCACCAAGGGGGCCCAACGCCGTTGATATTACGGCGCGGCGATGCGCAGCGAAGGGGAGCCGGGGGAATGATAGGTCCGGAGGGGGTGCGAAAGTTACTCCTCTTACGCCGGGTCACTTCTCAACTTTCAATCGCTTTGAATCCATCTGAACAGTTCTGCCCGGAGATGCAGGGCCAGGTCATCGAGTGGAGCTTAGCACCAGGTTGGTAACCGCCGTCGTCTCGCTCTCCACCCAAAGGAGGTACGGCAGCGGTGTGAAGGGCAGTAGGTAGAAGGCAGAAGCATGGCGGGACTCCGACATTTGCTGGAGGGATTCCCCCGGAGAGGATGCCGCCTCCTCTCGCGATTGCCTGAGACATGATGCGCTGATTCGAAGCGCACAATGTCATCCAGTACTCCACACCAGGTCGTGCCAGGTCCACCAGTAATGACACAAATCGTGGGCGATTCCTCGGCATCTTGAGTCGATGGTTACATGAGGCATAATATGGTGCGCGTTTGTGCGCGGTCGAAGCCATGGATCCCCCGACTGGGTCTCAGGACAGGCCATCACAGGTCCTCATGGCTGTCAACTCCCACCGATTCACTTTGCGATGGTAGGCAAGATTTAGTGGATACAGGGCCTATCGCAATGTCAAAAGCCCAGGATGGCAATAGGATGCCAATATTGAATTTACTATGTAGGATATGTATAATGCCTTTTCGGAGCAGAGGGACAGAGCTGGGGGTTGGTTGGGAGGTTGGTTGGTTCCGCTTTGGTGAGTTATCGAGGTACGTACTCCATCCACACACACACACCAACCTCATGACGGCGGCATTGATACCCAACTCCATCGAGCGGGCATGGCGCCGCGGACATATCCCCAAGACTTGATATCATACGCTGAGGGGACACAAGGAGGTGATGGAGCCACGTCACCGCGCACCTACCTGCGAATGCGAGCTGGCCTCTGCCATCCTTCACTTCACTTTTAAAACACACGGCCACAATGAATCACACACGACTAACTCGTCGTCGAATAGCATCCGAGCCAGAACGCCCGCTCGGTCATCTCCTTCCGCTGTGACGATAAATCCTGAACGTGACGAGCTTGCTCCCGTGCGCCAGCCACCGGCATTCTCCTGTAGCTGACCTAATATATCGATCCACCACGTTCCCTTCCCGCCGCCTATCTTATCCCCAGACTGGTGAATGCGTTGTCCATGCTTACCCGAGTGTCGTTTTTTTCATGCCGACCAAGAGGAAAAGGCTTCCAACCGGGCGCTTCGGTGCCCCAGTGTCACCGTCCGATGGCGAGATGTGGCAGGACCGTGTATGATGGGTGGCAGACAGGTGCACACACGGTACTCACAAAAAGACATGTGGTGAGAAGACACAGGCCAGAAAGCGTTTGAAGAAGCATGTGGGTCGCCACTCACGATGGAAGAATGGGTAACCTTGTTGGTGATCGTCAATCAGCTGGGAAGAAAGCAAACTGGTGCCCAAGTCTTGCTGGAGCCAAGAACACGGCACTGACCGTTGTTTATTCAGTGTGGTCCGGCTGGCCCTAGCGCATCTGGTGGAGATTGACAGTCTCCTTCCAAATTAATTTTCACATATATATGGCACAATGATATGATTCATGTCATTCACAGTGTCGAGAGTTTGACTGGTCATTTGGCTTAGCACAGAGATGGAAAGCGCTGGGATGGGATGGGATTGGACGGGAGACGACGCGAAGCGAAGCGAAACTACACGCAACTCCCCTGCATCGTCGAGTAGTACCTACCATCCTTATTTTGCATACATTGATGTGTGTTTTTGCTGATCGCTGACCCGGGCGTCTACCTGGCTCTTCAATGGCCGTCGTCCACGTAGTAGAGGCGAGCGACTGCGCCGGGCCGAACGCACGTCCGGATGGCTGTCACATCCTGTCACTGCGAGATTGGCCAGCGCGCCGGGGATGACTCCGTCCCCAACGAACCCCACGGACCAGTCGCAGGCAGAGACGGGACGTGAGGGCGGTGGCAGACAGGGAGCGGTGCGGTGCGGTGCAGACGCATGGCGCTGTGCGTTGCTGCGGTGTGCTGGCAGGATCTTCCTCGCCCTGGGCTGTCAGAAACCTACTGGTCGCACGGCACCGCCCACAGGCCTGGCTGCAAGCGCTCCTCCCAGGGTCAGCCGAATGGATGACACTGACGAGTCGGTCTTGTCCGGCCAATACTGTGCGCGTGCTACTGCGCTGCAGCCCAACTGCCTGACCTCATGGCTTGCCTGATCTGTGCCAACGCTGCCCAACGACCTGGTCGCCGCACTAGGCCTCAGCAGCCACAGCCAGTGAGCGCTGCCGGGTGGAGCGCCTGCCAGCACTCGCCTGTCCGGGATTGGCTCCAGGCGCCCAGCCCCACCGCCTGAGCTGCAACGTCGCTGCGAGCTCCGCCTGTACTCAGCAGGTTCCCCGGCGCCGCCCAGTGCACCTGATCGGTACGCGCACCGTACCTCAGGGTCCTTCCTTGCTGTTCTGTGCGCGCTGCTGTCCACCCGTGTGTCGTTACGAGTTACAGAGGCAGACACGCCCCACCCCTCCCAATCCACTCCCGTCGGCTACGCTGTTCACATTCTGGCTCCATTGCGATCTGGACGTCTTCCCTCAACCCGCCATCCAGCGCCTAGCTCCAGGCGTCCTAGCCCCTTCTATTCCCTCAACGGTCCAGTCACTGGCTGTCCCGTCGTCGTTGGCTTCAATCCAACCCCCCCCTGGCCGGGACCGCTTGTTTGGTCGGGAGTAGGGCTCCAGGACCAGGAATCCATTCGATTCTGGCCTGCTTGGCTGACTTTGATTCGATTCTGTTGGATGGATGTATTATGCTCCCACTCCGCTATTCTTGCCCAGCCCGCCACACACCCACCACACACCACTGGTGCCTGCCCGGTCGATTTTGCTCCTGCCTGGCCACTCTTTTTCTGCAGTCCGGCTCCCCTCCTGCATCCCCTGTCGTCGCCAGGTTACTTCTTCCCACCTTTACTCTGACTCTTCCATCCGTAGTCTTCTTCTTCTCCTCCCTCCCCTCTCCCTTCCTCTTTTTCTCCTCTTTATCCCGTTCTTGCACACGGTAAAATCTTCTCTCATCTATCATCTTCTCTCCCATCCTCCCTTCTCTCCCCCCCTCACCTCCCATCCGTGCTCTTCGCTATTTTTTCGAGGAAAATGTCTAGACAACCCCGCGGCCAGGGGGCCTCCGCGCCTTCAACTTCCCGTCAAAACGAATACTTCGTTCCCCGCGATGGCATCGACCGCGAAGTCATCTCGGCCGACATCTGCCGCTACCTGGGCAACGATGCCCTGGTACGGCCTGGCCAGTATGAGGTGCGTCTCAACTTCATTACGGCGTCAAATTGGGCCGTTGCTGCTCCAGCGCTGGTAGCACATACCAGGGCCACCTGCAGCTGTCCTTTGCATGCCAATCCGATCGCGCGCGCCGATGATCCCACTACTGACCTTTGACGGCCTGTAGAACCCCCAGACTGGCCAAGTCGTGCAAGGCTACTACATCACTGGCTATCGAAACCTGACGACGGTGAGCAAGCCCCCCCGCGCCCACGAAACCCTCCTCCCGACCGTTCTTGAGCCCGTACTAAATCTGTTCCTAGGCCATGATTGAAGACCTCAAAGCCGACTCTGCGCGCTGGGACGCCGAGAGGCGTGCGCAGACGTCCCGCAATACCCCAGGAGGTAGCTTTGCCGTCGGCTATCCTGGCAGATCAACGTCTAACTCACCTTTAGGCCAATATCGTATGTCCGAGACGCACCAGTCTCGCCAGAACCGTGGTCCAACCGAAGGTCACTATCCACCGGATGGATATGGCCACGACGGACCTCGATACCCCGGAACTGGCGCCCCTGGCTACACTGGAGCGTCCCCCTCATACGCACAACCTAGCTATGGCGGCCCCGGCGGTGCTTACGGCTACGGGCAGTCCCCTCCGCCAGACCCAAGGTATTCGGGATCGTACTCGCAGGGCGGCCAGCCTCCTATGGACGGGTTCGATGATCGTGCTTACATCCACACGGGCGCCAACCTCAACCGGACCGGTGCCCCGCCCCAGCCTACCTATGTCACAGCCCCCCCAATGCAGCCGGGATATCAATCTGCTCCTTACAATTATCAGTCGCAGGTGCCTACTACGAACGGGCCATCGTACTCGAGTATGCAGGCTCCCGACTCATCCTTCAGTCGAGGTGAGTATAGCACCAGCATCATCCACAACCGCCTGTCCCAAAGGGTTTTCGTCTGATTTTTTAGTGTCACCAGCAACCCAGGTCCCCCCCGCAGGATACTCCCAAGGACAGTATGCAGAAGTCTCCAGTGGTCGTACCTCTGTGGCCCCCCCTTCCGCACCCACTCCATCAAACAGCTCCTCCAAGCGACGTAGTGACCGAGATGACGACAGGCACACCCCATCTGACCGTCACCACCGGCAACCTCGTCGGTAATCTTGCATGATATTGGCTATCAACCGGCCTGCCACGCAGGACAGGGTCCCAAGTTCCAAGCCAGCATAGCCACTTGTTGTTTTCTGCTTTTCTCCCCTGTGGCGTAATAACCTGGATCCCAGCGGAGTTTCACCCTTTCAAGGACCGGCGTTCTGTACTTTGTTATCATTTTTGACCCAATTCCACCGGACCATGGATCGACACAACCCATTCCTGGAGTTTGCAGCATTTTCTTTCGTTTAATTGTGGGCTTGAACCCCCTTGAGGTTGCGTCTTGAAATAAAGACCTGAGATGGACAACATCGCAGACTGCACGAAGTATGAAGAAAAAATCACTCCCTTTACCACATGATTATATATTTCTCTGGCCAGGATCCAAGGTTCATCAGCTTGTCGAATGTGTCCCCCATTCTAGGAGAAGATCGATTATTCCCCGTCTCGGATTGGCTTACCTTGCCTCAAGGCCCTGGATCCTGGCTTAAGTGCCTCTACCAAAATTTCTCTGGCGTTTCTTGATGAGCACAAAACCCCTCTGGCACCACTGAGCCATTGCTCGATTACTCCCTTCCCTGGATTGGTCTTGAAACCCTTGTTGCCCGGATTCCCAGTGCCGCTTTCCAGCTCACCGTTGACCAGGTCCGGCCTTCGCCTAGCGCACTTCGGATCACCTCCTTCATTTTTGAAGGCTGGTTCTATTAATGACCTCACATCTTGAATGAGAGATGGTGAGTCCGGGCAGCAAGGTAAGTCAATTTCGGGTTTGTATATATGAGACAATTATCTCAAAGGAGCACCCACATTTGTTTTTTATCCTCGCTCTATCATTGAGTCTCAGCGCTTGTTATGTATCTCTTCCTCTCTGGAATTGATCTTTCTGGTTGCTGTTGAGGATGAACCTCTGGCACCGTGCCTGCCTCCACATGGATCTTTGTCCAGGAGGTGTCGGGAAGTCGCATCTTTTTTTTTACACATCCTGCGACAACTTGTGTTGCATTGTGGCACAAGGGGCTGGTACCCCGACAAGAATCGGCGATGTGTAAGCTGTATAGTTTGCGCATTCGCCCTCAAGCCACCTTAGCTGGCGTGTTTCGTGTTCCGAGAGCGTCCAAATTCATCTGGGTGACAATTCAGCCACCTGTTCAGGAAAGGCGTCTGATTCTCCCAGGACTTGTTGGTTGTTTCCCGGCAGGTGTGGCACAATTCTTGGTAACGCGCACGGAATTGTCGCACAACCCGACCTTTGTCTCTTTGTATTTTATTTTGAACGAGGACAAACGCGTGTTGTGCGTCGGCATATTGGTCCTCTGGACTGTCTGCATTTAATTGGAAACGCGACGCGACATGCAGGCAGATTCAAACACGCATCACTGTTCCCATCTTGGATCCGAACCTCGGACCTACCATTTGAGGCAGGCGCCTGGACATTTGATTACGTTTTGAACGATTTGCATGGCGGGCAAGGAGTGCACATCCAAGAAATGGGAGGCGTTGGTAATGTTCTGAGCATTTTTGGGTATGGGCCGGTATAGGAGTCGCAGCCTGGGGATATGAAATTGCTTTCCGTTTTTTACAAATGTTGTGGGTTTTCTCGGGTCTTTTATTTTTTTTATCTTGTTCTTTTTCTGTTGTTTCTTACTTTTTCTCCTTCCAGAATGGATGGTCTATGAATAATGGCTGGCTGGCTCTTTTCAGTGTATGAGAGTGGGCTTCAAGGAACGAAGCTGTTCATTAGAACAAGGGGCATGAGAGAGGAATGTCTGATGCCTAATGATCAATGCCAAACCGCGATGGGTACATCGCTGGATTTTTTTATGATGACACCATGCATACATGTCTACGTACCGAGTGACAGTCTGACTGCCTAAAACGTGGGATTGAGAGGTTCCCGCCACAGCGGCGCCGGGGATTTCTCCGTAGCTGAGATGAGTGGCTGCACTCCCTTACCGGTCTGCATGTGGGAGTGCTTCTTGGAGGGTTGGATGGCCACCGGGCGCGATACTGTAGGATGCTACTCTGCATTGCAGCAGTCAGGTCGCACTGCCGTTGGTGCTGGTGCATACGGGTCAAGGATATGGCATCTTGGCGCTGGGTGATGGGTCCCTCTTGGCCGCCTGCGTGGTAGCATGCAAGGCAGCAAGTGCCTATCAGACGTGGATGGGAGTAGTAAATCACTTGGAACGAGGCACTGTCAGGGAGATCTTGGGGGATGTTGGGCTGTTTGCCACCAATGTAGATATTCTGTCTGGACTGAATGGTCCGGGCTCTCGGCAGGTGACAGAACCAATATCGCGAGGTGGTATTTTTTTCTCCTGGCTTCCCCACCATGACCTCAACCCCCACGGACCAATGCTGGCGTGCAATTTCTTCCGTCGCTCGCTGCAGTCGTTGGTGGTGGTGGTCGAGCAAAACACCACACCGGCGGCCGGCAAACCGGGAATAGGCGTGATTAGTAATGAATGGGATTCAGCAAACCAGGATTGGGATGGGCAATTAATGCTGTTAGGGCTCTGCAGGGAAGCCCCCTTGCTCCTTTGGGCGCTGCTGGGTGGGTGGGCACCGAAAGCCCTCCTCCCCTCCTCTCTCAACAGAATCAATGCACGGCCCCTCTGTATGGGAGGGAGGCTATCGCGGGGTTCCGTGGGACATTGCACGCCAGCTGGCGGTCGCGCTCGCATGGTGTCGCTGGACGATGCCTTGGCTGACCGACTGCTGCTCGCCCGGACTGCCTTGAGGAGATGGATGGGGGAGCAGGCTGATGGATGGGCTGTCGTGCCAATATGCATAAAGGCGGTCACCTCAGCGCTATGCCGTGATATCATGTGCCAGCCATGGACGGCAAGCTAAATGGTTAGCTTGCCTTGCCTTGCCAGTCAGCTCTTTTCTCGCCCCTTGCGTTGGAAATGCCCTGGAGTAGCGGCACTGGCTGGGTTTCTTAGCGGGCTGGATTGCTATGTGAGAGGGGGGAAGATGGCAAGATGAGTGTCTGGTTGCTCTGGAACTGGCAGGGATGGAAGCCTGTTCTGTTGCGTTTTTTGGTGCGTGCAGGCTTCCACTGTGAATTGAAGTGAACGTGAACGACGTGCTAAGAGTGGGGGTACATTTGATTTTGTAGCTCTTCACGTAATTGATGTTTCGGTGTACTTTGGTAACTGGTACTGAGACTGCCAGGCCAGCGTGCCCTGTGGCAGCGGTGTTGCGCTCGCTACAGGTGCACGCTACAGCAGCTAGCCAATGCCTATGGCGGCAGTGGGCAGCGACCAGGCCCACCAGAACAGACGTCAGTCCAGGTTAGCAGCAAAAGATTGTGTGCGAGTTTCGGTAAGTGTGTGTGTGCGGTCGATTGGATTGGTGCTGCGTGTGCTCCGTCGCCTGCGGTGAGATTCAGGCCTCGAGACAGCCAACACCGGGCCCATCTCGCTGATGGCTGTCGGTCAGTATTTCGCATCCGTCTATCCATCCATTCTGCATCGACCGTTCTGCTGGGCCGGCCATGACCAGACGCCAGCCTCGGTTTATTTATTTTTTATCTGTTGACGGGCGCCTCTGCTGCTTTTGCTTGTTTGGGTTGACTGACTAGGGCCTGGCAAACCAGCCAGTGAGCGTCGATCCATCCTCCTACCATTTTTTTTTAGTCCCCAGTTGTTTGTCCCCCAATGCCCCGCCATCACTATCCAGCCCTCCCTACCTGATCACTCATTCATTTTGTTCCTATCACCGCCGCCAACACGGCCCAACAGGACCAGATTGATTCCCTCCAAACAGCGCATTCGTCATGGATCCAGTCGCCGTCAGGGCCTTGCTTGTTGCAAGCTTGGACCCCGATGCCGACAACAGGCGTCGCGCTGAGCTCCAGCTGAAGCAGGTACGCTCTTCCTGAACCCCCCTTCTCCGATCAGCCTGGCCGCGTTGTCCGCCTCCGGAACTGTCTCGTCCATCCAATGACTTCATCCGGCGGCAGGGCCGGCCTCCGACAGCCCTCCCGGAGCCATGCCTTGCCTGCCCAGCCCCTGTTCAGCGTCGCTAACGTCTTGTGCCGCCGCAGATTGAGGACCAGACGGGCTTCCTCGACTGCCTCTTCGGCATCCTCGAGTCGGAGCAGGAGGCGAGCATCCGTCTTTCAAGTATGTACCCAAAGCCGTGGCCTCTCCGAGGTGCCCAGAATCAAGTTGCGTTAACGATATCCCGTCCCCAGCCGTCATCTATATCAAGAACCGGGTCAACCGAGCCTGGTACGCTCCCGACCACAAACTCCCCGACAATGTGGTTCCGATAAACGAAGAAGAAAAGTCCCGCGTGCGCGATCGCGTCGTGCCCCTCCTGGCCTCGTCCGAGCCCCTCGTCCGCCAGCAGCTCATCCCCGTCCTGCAACGAATCCTACAGTTCGACTTCCCCAGCCGGTGGCCTCGCTTCATGGACTTCACCATGGAGCTCCTCAACACGAACACCCCCAGCTCCGTCCTCGCCGGTGTGCAGTGCCTGCTGGCCATCTGCCGCGCATTCCGCTACAAGTCGGTCCAGAGCCAGGACAGGCAGCACTTCGGCAAGATCATCGAGGCCAGCTTCCCCCGGCTGCTGGCCATCTGCAACGAGCTGGTGACCCAGGAGAGCGACGAGGCGGGCCAGATGCTGCACCTTGCCCTTAAGACCTACAAGCATGCCACATACGTAAGAGAACTCGCTGCCGGAATTTTGGCCTCGTCGTTTGTTTTGCTAACCTGGGAGGCTTGCAGCTGGAACTGACCCCCCATCTCCGCCAGGAGCAGGTCAACATCGGCTGGTGTACCGTCCTGCTCCAAACAGTCTCCAAAACGCCCCCAGCCAGCGCCATGACAGGTGATAGTGTCGACCGCGAGAGGAACCACTGGTGGAAGGCCAAGAAGTGGGCATACTACAACCTGAACCGTCTCTTCATAAGGTACTGTCCTTGGCCCTTTTTTTTTTCTCTCGGCTTTTTTTTGTTTGAAGGGGGCTGCCGATCCCCATCTGAGACCTCGTGGTAGCTGACTTCCATCCCAGGCAAGGAAACCCAACAACGCCGGGAGACGGCGACGTCGGCGCCCGATTCGCGAAGAACTTTGTTGCCAACATCGCACCCGAGATCCTGAAGCACTACCTGCAGGAGATTGAGAAGTGGGTTTCCAAGACGTCATGGCTGAGCCGACCCTGCCTTACATATACTCTGGTCTTCCTGGATGAGTCAGTCCGACCAAAGGAGATGTGGACGCACCTGAAACCCCATCTCACCAACCTCGTCACCCACTTCGTCTTCCCCATTCTGTGTCTTACCGATGAAGACCTCGAGCAGTTCGACGATGAGCCCGAGGAGTACCTCCACCGCAAGCTCAACTACTTCGAAGACGGTTCCTCTCCCGATATCGCTGGCGTCAACTTCCTGGTCAACCTGACAAAGCACCGGCGCTTTGAGACCTTCTCGATCCTCAAGTTCGTCAATGACATTGTCAACGAGTATGAGCAGAACCCAGATGACAAGAAGAACCACGTGGCCAAGGAGGGCGCCCTGAGGATGATCGGTACGCTCGCTCCCGTCATCCTCGGGAAGAAGAGCCCCATCGCGGGCCAGGTGGAATACTTTATTGTCCGCTACGTCATCCCCGAGTTCAAGAGCAGCCAAGGATATCTCCGAGCCCGAGCTTGCGATACGGTCGAGAAGTTCGAGCAGCTTGATTTCCAGGACCAGAACAACCTGATGACCATCTACCGCCACATCCTGGACTGCATGGCAGACGAGTCCCTGCCCGTACGGATCACGGCCGCCCTCGCCCTCCAGCCGCTGATCCGCCACGACGCGGTCCGCAACACCATGCAGACGAGCATCCCCACCATCATGCAGCAGCTCCTCAAGCTGGCCAACGAAGCCGACGTCGACGCCCTCGCCAACGTGATGGAGGATTTCGTCGAGGTCTTCTCGACCGAGCTGACGCCCTACGCTGTTGCTCTCTCTGAACAGCTCCGCGACACGTACCTGCGCATCGTCAACGAGGTTCTCGAGAAGGAGAAGGGCAATGACGACGGCGAGGCATTCAGCGAGTACGATGACAAGAGCATCACCGCCCTTGGTGTGTTGCAGACCATTGGTACTCTGATTCTGACCTTGGAGAGCACTCCGGACGTGCTGCTCCACATTGAGCAGGTTCTCATGCCCGTCATCAAGATTACCTTGGAAAACAAGCTATACGGTAAAATGATATCCTTTTCCTGCACGCCAGCCCTGAATTTGCTGCGGTGGTTGTTGTTGATGTTGAAATGATGCTAATGTGGGACAGATCTGTACAACGAGGTGTTTGAGATCATCGACAGCTGCACATTTGCGGCCAAGAGAATCTCGCCCAACATGTGGCAGGCCTTCGAGTTGATTCACAGCACCTTTAAGGCAGGTGCTGAGTACTACCTCGAAGACATGCTCCCGGCCCTCGACAACATCGTCCAGTACGGTGCGCCCCAGCTGGTGCAGAAGCCCGAATATGTCCAGGCCCTGTATTCCATGATCACCGACATGTTCACCACCCAAGCCCAGGGTCTGGAGAGAGTCAGCGCCTGCAAGCTTGCCGAAGCCATGATGCTCTGCCTCCGGGGCCACATTGACAACTGCATCGAGGGCTTCATCGTTGTGGCCATGAGCATTCTGGCCGCAGAGGACGAGGTCAAGGTGCTGAGCATCCGGATCCACCTCATGGAGATGGTGATCAACGCCATCAACTACAACCCCCTCCTGGCGCTGCAGATTCTAGAGAACAAGGGCTGGACCAACCGCTTCTTCACCCTGTGGTTCGGGAACATGTCCTACTTCACCCGAGTCCACGACAAGAAGCTCTCCATCATCGCCATCACCGCCCTGCTGAACCTCAACCACGACCAGGTGCCGGCTAGCATCTCTGTGGGGTGGCCAAAGCTGCTGGAGGGCATTACAGAGCTATTCAGATCCCTACCCGGTGCTATGAAGAGTGAGTGTTGGCCCACGGTGATGACGTCGTAGACACAAGGATAATGCTAACGGGAACTAGAGCGCGACGAGGCCCTCCAGGACGACTTCCACTTGGACTCATACGACTATGCTGATGATGAGGAGTGGCCCGAGGACGGCTCTAACTGGGTCGGAGAAGAGCCTGCCGAGCAGGAGACGTCTGCCGATGTCACAGATGAGGGTGCTGCTTACCTGAAGCTGCTGCACGACGAGGTTGGTCCAGATGAAAGCTGCATATACAATTACGCAAGCATGGTAATACTGACTGATGGCATGGGAATAGGCACAGAAGTTTAGCAGCGTTATGCCATCGGATGATATGGACCTGGGCGAGGACAACTTCCTCGACTCCCCATTGGACAAAGTCGAGCCATACGGTCTGCTGAAGGCCACCATGATGAGTGAGTAGAGAGATGTGACCGTGTGCGAAAAGGACAGACAGAGACTGACGAGCGGGACAATAGGAATGCAACAAGAGCAGCCAGAATTCTACAGCTCGCTGACGAGCTCCCTCTCCGCCGAGAACCAGAGCGTCATCCAGAGCGTCATGGTGCGAGCAGACGAGATCGCGATGGAGCAGCTGCAGCTGGAACAGCAGGCGCAGGCCAAGCTCCTCGCTGAGCAGCAGGGGGGCAACCCGGCCGCCAGCTAAGGGAGATCTGTCCCCTTTTGATGACGAGGCGGGTGATGGGGAGGAACATATATACCAAGATACTGTCGAGTGGAAACTGTCATGAAAGCATCTGAAAGGGACCAAGCCGTGTTCCGACCAAAGCATTGTCACTTTTTAGAGCTGTGGAGGAGCCGAGCTGATGGGGGAGGGGGGATTCTTTAAAGGGAGCAAAGCGGCAAAGCAAAGCAAAGCAAGTCAGAGGAAAGACCAAGCCAAGAAACAAAAAACAAGACTAAAATTCCCATCCCACCAAAAAAAAAATGATGAAAAAATGACGATCTGCAAGTATTGGGACTCACCAGGGACAAAAAAAAAATTCAAACAAGAGAAAACCAAAAGGCAAACACACAAAAGAGAATGGAGAGCGAGAGGAGGACATTACTTAGATAGCGCAAACATATTCAAGGCTGGGAGAGGGGAGGTCGGCCCGTCTGCACGCGCACACACTGGACGTGTCTGGAAACTTGAGTCTGGCAGGGCATATATCTTGGCGATGGACAATTTTTCTTGACATATACGTTTTTATCTAGCCTACTAATTTTGAGCCCGGGTGGTTTTTGTTTGTCGCGCGGACGGGCGGATAGAAGGGAGGGTGGGAGGGAGGCATGAGCGAATGACTATTATCCACTGTTGATTGTTCCAACGAGTGTGATCTTTCTTTGAGTGAGAGTGAGTGTGAGTGTGTCACCACCTTGGCAGTGAGTTGAGTATCTTCTTGTTGCACAGGACCCGGTTGCCATGCTCAGGCCCAGCTGCATGGACGGACGTATGTCCGTGGGTGTACAGCCGGTTGGGATATTAATAAACTGCCATTTGGCGAGACGGACGGCAATGCATCATGGCCAGGGATGCCATGCCATGAGGAGCTGATCTGCCGGAGGATCGACTGGGGCGTTTGTGACGGGGCCAGGATTTGCGAACTCTAACCAAACAGCAGCGAGCCACATCTAGGTATGTTGGAAGGGAAAACATGCACTTCTTCAGTTTAGCAGGCGGGACTGAGGCTCACGATATCGGCTGCCTCACCGCTGCCTCCCGCACCTGGGAGATTGGACAGGAAAAGGGGCAGAGAAGAAAGGAGTCATGTGCCATGTGCAATATGACGGACAGTGTCTCATGTCGGAGCTGAGCGCCACACCAGATGCATAATATCGGTACCTTATAGAGACTTGTGGGCCCACGCATCCATGACCTTGGGACAGGGTACCAACAAGTAGCTCCTGCTAGTGCGGTGTCGGAGCTCGCCGCTGCCACACCGGTCAAGCCACTCACGACCACCGCCTTTCCCCCTCACCAGCCCAACTGCCGTCTCGGCGGCCACGACGCCCATTCTTTGCTTTCCAGCGATCAATTCTCATCTTCTCTTGCCTCATCCCGGGGAAGCAATATATTTTAGACAGCCTGGCTTTCCTTGGGCCAAATTGAAGCCTGCCCGCATCCGCACGGTGACATCATCAGCTCAGCCCCTCCTCCCTTCCACCTGGTTGCCCGACCTCACGCGCCCAACATGACGACCCGATATCGCGTCGAGTGTGAGGCTCCCATACCCTAACCCGATCTCCACGTCTCAATGGGTCTGCTCTGGCATGATTGCTGACAGTCTGCTGCCGTCTAGATGCTCTCAAGACGCACAGGCGTGACCAATTCATAGGTAGGAGGCCGCCTGTCTAGCTCGTGTGACACCCACGGCACCATGATCAATGGACGGGGCATATCGCAAGTCCATTCTTCTGCTCCCACAACACATGTGCTGACATGGAACGTGCCTGCTAGAATGGGTCAAGGGCCTCCTCGCCGTGCCCTTCGTGCTGTACTCGGAGCCCACAGGAGTCTTTGGCGACGGCACCAACGTCGACCGGATGGCCGAGGAGTCTCACCGCCGCTACGCTGAGATTATGCGTGACGTTGAGCGGATGATTGACGACCACAGTTAGTAGCTCCATCCAATATCGGGCCTCCATGAGAGTAAATGAGTTTTCTAGGCTGACCATTGCCCGGCAGTGACCATCCAGGGCCACGACGAGGCCTTCCCCTCCAAGCTGCTCATGCTCGTGCCCACGGCGGGACCCTTCTTCACCCGCCTACCCCTCGAGGCCGCCTTCAAGTACCAGGACCGCAAGCGCCACATCTCGTCGCGGAGGTACGTCGCGCCGTCCTTCAACGACGTGCGGCTCGTTCTCAACTCGGCGCAGCTCATGGCCGTGACGGGGGGCGCCCTCCAGCTGGCTACGTTTGATGGTGATGTCACCCTGTACGACGACGGGAAGAGTCTGGAGCCGGACAGTCCTGTCGTGCCGAGGCTTTTGGGTCAGTCTTTTCCCTCCTTTATCTTTATTCTGTGCTGTGTCTTTAGTGACAGAGCCTTTGCCAATGGATGAATGAATGTGCCTACTGACAATTAGCAGACCTCCTCCGCAAGAACATCAAGATCGGCATCGTCACAGCCGCGGGCTACACCACGGCAGACAGGTATTACGAGCGCCTCCACGGCCTGCTCGACGCCATCGCCACCTCCAAGGACCTCGACCCGATCCAGAAGCAGAACATTGTCATCATGGGCGGCGAGGACAACTACCTCTTCGAGTTCTCCCCCTCGTCGCCCTACCGCCTCGCCCCCGTGCCCCGCGCCAGCTGGCTGACCCCGGAGATGGCCGCCTGGTCCGAGAGCGACATCACCGCCCTCCTCGACGTCGCCGAGTCCGCCCTCAAGGAGTGCGTCCGCACCATGAAGCTCCCCGCCACCACCCTCCGCAAGGACCGCGCCGTCGGCATCATCCCCACCGACCCGGACACCCGCATCGCCCGCGAGTCCCTCGAGGAGACCGTCCTCGTCGTTCAGCGCATCCTCGAGTCCCACTCCCTGGGCATCTCCGCCACCACCAGCACCAGCCTCGCCCCCCGCGCAGCAGCAGCCGCAGCCGCCGGAGGAGGAGGAGGGAACAGCAACAACCCTCCCAGCAGGCGCGGCGTCCCCTTCTGCGCCTTCAACGGCGGGCGCGACGTCTTCGTCGACATCGGCGACAAGTCGTGGGGCGTCACCGTCTGCCAGCAGTGGTTCGGCGCCGCCGGCGCCGCCATCCGCGGCGAGAACACCCTCCACGTCGGCGACCAGTTCCTCAGCGCCGGCGCAAACGACTTCAAGGCCCGCCGCGTCGGCACCACCGCCTGGATCGCCAGCCCGGCCGAGACGGTCGACCTGCTCGACGAGCTGGCCGACCTCATGCAGAAGAAGCTGGCGTGAGGGAGCACGATTCTACCGAGGGATGAGATTATGGGCGTGCGTGAAACTGTTCCGTCTTCTACATGATATTTCTGTCTTCTCTACTCGGCATACCTTAACTTGGGATTCTTGCTTGTTCTTTTTTTTTTTTTTTCCTTTTTCGGCATGGATTTATCACGGGGATACCACATATCTAGATAATACTTAGAGGCTCTCTACGCACCATCCCAAGCCCACCGTACTCTACCGTACCGTCATGTGACCAAAACCAGGCAGCCGCTGGGCTCAACGCATGTCTCGGAGCCAGAGCCTAAATACTCTAAATCCCCCATCCCGAACGCACAGCAGCCACGCCTAGTCTCAGCCACGCGGGCCAAGCCAAAACTACAGGGGGCGGAGACAGCTCCAGATCAGACGTTGCACGAAAGGTGGCGGGAAGATTCGGGAAAATGTCAAATAGTCAATTTAGACCACGGGGGAGCGCCAGACCTGAGAGCGATACTTAAAAGAAGAAGACAAAAGAACAATTTGCACCTCTCATTTGAGCCCCTGCTTGACCTCCCCGTATCCGACGCCTCGCTTTCACCAAATCAATTAATTATGCTCCCTAGAGCCAAGGACGAGGAAGGAGATGCAATCAAGCTACGACGGAAGCTAATTCCGTCTTGTCCTACTGCAACCTTAACCGACCCCGGCTCAACCACCCCACCATCTGTGTTGCGTCACCGCTCGGTGGTCGTCGTGCTGGTGGCGTCACGGTTCGAAAGAATGAAGATTATTGCGCACATGCTTAGCGGGTCATGAATGTTGGTAAATCATAAAGGGTGAAACGGATTCAAATTGAGTCATTTTTGTGGCCAATGTGCCGTACTGTAGTCTTCTATTACAACCATAAGTTGTGTCCCGGGAGGTCTTCTTCCGAATCCCGGGCGTCAAGTATATATCATTTAACGAATAAAGTAGTAGTAGCTTGCTTCTCTTTTCTCTCGCTGAAGAGGGACATCATGCGGTGTGATGAGGCATTTGTGTATTTGTAAGCTATTGTGCTTACAATGCGGGTAGGTGTGTTTATAATGGAAATCAAGTTTCCTTTCCATGTCCCCTTAGATGGTGGACTTCTTAGTATCCTGGCTGACCGGGCATGGCTCCTAGGGAGTGGGATCCCTTGGTCTTGGGAGGCAGATGGCTGTGGCAGAAAATCTTTCTGGGCCCGTTCCAGGAAGCATCAGGCTTGCTGGCGTCGATGACGTGGGTGGGGTCGTCGTACGACTCCGCCTGGCAACACTCGACGTTCTTCATCCAGCGGTTGTTCATCACCTGGTTGATGGAGATGCGGCGGCTGGGATCCGGGTTGAGCATCTGCAACATCAGGCGTCTCAAGGCAGGAGGGCTGACAGCGAAATCAAGAGCGGTGCAATGGGGGTAATCCGTCTCGGTGATGGTGGCATCGGGATCAGGGTGGTTCTTGTACCACTTGTCCCAGCCTTTTACGAGATTGTCGTACACCTTGTTGATGCCGGGCTGAGCACGAGGCCAGATGGCACCACCGAAGATGAGGTAAATCATGACGACGGCGGAGCTCCAGACATCCAGGGCACGGGGGTCGTACTCGCTCTTCTTGGCGAGCACCTCAGGTGCGATGTAGGGCTCACTGCCGCAGATACCGGGCGAGCAAAGGCGGATGTCGCCCATGTTCTGGCCACACTGGCCACCGGACTCGCGCACACCAGGGTGAGTGCCGCAGAAGACCTCGGAAACACCGAAATCAGTAATCTTGAGCTTGCTGTCTTTGGTAATAAGCAAATTCTCCAACTTGATATCACGATGGGCGATACCGTTGTTGTGGAGGTAGTTAACACCCTGGATGAGCTGCTTGAAGAGGCATAGACGATCCTTCTTCTTGTCCTCAGGCTTCAGCCATCCCTTGGAAACGAGGCTGAACAGATCACCCTCGGAACAGTACTCCATGACGTGGTTCCAGCGCGAGTGATCAGTGCAGAGGCGGAAAGTCTCAATGATGTTGGGGTGATGCAAGCTCTTGGCAATGCTGTACTCGGACTTGATCTTCTTGTCGTAGTCGTCCTTGCTCTCACGGCCCGACTTGCCTCGGAATTCCTTGACGGCGTACAGCTCGGTGGGGCAGCCCTTGCGAGACATGAGGGTCACCTTGGAGGCGGCACCCTTTCCGAGATGCTTTCCGTGGCGGCCGAGAAACTTGGACTCGTATTCGAACTCCTTGGTGAGCTCGACAATATCGACGGTGAAGTCATCGGGCAGACTCAGACTCATCCGGCGAGCCTTGGCACCGGTACCAGCATCCGGTGGCAGGGGCCAGGGGAGTCGCTCAGGCGGGTAGGTTTGTTGGTTGTCATTCTCGCAGGGGGGCTGCTGCACGACGTGGGGGGAGTCAGTCCGCTTGGTCGAGTCGAAGCTGCTTGCACGATCTCTTCGGTGGCCCGGGCGGGGGCCCGGGCCGTGACCGGTGACGAAGTTAACAGCGCGACCGCGAAGGCCAAGGCTGAGGCCTGAGGAGGATCGGTTCTTCTTCTTGGCCGAAAAATCGTCCGAGTTGGGGAGAGACTCGGACACAATTGAACGGGCGGGCTGGGAGCCCATGTGGTTTCCGCCGTTGGAAATCTCGAGAGGCGAGGTGGGCGACGGCGGGGTGTTTGATCGAGTGGTTGCAGTTGACCGGTGCATCGAGAAACGGCGACTCGACTTGCTGGGCGGGGGGCCACCGTTCTCACGAGCCGTGGCAGTGCTAATGCGAGGGCGAGTAGAGTCGGCGGCGGAGGTAGAAATGCGGGATATTACGCCGTCGTCCTTGGGCTGTGTGGCGGGCATCGGCACCTGAGGGGCCGATCTTCTGAAAAGACTCGACATTGTGCGCTTGAAACTGCTGGTAGAGCCTCGAGTAGAGCGTCGCGTAAGGGGAGCGGAGTCGAGCTCGGGCTCTGTCTCGTCAATGGCAACAGACTGGCTGGCGTCGAGGGTGCTGGTGGTTGCCGGCCTCCAGCAGTCGCCTTGCTGGAGGGAATCGGTCGGGGTCGAGGATTCAGAGGCGACGATAGGGGTCTTGGGGAGAGAGGCAGGAGGGTTGGCGGGAAGCTGTTGGGTGGTCTCGTCGGAGGAGGATGGCTGTAGGTAGTTGTAGTGGGCGCCGGTTGGGAAGCTGGCCCACTCTTGCGAATGACGTCCGCTGGCGCTGGCACTGGTGGGGGTCACAGGCTCGGCAGGATAGTCACTTCCCGACTCAATGCCTTCCTCGAGGATGGGGTCGGGGAGGTCGGAGGGCAGCTGACGAGGCGACGATGAGTAGCTGCTGGAATTGCACGGGGCGAGCGACTGAGACTGAGACTGCGGCTGTGGTGATTGAGGCGAGGGCGCGGAGCCATTGGCATATATCGGTTGATGGGCTGGAAAATTGATTTGTCAGAGGGGACAGGAAACGAAACGAAACGGCTCGGCACGGCAGGGAAACGAAGCAATAAAAAAACAAGTGTAGAAAAAAAATGTGGCCCAGAGGACCGACGGGCGAAAAGCGAGGCGAGGGCGCGGGCAATCAGTAGCGGCTCGCGCATGCATGCATGCAGGGCGAGTACAGGTACAAGAGAAAGAAAATAGAACAGAACCAAACAAGAACGAGGCTGAACAGGGGTGAAATGCCTGGGTGGTGGGGTAGGGATCGAGAACAGGCAGAGAATAAAAATTGAGTCAGATCGTAGGACCAGGTGGGCAGGGATTTCGGTGGCAGCATGAACGGGGGGGAGGGGGGAAGAGCGCCTGCAGAGAAGCCTGTCGGTACGTAGAGGGCCTGTAGGGGTGTGAGGTGGTTGGGGGCAGTGGATGGTGCACGCGCTGGAGCCGAGGGCAGGCGATGAGATGGTGGTGGTGACCGAGCGACCAGCCCAGCAGAGGCCAGGATTGGCCAAGAGGCCCCGGGAATGCACCGGCCCTGTGATCTGGGCTGCTGCTGCTTCCAAGAACCGTCTGTCCCAGGCGAAAGCCGCACGCTGGTCCAGGGGCCAAGCGAACGCGAGGTGGAAGAGGGGCAATTGGCAGAATTGAGTTTGAGAGCAAGCAGACAGCCAGCGGGGCGCCGAATGACAGCCAAGCCAGACCAAGCGAAGCGCAGATGTCGGCAGGGTCACGTCACTCACCACCTGGCAGGTTGGCGATGGATATTGGCCCACCGACGGTGAATGGGGGTGGGTGCGAGCGCAGGCAAGGGCAGCGCACTGGCTGGGTAAATTGACGATGTGTGGTGGATGGTTGGTTGGATGAATGGATGGATGGATGCTGGTGACGGATCCGAAGCGGAGAAAGGGACGATGACGCTGGGCCAAAGGACGCAAACCCAGAAGGCAACATCAGCACTGCATCGCACCTGCTCTACCTGCTGGCGCCTGGCGCTGCTGTTTTTGGCCGCTGTGGGGAAACCGGTAAGATGGGCTTGGGGCTTTGGGATCGCCTGCGGCCATCATCTCACGATGCAGACAACCTCGCAGGAAGCACCTTCGCAGTGCGCCGTCCACCGCACGACCTCGTGTCGCAGCAGGCATTGGCTGTGCTCATCCAGCGACCGACGATGAGATGGATGGGTGGTGGGGGGATCGCCGGGGCCGATTGGTCTGTCGAGGGCTTCAGAGGCTTGAGACGGTGCATTCGAGTGTCATCGGTAGCGAACCCGAAGCAGAGCGCATTGCAGTGCAGCGCAGCCCTCAGAGGCGCTGAGCAAATAGAGGACTCTGCCCATAGCGACACGCTAGCGGCGCCGTCAAGCACTGTCGGTACGTACCACAACCGAGCTAGCGCGCCCAGGTGGAGCTGCAGCTTGGGGGAGTCAAGCTGGCCTGGGGCAGGTACCACCTAGGATGCTTTCCACTTGAATCGGGGGAGCCAACAGGATTAACCTGTCAGCCAGGCGAGCTAGTCGCTCGCCCAAGAGAGTGGCTGCAGTGCATCCATGGGGGCAAGATGTTGGGGGTGATGCAGAGCGACCCAAAGAAAAAAAAATGCACATGAAAAGCAATAGGAAAACCAAACAATCAAGTGAAGATCATGGGGAAGGGAAGACCGCAAGTAGAAAGATCAACGTACCGTGCGTCCCGGGGATTGGCTGCGGTTTGGCTGCCATTATCCCTGATTCTCCGCCCTGAAGCGCCATTTCGAAATCCGATCCAGTCCCACTTCGGTCTAGCGGATCCTGGCTGCTGGTCACTCGTTCTTTTTTCCGCTTCCCTTTTTGGGGAGGCGACAGCCGGGGAGATGACGGTGCGCGCTGGGGAAAGGCGAGAATTGCCAAGGAGGTTTTAAAAAAAAAAGAAGCTGGAATGCAGGACGTCGGCTACTAGAACCGGAGAGGGGCGTTGCTGTCGATGTCGTCGTCGATTGTCGGGGTGTGAGGCTTCCTTCGGCTTGCTGCTCTGTATCGTGTCGTCGGTGTCACTACCGTGGCCGCTTCGTTGCAGTGGTAGTCGTGGTGTATCGCTCGTTGAGAGGTTGCCCTTTTTTTCGATGTCGGCGCTGATTGCCTACCGCTCCGCAACAATGACCAACACACACACACACACAATGTTGAATGAACTCGTCGGGCCAAGGCAGATATGAATTGATGCGAGGGTCCGTCGTGGTGTCGGACGCGGGGGGGTCGAGCTGTGTTATAACAGGCCGACGGGGGCAGTGACTAGGAATGCCTTTCTTCGAGCTGGCGAATGATTGACAGGGAAGGGTGTTCGAAATAGTGATTAAACATCGATACCGTCCCGGCGAATCACCTGGACCGAAATAAGGATAAGAATAAGAACAAGAATCCACAAGGGATGCCGGATGTGAGTCGGGGCTTAATTCACGTTTAAACAGAAAATCTGAACCGATTCGCTGAGCCACAGCCTCGTCTCACAATCGCTCGAGACGGTCTGAGACGGGTGGGAATACGGCCGGCTGCTTCGAGTAAGAGGTGTGTCGATTCCGTGCCAGATGCTGAGACACCACCGTCGGCTGGTTGGTGACAGCAAATGCGACCTTTCCTCTGTTCTCTCTTCTGTCTGGTGTCGCCTTGACCTGCTGATGCTGTAATGTGTGAGTGACTTTGTAGCAGCACCCCAAGGCAAAAAAGCGAGGCAAAGCGAGGGAAGACGAGGTGTTGAGTCTCGGGTGTAAGCAAACAATGTCTGCGCACAGAGACAAGCAGCCGAGCGAGCACAAAGGGTAAGATGAATGGGAGAATGAAAAGGTTTAGGTGATCCAAGGAGACGGTGCGATAGTAGACAGAAAATAATTGGGGTGAGTGGGAATTAAGAATGCAGGGCCCAATGTGCAGCAGGCGGAATGAAGTTTGCGCTAATAAAGAGGTCGCGACGATTGGAGGGGGAAGCCATACCTTATTACGCCCGTCCGACGAGGCTTTCTCGTGCAGCAAATTGGCCCTTTAGGTTCGGAGAGAAACTATAATGCGGTCTGGAAGGTAAAAAGAAGAAGAAAAGAGAAGAAAAGTTTGCACAAGCTCAACCGGGCCAAAGATGCAGACCAGATAATTGATAGGCAACACTTACTCACGACAGGCGAGGCGAGATGAATGAAGCACATTGGCAAATTGGTAATAGCTGCAACTAAGAAATGGTGGGGGGAAATACTGGAGTCACGGCGTGTGGACACCTCCATGCACCTACACCTCAGACGCAGGCGGTACCTGTAGGTGGTAGACAGTACTTGGCCTGCACTGGAGCCGGTCGCTTGTAGCGTGTAATATAGCGACCGTAGCGTGTACCTTGGGATGGAGGGAGGCAGCTAAGACAGAACAGGACCAACAACGGGCAGCAGACCAGGCTAATGACCTCACCCAGCGCTAGAGATGGGTTCGTAATTGCTCCCCCGGAATTTGGGATTGGCAGCCAGGTAGCAGCAGACGCGAGCTGGCGATTGGCTTGTCAGATCGAGCAGACAAAGGAGAGGTGAGGCAGGGAAGGAGGAGGAGGCGTCCCCGAAGTACAAGGACCGGTCACCAGGAAGGTTTCGCGAGCATGCATGAGCACCGCAACAGGAAGAAGGGCAGGCAATATTAGTCAGTCAGCCACCGTCTGCCACCTCCCACGAAGCTTGCCTAGTGCTGTTTTGTGCTGCAATGCACGGGTGCACTACTACACAGTACGTCCAGCACCGTCTGTCCCATCGTGAGCTGCTGCTATTCCTGATAGCTCCCAGCATCCCCTATGCTTTCCATGCCTTCGCTCACTCCCACCCCGTGAGACTCTCTGGCTTGGGGTCCTCTGCATCTGCACCGGAGAGGGGCTTGAAGGATACCCATGCCGGCTTGGAGCCAATGCTACTACAGTATCCGTACAGTACGCTGTGAAACCCGAGGCCAAGTACATGTTGGGAGGTCGCGCTGGCACCTCCACACCAACGCCCCTCCGGCTCCGAAGCCCTCCCACTCCAACATCCAATGCGCAGGCCCTACATGTCACTAGCAGCACTGATCGACACGCAAATTAGAGATGGCCATCGACCGGCGACGCCATCTCAGCACTCGAGATTACGTACCGGGCCTTTTCCCAGCGGCGATCTGGGAGCCTCGATGAGAGACTGCATCCGCCCACTGCCGCTACCACGTAGCACAGGCATGCGTCTTGACAAAATGCCCAGATGGGACAAATGAAATCGGATCTTTTTCTGCTTCCCTCCCCCTACCCCCCTGGCCCTGAGACAGACTCGTTCGTTCCCTTGACGTTGATGCCTGCCCACGTCCCGAGCCCCTGCCTGCAGCCCTGACATCAGGGTGTGCTATGTCAACCGACCAGTCGCAGCGCCGCTGAATGCCTTGGCTGGGAGTTACCGGCCCGGCCTACTGCACGAAGACATGGAGAAGTCCCAGGGGCCAGGGGAGCCGCGATGAGCAGCAGTCGGGTCGCGCGACACTTGCTTCCTCAGCGTCTTGCTCTACCTATTGCCCCGGCCCTCCTAGGAGGCAGATGCTTGAAAGCAGGCAATGGCGGCGGCACAGCAACCCTTGAAAAGCCTCACAGGCTGCATGAGAACAGAGCAGCGGATCTCCTCGGCGCCGATTCGCCGTGCTGGCCGCCCTCCAGACGCCAGCTCTCCACCGCCCACGGAGATTCGGCACTCGTTGTGACCAGTCACGGCCGAACACCCCCTCTCAACCCACGCTCCAGCTGATGGCCCCCGGATAAGAAGGCACGCTCGGCCTCATCCTTTCGTCTCAGCTCTCCCACCGCCTCGATGCCCACCTGACCCGTCATTTTGGGCAGACGCGAGGAGGAGGGGCGCGGGCTTCGTGAGGGGAAGAAAGAGAGAGAGCGTGCAAAGGAAAGGGGTGAGATGGGGGCCGTTTGACCTGCCGATTTCCGTCCTGAAACCCGGACGAGATTCATCCAAGATCGCGACCCAGCAAGCCCACACATGGGACGTACATAGTAGATTATCACAGAGTGCGGCGAGAGAGCAAACACCTGCGCAAAAAGCAAAATACAAGCAACGCTGCTTAGACGCTGGGTCAATTAACCTTGAAAGTTGAAACGGGCAAGGGGCAAGCAGACATGGAGGCGGCATGCCATGCCGTACAACGTGGGCTTGATGCGCGGCCGTGAAGATCAGACATGGCTATCCTGTGATTATGCATCTCGCCTTCCTTGCTTTTTTTTCTCCTCCTCTACGCAACAGCGTGACTCTCTATGAATGCGCCCGTCGTCATCGTCATCGTCAACATGCATTTCCCAACAAGGGTTGCCGCGCTCTCTCATTTTGCCGAGATAGGCGGTGATGGCTGCCCTGCTAGCTATTTCCATATCCCGCGAGCCCTTTTTGTCCCTTCTCTCCTTTCCAGGGCAGGGATCCAACTTTCTCTAGGAGAAAAAAAAGGGTACAATGGATCTACCTGGGTCAGTTGGCCACGGCGAGCCCACAGAATATTTGCGGAGCAACGGCCAACGAGACAAAACCAGCACATCAGAACACAGCACAGCACAGCGACAGGAGCCGTCATGAACGCGAATGGCCTCGCTCGCCGTGTCTGTCCGGGTCGTGGGCGCACCAGGGGCCGCCGATTGAAACACTGATCGCCATTCGACATTATGTAGTATTCCCATACGATTGCGTACTACATTGCATCCAGGCAAGCGCCAGAGGCAAACAGTGTCATCCGTCCATCCAACGTGCCCTTCCCACCCAATTGATAGGGCTACGGCCAAGGGGGGAGGATAGTTAGATGGTCGCTCTCGCCGATCTACGAGGTAGCGCTGGCCCCCCCACAACAAATTTCAGGTCGCACACGGCGTCCTCTGCATGCATGTGCCTACACCCGAGTACGAAGCAAGCGAGCGAGAGCGAGGGACCGGTTGATAGGGATGGGGTCCTGATGGAGGGAGACGCGGGAATTGACAGCTGTCTTGCATTATTTTGCTCTTTCTCCCCCTATCGTATGTGCTTGGGGTTCAGAAATTGAAGACATTTCGTTGTCAGCTGGGCTCAGACTTTAGCGGCTTCCAGACTAACCAAAGTCCCCTATTTTTCGCTCTGCTATGGACGGCATGTACTGTGTGAGGCAGCCGGCCCCGTCGCACCTAATCGTCCCTCCCTGGAGGAACATATGTCTCGTCCTCGCATTTGAGCTTATAATTAAGTTTAATAAGGATGCCCAAGTGATGCGCGCCGCTGTGGAATGCGAGCACGCTGTGACCATGCCCGCCAGCCAGCGCCCGCGACTCATGAGGAACAGAATCAGTAAAGCCCTTCCGGTGCATATAGTACATAGGTAGGCAGGTAGGTAGGCATCGCGAGACATCTGCGTTTGTAGCTGCATGGGATTTCCAGTAGTCTGGCGCACAGTTTCCGTGGCTTGCAGCAGCGAGAAGTGACATGCCGCCCTCCACCAACCCAACACACCAAGAGTCAATCAGCGACGGCCCCCATTGGCTCTCTTATCCTTCCCAAGGTTCCAGAGGTCGCTGGATGGAAGCGCGGCCTTGGTTCGAGATCGCCGCTCCCCGTCCACGCTTCACACCACCTCACCTGCAGAGCAGGAATGGGGAGGAAGAGACAGAGAGGCGGGAAGGGAGGTGTCTGGACTGATTTTCTCGGCAATGCCACCCATCCGGCCGGGCCTGCCTCCCATCTTCACCAACATAACGCAACGTGGTGTGGCAGGCCCTG